AATCAAAACATCGATCAGAGTTACTAAATCTCATTAAGTAAGGATCAATCTTACATAGAGAAAGATGCATTGTCGCAGCAACAGTAGCAGCAGTACTAGACATTTGATCTAGCCAGATGGTTGCAATTGTTGAATTTGTCATTACAAAACGTAGTATATAACAATGCTATTTTGCTTTCGAGATTTGGAAACGCTAATTTATTTTATATCAGAAATACTGTGTTGGTTTATTCCAAGGTAAACATCTGATAACAGATGTAAAGGACAGAAGTACGAAAGAAAGCGATAAAAAGAATCTTTTCGTCGTATTTTCAGAAGAGAACGAAAAACTCATACGGCGATTATTTATCGGTAAAGCAAAAAAGTATTTCTTTTTTTTCGCGATGTTGATGATGATATGCGTTTGGCTATAAGTAATAAAAATGAAACATCTGTCCACTCTCACCCTCTCACAAAAGGGAATAAAATAATAATTTGAGTATTGCTAATTATACATTGATCTACCACAGCAAAAACGACATATTTCACACTTGAGCAATGCACTTACTACTCAAATAGCTTGTGAAGCGTCAGAAAACGTCACGAGTCATTCTTATTGCGAACAGAAGAATAAAAACACGCTATTCCACAACCGATAAATTATACTACTATGACGATGTTACCAACAAAATTTGAATTATTACTCAATGAAATCTTATTTCAATGTTTTCATTATCTCAATATCATCGATATTTTTCATTCATTGATCCATTAAATTCTCAATTCAATATTCTCATCAGAAATAATCCATTCGCTTTAAATTTACAAAATCTTCAAAATAAATTTCAATGTGAACAATTTTGTAAGAAATTATCAACTGATGAAACAATCAAAAAACAACTTTATTCGTTAAATTTATCAAATGAAAACGCATGTTATCCAATTGATTTATTTCTTTCACGATTTTAACTTTTACAATTTTCTCATCTTCGTTCGTTAACGATAGGCAAGTTAACAAACAATAATTCGAGATTAATTCAATCAGAATTATCTTTAATACCACAAATATCTTCTTTTCATTCGATTGATTTTCATGAGTTATCTGCTAATATAATGCCTATCTTACCAGTGTCACAAATACAAACATTGATCACACCATCAGCATCAATCCCTGAAACGATTTCAGGTGGTCAATGGTCATCGATTGTGCATTTATCGATCTCTGGCTGTGGTTTGGATGATTTATTTGTTCTATTCACTAATATACCCGAACTAAAGTATTTGCGAATAGAAAATGTTTCAAATAATGTGACAAATGTGACAATAAATTCTATTGGAAATAATAAGAGTCTTGTAAATAATATGAAAACGTTACATATTGATTGCTTAAACAGTAGCATTGATTATCTATTTCAGTTATTAGAACGGGCACCAAATTTAGAAAATTTGATACTATTCAGTTTTCATGATCCGAGTATCATAGATGCTTCTAGAAGGCAAATTTTGATAGTATCTTCGTTACGATATTTAAAGAATTTCAAATTCAAATTTCACATCGCTAACATTTTGCAAAAAAGCATCAATGAAGAAAATTTGAAAGAATTTCAGAATCAGTTTTGGTATAATGAGCGTCGTTGGTACACCGAATATTTCATATCGAATATTTTCGATGTAGGATAAATTGGACACAGATTCGACCTTTTCTGGAACGAATCCGCACACGAGTGTATTCCAACTCTGATCACATTCATTCCAAGTAGAACTCGATGGGCTCTATCAATTCCAAAAAAAATATTCAGGGAAAAATCTTTCCTTACCTATAAAAAATGCAAAAAGTTGCAAAAACAACCAAAAAAAATGAAAATTGCAAAAGACAAGCACGGATTTGTTTCTTTACTTCAAACTACCATTCCGACACTTGTTACAGATACAACTCGATGCGCTCTATCGATTCCAATCATAAAAATAATTTTCACCCACCCACACCCACACCCTCAAGATCGAATACGATCTGAGTGTGTACAAGAAGGAAACTTTGTTTCATCGATTTATCATCCCAACTGCTCCTGCCTGACATCTACCTATAAACGAAGGTTTGAAAAGACAAGCTTATCACACGATGATTTTCAGCTAATCATTTTCTGAACGCTCAGTGTATTCATTCGAACCTTTCACTTCTCGTAAAAGTATTGACAATCCATTCATCTGCTTCGATTGATCTTTTATTTGAGATGGCTGTCTCATTTGTTGTTCCATTCCGCCTAGTGAAATCATACTATTACACCATTATACGTACAATCGTGAGTTCACCTCAACTGAATATTGAATTGGAAATGAGAAGACTTAACCAGAGAAAACAATTCACTAAAACACTTGATCTCTTCGACAAGCATCAAAATCGTGGAACATTAACAGATAGAATTATTGTTCAAGCACTTAAAGCTTGTACTCAATTGGGTTCTCTTGAACGGGGTCAAAACATTCACAAGAAGCTCTCAAGTCAACTTAAAAATGATATCTATGTTCAAACGTCACTTATACATTTCTATAGTAAATTTGCATTGTTCGTATGAATTCTCATTGCTACAGTTGAAATCTTACAGTGCAATGTGGTCGAGTGAACGATGCTCAACGTGTTTTCGATTCATGTGTCAATAAAAACATGGTTCACTATGGTGCGATGATGAAAGGTTACCAGATTCATTCTATCTATTATACTTATATGGAAAGTATATTTCTTCCTTAGGTTTTATACGAAATAACATGCCTGAAAAATCAATCGAGACATTCAAAAATGCGGATGACCAAGATGCAATTGTTCTCGGTCTTCTGTTTAACAGCTGTGCTCAAGCTCGAACTGCTGAAGCATTAGATTTTGGCAAACGAGTATGGTTTTCGACTTCAGACATTCATCGTAAGCACGAGTATACTGTGGTCACTGCCTTTGATATGTTCATCAAGTGTGATGACATTTCAAATGCAGAGAAAGTATTCAATCGAATGAAACGGATTGTAGTTACTTATGGACAAATGATGAAATGTTATAATGATCATGATATGCCTATGAAAACTATCAATCTCTATGAAAAAATGAAGAATGAGAAGATTGAAGCAAATCCAATCATTTTTCTTCTGGTGATTAGTGCATGCGCTGAACTAGGACTGGAGTCTCGTTGTCGATTGATTGCAAGTCAAATTCCGTCTTCGATGTTATCTGATCCGGACCTTCAAACTACCTTAATTCATATGTGGGTAGGGGATGTCGTATTTGTTTATTTTTGTAATACTTTTCTGTAACTAATCAGGGCAAAGTAGCATGTGTGAAGGAAGCTAAACAAATCTTTGATCAAATCGATACACCTAATTGTGCCCTGTACACTGCTATGAGTAAGTTGCCTTGTTAATCTGTCGATTTATTAATCGCTTTAATTAGTTAATGCATATGGGTTGAATGGAATGGGCTATGATGCAATTCAGCTGTATCATCGAATGCCAGCAGAAATGAAGAATGAAAAAACACATGTCTGTGCGTTGAATGCTTGTTCACATTCAGGTCTTGTTAACGAATGCCGTTCAATTTTTGCGAAGATCTCAATCAAAAGCAATTATATTTACACAGCGATGGTAACTAAATCGATATTGACATCAAATGTCGAAACTACACGTTTCTTTATTTAGATAGATTGTTTGAGTCGTTCGTTTTTCTTTGATGAAGCAAAACAGTTAATCGAAGAGTTTGAGCGACATCAGCCCCCTTATCTACTTATGTACAGTAAGTTGTCCCATATGAGAAGATGCTTATTTCATGTTGAATAATCAAGGTCAACAACGTTGTTCTTTCAACTTTAGTGTCCGTGCTGTCCGGTGCACGCAATCGAAACGATGTTTCTCTTGCAAGACAAATCACTCAACGAATCAGACAACTGGGTCATGTTGACAACGATAACCTGGCATCGGCTTCGGTGCTTTTCACAAACATATTAGCATCGTCAGGTGACTTGGAAGAAGCATCACAGCTAAGGTTTGAAATGGAGCAATCAGGTATTAGGAAAAAAAGTGGGTTTATCTTGGACGGAAGTCAACGGTGAAATTGTGGTAAAGAGGAATTTTCTGTTAGATTGATGCTCGTTCATCTACGTATTTATCATGCGGGAGTTTCGCGTCAAAGATCGAACCCATCCACGAACAGAAGAAATCTATGATGAACTTCATCGAATCGAAAAAGAACTCATTGAACACGGCCACAAATTCGATTCAAGTTGGATCACGCGTGAAATGATGGCCGGTGAAACTGTCGCATCCATTCTCAACAGTCACAGTGAAAGATTAGCACTTGCATATAATTTTATTCAGCGACCAGTTCCACCGCGAATTCAAATTGTGAAGAATCTTCGCATTTGTGGTGATTGTCGTAAGTGGAGATTAGGATAAATGGAAAATATGTTTTTCTCTTTGGATTTCTGCTTGTTACAGATGCTGCAATCAAGTTGATCAGTCGAATTCGTCGATGCGAAATTTTCATTCGTGATGCGAATCGTATTGATCATTTCTCAGATGGAAAATGTTCGTGTAATGATCATTTCTAATAGATGTTCGATTCGTTGTTTCCTATTACTCTGTTTCGAGTATTGTTGTCCGAATATCATGGTATAAGGTTCATCGTTTAGCGGTCTATTTGAAATCCAAGATCCAATTATATTTTCTATAAGAAGCAGAAAAATGAAAGTTTCAGTTTTGTTGAATCATGTTTAGATGGAAAGAATGATCTGTAAAAGCTCTATTGTTTGAATAATTTCTGTGAGTGCCTTGTCTTTCTCATTAACGATATCGAATTCAACTTTTTTCACGTCTGTTGATAAAACTTGAGTTGTTCTTTTGGCTAACGTATAACCATTTTGTTTAAACAAAAATCAAGAATAAACAAAGTAATCTCCGGTGAACCTTTTTACTTGTTTGATCGAACACCAGCAATTTCCTACGGTAAAAAATGATCCAGTTTTTCGTTTGTTAAAACATACATATTGATTTACTACCCGAATACAAAGCATCACGGGCTAATTGTTTGGCTTCTTCTTCTTCCTACGAAAATGCGGTTTTCTAGCAATTAGGACAAGAGTATGTAACCGCTTGAATCTGATGTGACAAACGGAAGTACCGAGATAACCTTGATCCCTGAAAGAAGGAAGATTCGTATGGAAAAGTGAACAAATAAGAGGAAATATTGGCCTAAAGAGATGTTGTTGAATTTTTCTAGCGGCTGTTGCAACACGAACTTGTCGATCTTGATTTAATTTCAATAGTTCAAATTGAGATTGAAGTAAATGTCTTTGAAAATCACAATCAGTTGATCATCCTGCACCAAATGCATCGATATAGTCGGATAAACGATGGATTATCAAGACATAATTAATCAGCAAAAAAGATCGTTTCGGTAGTACATCGACTATCAACAGCAACTATGACAATACCATCCTATTAAAAAGATGAAGTGAGATTTTCTATTGAATGCGATGCTGACATACTTTGCATATACATGAAGCAATGGTAGTACCCGTTATGTAAATCTTGCTTGGTAAAACGCCATTTTTCAAGATAAGTTCGTTTCTAGACGGATGTTTCCGAATGCCAAGACTAAAAAATAAACGAACGATTATTGTCGACAGGTGTCAAAGACAATTCCACCAGTTGGTTGTTCGAAGGCGAGATCAGAGACAATACTTTTATTTTATATGTTTCTTACAAATAAGCTAACACATCTTTTTATCGACAATAAAGAGACACATCCATATAAACCATTGATGCATTGTGACACATGTACAGTCAAATTTTATTTATTTTTGAAATCAATATCTGATGATGATGATTTTCCCAATTTCGAACAAAGCTTGATCAAATGACACACAAATATCCCATCTATATCATCCATTTGACAAAAGTATTTCTTCATCATACAGTGCTTTATTACATGTATTTTATATAAAGTTTTTTTTTACTTTTATTTATTTAACCCAAAGAAAACGAATCCAATTAACGATTCACTGGAGTGTCGATATCGAGTGATTTGTTGTAAATCATGTCGTATTTGCGCATTATCTAATATCTTTTCAGCACGTTGACAAATTCTTCACTGTCGTACATATCTGTAAGCTCTGTTAAATAGTTCCAGATCCAATCGACTAAGACGTTTTTCCAACATGAATGAAATATATGAATTCAATCAAGGTAAATGTGACTGAGGGTGAAGGTTTAGAAGTAGATAATTAACAAATCTACTGACAATAAGCAAAGCTGACTGATTTACGTTTAAATTTCACATTCTCACTTCTCAATCATTTCCAACAAGAAGACGCTTTACAACATGCTTTTTCTCAAATATTGTTTGCAAACCTTTCTCTACTATTTTATGTTTCATGTGTTGTGTAGTGAGTATCGAAATTAAAGAAATTTTCCTCAACATGAAAACATTCACTAGTCGAATCTACACCGCTCATTATTCAACTAATTACATTTTTATTTTTATACAATTTGTTCCAGACAATCTGGACTACACACTTTTCTCTTGATTGGAAAACAAGAAACACAATGAAACTATCTGACATGTTATGATAAACGATCGAGCTTTCGTTTTGGCGTCGTAGGAGTCGAAACCCGTCGAGAAGAATTGATTTCCATCGGTTTCAAACGTCGTTCAATGTCAGTGAGCACAGGCTAAACACACAAAAATACGAACACTCAAAACTTCATTGTTGAAATCTTACCATGAGATACTTTTTCCATGCTAAATGCTCTTCTTCATCATAATCATCTTCAGTCTGTCCATTCGTTTCGGTAACATTTGGAAAGTTCTCTTTCAGTATACGATACGATGCCAATGTTTTGATATTCAATTTGCTGAGACAAAAAGCGATATTTCCTCGTTTCCGATCATCACCACTAAATTCATAGAAAAGGGAACAACAAGTTAATGCGATCTTCTATGAGGTTAGTTTATACCATACTTGTTTGAATTGTCTACACAATCGTTTGACTAAAATCTCACAATGACGATCATTTTTGATATATGAAAACAAATGCGAAATAATTTGTTGAAAACTATCCTTCGAACATATGGTATTCATTGAAAACCGACATATAATTTAGTGAAAAACGTGAAAGTCATTTATTTGTTGATCCAATCTACAGAATAAAGTCTGAATATGTAAAAAATATAAACATGCGAAGATATTCTTATGGTTAATATTAGACAAATCATTCTCATCATTATCTTACGCAATGAATCTGTCTGCTCTAACTCTTTTTTGTTCTTCAATTAACTAAATGTATTGTTCAATGTTCTCTCTCTTCCTCTCTAGTTTATAAGTTCATGTTGTACGTGAAATAGTTACATTTGGATATAGTACACAGCGTAATAAACATCAAGTCCTCGACGATTGTTCGAAGATATAACTGAGTATGAGAGTAATCATCATTATGCATGTTTCACTTTTCTCAAACGAATTTGTCGTTGTCTGTATTGATGCTTGACAAACATTGAAGATTGGTTACCTTCTCTAATGAAAATTAGTTTATTTTCACATTTAATAAAAAAATTCAACAAGGAAAGATTACTAGGCATTGAACAATTCATAATCGCTCAATGCGTTTTATATAGATTATTTCATGACAATAGACATCAGACCAATAACATCCTTGAAGAATTTGAAGAGATCGCTGTCACATGAAGCAAACTGAAATGTTCGAGTAACTTGACCTAAATAAATAATAGAGTGAAACCTTTTGACATCAAACGATCTCAGAATGACTTACTAATTTCCATCAATATCTCTTTGACAAATATTTTTTTCGTATCCAATTCATCTGTATTTGCTTTTAATTGTTCTTCAATTATTCGTACACTTTTATCATCGATACAAATATTTGCGACGATTTTGGCTAAATGTGTACGATTTTCTTCAGTGGTTACTTCACTGACAGCATTGAATATTTCTTCTAACAGTTCCCGATCAGCTATTAATTGTTCAATCGCAGGTGTAACGTCCATATCAGCCACTAGTTTCTTAAAAAAACGTCGAGTATTCTTGGAGTATTCAGCTTGCATATTTTGTATTTCCTGAAATACGAGCAAAAGTTTACTCTCTCCATTATTAAATACAGAGAAGGAGAAAAATAAAGCACAATGAGGTCAATCTTTTCAATGACTTGTCTATTGTAGCCAGACAGAATCAATAAGAAGAATAAGTGAGCAATGATCAGGATCTAAAAGAAAATACGATTTGATCGTTTTTTTTGTTGAAAAAAAATGTACGTGCATCTAACAGTTTCATTTACCCAGGTTATTATGGCACGGTCGGAATCCGGCGGCAAGGAGCCTGCTGGAATCGGCGAAAACTGTGCCGGAATCAAGAAGGGCTGTACTGGGTCTGACTCAGATGTCAACGGATCCAGTCGCCGAAATGATCGACCTGGGTAATTTATCAAATAAGTGTTTTAACTTTGACTTATCAAAATCAAACATAATCCGTCAGTTACAGCTACCAAAATTAACTAATATATCATCTTCCATAAACACTTCGTTTTTTGAACCTAATTTGAAATAAAATAAAGTAATTGAATGAATAAGTTTTCTCTTTGATATTTGTGATTTTGCCGATTTTAAAACCAACTAAATTGTCACCATAGGTAGACTAGAATGGTGACAAAAAACTTCAATGACACACTCACCATCGCTTTCAAGTGCAACAATGTCAAGAATGGAATTCTGTACAATACTTGATTCATGGACGTTATCACCAAGACAACTATCTACATTTGGTGCTGAGGAATACATTATCGAGGAAGAAGATAGAACTGAAACTAAAGCATACATTATTTGACCAATTGATCTAATTAATGATTGGTTACTTTAGAGTCTGCATGATCGATCATTCGAAAAATATTCTATTGATTTCCTATTTAAGTAGTAAACACATTACTTCTGCCAGAATTCTAAAAAAAAATAGTATCGGGAATATTATTTATCTAATTGTCAATCACAAAATAAAAGAGAACGCTAGTTATCGGGACCGTTATCAATGATAGATGAAAAATTCACAGGAGAAGCACAGTTATGGAGAGACTGTTTCTGTTCTTCGATTCATATTGTTGATTATTCTCGGATGATTCGTTTAGTACAAGAATGATCGACTAAGAAATACATTTAGTTATTATAGTGAGCATGATCATAATACTGCTAATACGACTTCTAATTATCGGTGTGAAGCTATAGCACCAGACAAGCAAAAATCATCTGTTCAAATTCAAATGAATTCCTGTCTGTAGAATTAAGCTCATTCGAAGCAGAATTTAATTCTCCATCGAACGGTGTCATTCTTATCGATGGGAAAACGACTAGACATGCACCAAACCCAAACCCAAACTGTTTGGGAGTTTGGGTATTGAGTTTGGGTTTGAGTTTGGGTTTGGGTTTGAGTATGAGTTTGGGTCGGACATCGCCCTAGGCATGTACCACACCTCAACCATTTTCATTTTGATACTTTCAGTATTAGGCAGAGTTTGTGTTTGTGTTTGGGTTTGGGTATGAGTTTGAGCAACAATCTATGTCATGAGATGCTTGGATACATGATCATAATAAAATCTAAGCCCAAACTCATTCAAACTCTACCCAAACCCAAACTCCAAACCCAATCTCAATACCCAAACAGTTTGGGTTTGGTGCATGTCTATGAATGAGGTGGCATAAAGAGAATAGAAATCACTGGACGTCACCGGTTTTTCGCCTAATACACGCAAATCTATACCATATTCGAATGTCTTTGAACTGACAACTAGTGAACTAAAATGTTGCCCACATTTTTCAGCCATGCATCTTCTCTCTTGCAAAGCATGTGTCATATTTGCGCATGATCTAATATCTTGTCCGTACGCTGACGAAATCATTGCTGCCGTAGATATCTATAAGGTCGGTCCAACAGTTTGAGCCCACTCGACGAAGATATTTTCTCATGAGATGCCCAATTCGACTTATAATATAAGTCGACCCCCGACAGGCTAGTATCAATTCGAATATAAATAGATATCTATATCACACTTATAACAAATGAGTAGATAGGAATAGAAATAGATTTAGTTTCAGTTATACATATATACCCTCACACCCTCCTTTCAGTCGAGGGAATAAGCGAAACAACAAAAAATACGCCACGATTGGTGTTTTGATTTTCTTTGAAGGAACTCGAGGTACTTTTGACCCTAGTAGATANTATCAATTCGAATATAAATAGATATCTAGATCACACTTATAACAAATGAGTAGATAGGAATAGAAATAGATTTAGTTTCAGTTATACATATATACCCTCACACCCTCCTTTCAGTCGAGGGAATAAGCGAAACAACAAAAAATACGCCACGATTGGTGTTTTGATTTTCTTTGAAGGAACTCGAGGTACTTTTGACCCTAGTAGATAAAGAAAATTGTTCGCAATCGAACTGTGCTTTTGCATGTGTGGCGCCCTAAAATTTATCTATTGGTTATGGATTGAATGGGTCATCGAACGTATGGAAGGAAGGTACATATAATATGAACCGAGAACGAGAAATGACCATTGATAAACGGTAATAGGTTTGTTTAATGATCAGTGTAGAAAAGAGAGAAAGCAACCAAGACTATATTACATAATTGACACATAGATTCTTTTGAAATGGCCATAGACATGGAATGTGTGAGTTGTGTTCGTCGATATTTTTTCTTGTTAATCTTACTACTCATGTTTTAGTTCCACCAACGGATGGAAAGGGCTCGTTTATACGTTCAGTATATCGTACAGTTACTTGAAGATAGTGGAAAGATAGCGTCACCATACGATGAAAATCATGCTTTAAAAGTCGTCAAGTTGATCTTACATAAGTTGTCTTATAGTGGAGAAAAAGTAAGTTTTCGCTAATTTAAATAAAAATAATATTACAATTTGTTTCCCTAAGACGCCAGGTGAATTTCTTGCTGAGACTCATTCGTTTTTTCATAATGTTCAAACAAATGAACAATTAATATCGATGATAATAAAGGTAAGCAGTATCGATAGAATTTCGTTGTACAGGTTTGTTGTTGTTCTAGTCTCATTCTCTTGTAACTGTTATTGATACAGATACGGGTAAATATATTTTTTTCTACTCATAAACAAATCGCTATCTTTCTTTATTATATTATTTTGAAGATTCAACTGGATGGTTGCATTGAGGGTGAGGGTGTGAATAATTAGTAAATCTACTGACAATAAGCAAAGCTGACTGATTTACGTTTAAATTTCACATTCTCACTTCTCAATCATTTCCAACAAGAAGACGCTTTACAACATGCTTTTTCTCAAATATTGTTTGCAAACCTTTCTCTACTATTTTATGTTTCATGTGTTGTGTAGTGAGTATCGAAATTAAAGAAATTTTCCTCAACATGAAAACATTCACTAGTCGAATCTACACCGCTCATTATTCAACTAATTACATTTTTATTTTTATACAATTTGTTCCAGACAATCTGGACTACACACTTTTCTCTTGATTGGAAAACAAGAAACACAATGAAACTATCTGACATGTTATGATAAACGATCGAGCTTTCGTTTTGGCGTCGTAGAAGCCGAAACCCGTCGAGAAGAATTGATTTCCATCGGTTTCAAACGTCGTTCAATGTCAGTGAGCACAGGCTAAAAACACACAAAATACAAACACTCGAAACTTCATTGTTGAAATCTTACCATGAGATACTTTTTCCATGCTAAATGCTCTTCTTCATCGTAATCATCTTCGGTCTGTCCATTCGTTTCGGTAACATTTGGAAAGTTCTCTTTCAGTATACGATACGATGCCAATGTTTTGATATTCAATTTGCTAAGACAAAAAGCGATGTTTCCTCGTTTCCGATCATCACCACTAAATTCATAGAAAAGGGAACAACAAGTTAATGCGATCTTCTATGAGGTTAGGTTATACCATGCTTGTTTGAATTGTCTACACAATCGTTTGACTAAAATCTCACAATGACGATCATTTTTGATATATGAAAACAAATGCGAAATAATTTGTTGAAAACTATCCTTCGAACATATGGTATTCACGGATAGACGAGATATGATATCAGGCAAAACATTGAATAAAGCCATGCCACGCTGTCGTAATGATAGTTCATCGAAGAAATGTTGAGCAATACTTGATATGGGTGTTTGAGGATGAAATAAACACAGTGCGATTTCACTGATATAACCACGAACCTGAGTTCAAAGCAACTTTTAGTGCGAAGGAACAATTCTTCATCTTCTCGTAACTTACTTTGATCATTTCTCGCAAGATGAGTATCGCAATTGTACATAAGGCTGTTTCACCCACATTCAAATCTTTATCATGAATTTGTGCATAGAATTGAGGTGTAAATGGTTCGATAATATTCGGATGTCTACATCGAAATCCTCATGCTTATCAAAGAGTGTCGTACAGTTGACAGACTTACCGAAGAAGTAAATCGCCGAGTGAAACAATCAATGCTGAACGTACAGATGAATATGGACACGACTTTGCGATTTCAAAGATTCGATCGACATTTTTCGCGCATAGACTTGGTGATACGTACATCATTCGAGTACATGTTGAAATACTTGTTAACACAAGATTTTCGTCATACAAGGAATGATCTTCATGAATAAACTAAAAACAAATCGTTGGAAGGTGAGAATATCGAGATTTATACTTACCGATTCCATCCATTTATCAATCGAAAAGAACAGTGAATTTGATTGAAATAATTCTTGTTCGAGATGACTCAGATCAGAATGTTGTTGTTGCATAAAATGATTGTCTTTTTCGTGATTATCGTCTGGATGAGGACTTTCTTCATCTTCGTCGTCGAATAACTGTCGCGAAACCGACGATGATGTTTCACGTTCGATATCATTTTCATCCTCGTTAGGTGTAACATGAGGCTTTTCTTTTTTGATCTTTTTTATCGATGATAAATTTGTACTTTCATATTTTTGCACTTGATGACTTAAAAATGCATTCACCGATGCTAATAATCGAATTAGTTTTGTTCGCCATGACGCATCGGTCAGCTTCGATTGATAATCACAGTTTTCTAAAGGCCAATTCAACTCATCAGATAAATGACGAAGGAATTTCATTATAAAATCATTCGCTGACATATGAGTGGGTTCTTTAAGGTAGAGAATATTGAAGATCTGCTTCATACAATTCACCCACGACTGATGATTGGATTCAACAGGTGAGTCCGACAATCGTTTGATCATTGAGTCATAAAATTCACTGGGAATTTCATGAGATGATTTGATAGTCAATAGATTTGTGATAATTTGCATTTGATAGTGGAAATAATCGAGACTATTTCGACCCATTTGATGTATGAGACTTTGAATAATCGAAGGTAAACGTGATGATAAACGATGTTTTGTATCGTGTGGGATAACGAAAGAGATTAGCTGTAAAAATGAATTCTGCCGTTGTTGAATTTGTTTGAAAAATTCATCCGGTAGATGTTTTTTCGACGATTCAGTTGTTAATTTCAAATAGTATTCAACAAGAACCTCGATAAACGATAAGAAATTCATGCTTGTCGATGTTGATTCACCAAGAAGTTGTTTGAGGATATGTTCAAACGTTAACGTTAGATTTAGATCGATTTGATCGAGAAGTTTCTCAATGATTCGTTTGGATGAGATTCTAAAAGAAACACAAGACATTCTTCATTTCTAACAAAACATTTTCTTACTTCTCATCCGTATTCTCTTCATCAATTTTCAAACATATTCGTTTGAATGCATTGATAACTGCATTGGAAATATTCTTATCAGCCGACCAGATCAAGGAAAACAAATGTTTTTCAAGCTTTTTATAAACATTTGATTGACATTCGAATGTTGACCACTAATTTACAAAGTACAAGTGCAAAGTTATCTCAAGATTAGCATATTTCTTACCAAAACAAGAAAATCGATGATTTCAAGAACATCACTCGTCACCTTTGAGCTGAGCAGATAAAAAGCATCTTTAGCCAAAAATCTTCGTAAATGATTACAGAAATCCGTGGCATTATGCAAATAAGTTCTAAAAAAGTAACAACCACTTCAGATCAGAACTATAAACACGGCATTTGTCTCCTACACAAGCTTGGATTGCTTAACCATATTATCAAACAATCGTTTTGCTTTTTCCGTTGGTTCTTCATCATCAATCACATCATTGCTGATGCTGATTGCCAAACAAGTATTCAATCGACTTTGTAATTGCATCAATTTACTCATTTCTGCATTATAATGTTCGAATGATGCTAAGGATTCATCAGCTGAATACATTGCACAAACCCGCTGTTGTTGTTCAACAACACGTTCGAATAAAAGATGTTGATTATCCAAGTTATTTTCTTTGTCATTATCAGCGATTTTATCGATATCGATCGGAACGTTCTCTAACTTCAATGTCTGTCCCAAGAGTTTCTGCAATTGAACTAATTTATTCATTTCCGTATTGTATTCGTCCAGCATAGTATCAATTGGAAGAAACTACGACAAAACAATCAATGATAAAGTCACTTTCTCTATCAGACTCCTTACTCGATCGGTGTACGGATTAAACTTTAGTAGTTTGGTTGCTAATTGAATGGCATGTTTCCTGACAATACATGAAGTGTCATTCATTCGCTCGATGGTTGCTTGTGTCAGATGGCAATAGAATTTAATTGGGATTAATTTTGCTTCAACTAAGTTCATACAGAGACCGATGGCATGTGAACGAACGTGGACATTAGAATCCAGAAAATATTGATCGATGATTAAGAAAAATAATTCGCCACGGAGTTCTTTGTACTCGGGTAAAGATGAACAGTAGCGAATGATGTTGACACAAACATTTAATAGACAATTACGCATTTGTAGACAATCGCTATCGAATAAATCGAGTAAACGATTGATGTAAATTATCAAGTGATCGGATATGTGAATGGATAGTTCATCGAGTAGTTTGGCCATTGTACGAGAACTGTTTGTTTCAGATTGAGTGTTAGCGACGGACGTGTTTGACCGAGAAGAACTTATCGGTGTTGATAATTGAACACCCGAAAGTGAAAGGCAAAGATGACAAATATCGCTAAAAACATCGAATTTTTATTTCTTCTGTTGATAAATTTATCTTACTTGATGATTCGTTCTAGTAGAGTGTCCGTTCGAAAATGTTTGACATGACACACGATAATTGCGGAGAAGATCGTTGCGGTATGCTCTTGGATTTGTAACATTTGAATCATCTTCATACTTGTCTCTGTAAAATTGAAATAATACGGTTTTATATGAAGACACATTCGCTCGAAAACTACCTTCTTCACTACGAAATTGCCCAATCGTAACTGCTAAGATAAATGATAGATAATCTTTCACTGTTCTCGCTCGTGAGGAGAATTGATTATTTCGAATAATTGTCAGGCAAACATCCACAATGGTACTAAAATATTCGAATGTAATCAAGACTTATCGAAGAAGAGTCACAATCATACGTTCCGATTTGTTGATCTTCTAATCTTTCAGTTTCATGCCAGAATTGTCGAAGATCAAGTTTGATAAAGTTCGTGAAGAGAAGAAGTATTTCATCTCGTTCATTTATATACCAATCGATTTGACACGTTTGATTAGATTTCTTTTGTTTTTTCGCTGGACTTCCAAGATGCTGTTGATCATTACCAGTTATTAAATGCTCGAGAACAAGTAAATATCGACAAAGAAGATCGAGTGAATAGAGAATCATTTGACGATGAACATTATCGATATTGGCTTTCTGATGAGAACTGATCGAATCAATTTCACCTTGTATCGCTACAAAACCAAACAAATCGAACGTAACATATTGATCTTCAGAAAATATTTACCATCTTTGAGAAGATTACTGAATACTCTTCGAATGTCATGTGACCGTTCAACGTGTCTAGAAACATAGTATAGAGACAGTCTTTGGATAGAAACAAAACACATACGTGATAAGATCATCCGCGATTGTACTTAACTTTGATAGAACAAACGAAGGATCACTATACTTGTTCAATTGACACTCTGAAATAGAGGAAAATTTTCGACGCGTGAGATCAGTTTTTACACTTACCTTTAAATAATAAATTTAGCTCTTCTTTGCTAATAACCATGACTATCTAATAGACAATATTTACATCTAAAGTAAACGAAAGCGCCATTTTTTAGTTCTTTGTATATGTCAATGGAAAAATCGAAAATTAAGCAACGCTCTAGTTTAACGATAACTTCGTCGAACAAGAGTATTGCCGATACTAAGAACACCGCGTCTCAAGTGATTCATTTCGGTTGCCAACTACATTCCGGAACTGAATTATGGAATACCTCTTATTTTCTTTCGATACTTTTCGAACTTCTCGATGAATACAAAGACAAGACAAATGAAGAATCCCGTTTGACCGCTTTTATCCTTTGTCGTCTTGATGAAATTCATTTCAACAGACGAATTCCTATCAAACTAATCATCGAAATACTAAAACACTTTACGAACATCCGAATGAAAATTCTTCTTCTACTAGAATTGTTAAGTATTTCAGAGCCGATCGACTGTCCTCGAGCACTTATGTTACTGTGGCAATTCTCTGCGTATGGTTATCTGACATTATTCTACGTTTTGGATCGACTAAAATTTTCGATTACTGATAAAGACCTCGAATGGAAATCATTATTAACAATTTTCGAGCCATTGGAAAATAAGAAACATGCGGCATATATTCTATTAGACAAAACGAACTTTTACAAACCAAATCAAGCAACGATTGTTTTTGGATCTAAAAAACTTACGCGATATTTTTGATTTGACCTTATCGTTCCTCACATATTATCATTGTCATTCATTCATTCTTTATCCTTAACCGTCATTGGATTCTTCTCTAAAATGGCATGAATCAGTGATAGCCGACAGATGTCGCTTGTAGACCGAGACGTTTTTTCCACATTCTTCTGAGTCTGTTCTTTTCGTCCTTTTCTTTGTGAACGGGTACTTCACCCATCTATATTTGTTAAACTGACATAGCATTTATTTCATTCGTCATCTGTCAATGTACCGACATATATCGACGAGATGCATCGTCATGCTTACATTGCACTAAAAATATCACTTCAAATAATCGTACTACTTTGCGCAGTAGGACACATTCATTATCCAGTTTATTCAGAAACAAACATGTCTCAAACCGATCTGCCCGTAATCTATGTGACACACGGAGCGTAAGAAAAAGAAATTTTCTAATTGAAATCTCATCTGTCTTTTCTATTTTTAGTGGTCCGATGATGTTTCTCGATTCACCAGCAATTCCAGTACTCGGCGAAGTCGGTCGACGTAGTCCAGCAGCTCTATGGTATAGTCAATTGTCGAAACAATTAGCTTTACCAACAGTACCAAAAGCTGTCCTCGTTGTCACAGCTCATTGGGAAACCGCAAATAGTGTTCATATTAGTGCCAAAGAAAAGTACACGGAACTCCTTTATGATTATTACGGATTTCCACCCGAAGCATATGAAATTCAGTACAATCCGCCCGGTGATGTTAATTTGTCTAAACGTGTTAAATCACTACTTGATCAAGCTGGTATCTCAGCTAAACTCGATGATAAGAGAAATTTCGATCACGGTGTTTTCATTCCATTGAAACTGATCTATCCCGATGCCAGTATTCCTGTTGTTGCTATTTCCGTTCTTAAAAGTTTATCTCCTACTGAACATTTAGCTATTGGTAGAGCTCTTGCGCCATTACGAAAAGAAGGAGTGTTAATTATTGGTTCTGGCTCGTCTGTTCATGGATTTGAAGTAAATGCAAAGCAATCACATGCATTTATGACTGAATTAAAGAAAGTTCTCGTGGAAGATAATCCACAAGATCGTGAAAAGGCATTGATGAACTGGGACAAAGTTTTACCATTTGCACGAATGAATCATCCACGTGAAGAACATCTCATACCGTTACATGTGATTGTTGGTGCAGCTGGTTCAGATCGCGGACAATTATTAAATCCCAATGTGACAGAGGCACAGGCGTCTTTTAAATTTGGTATTTAAAATTTGATTATTTGCATTTTTCTTTCGTTTAAAAGTTGTTAATAAATATTTTCATACATTTTCTCTGTACATCTTTATCTGATTATGAAAAAAGAAAAAAAGATAGTTCGATAGAATTAATTTTCGCTACCAAAGACACCTCTATCCACAATAAAATAATTACATCGATTTGTTCTCGGTATGTAATAACAGTAATCGATTGCTAATGAACGCAAATAAACAACATTCGTTTTGATACTTGTCATTGCTTTCCGCTCATCAAAGACAACTTGAGACTGCTGAGAATCAGGATGATGTTCTTCAATATTTTCAGTTTTACTTAATTGTATACGACAGTGGATAAGAAATGCCCATGTTAATCCTAATGCAGGACCTAATTTCATCGATTGAGGTAATAGAGAGAAACATGTGTTCTGTGCGAATTGAGTTTGTACCTAAAGAAAATAGAGTAGATCTTCTATGACGAGAAAATGATCAAAATCGATTACTTGATTAACACACACGATAGCGAGGTTATATCGCTGACATAATGTATGCATCGCAAAGCCAAAATATTGTAATGTATTGGCTTTTGTATGATGTTCGAACATAATATCTTCGGAACGAAAGAGAGCGGCTAGGGAATCAATAATAATTAGGCGAATATTGTTCTCTCGACTGAGTAATAGAGGTAATCGATCAACAAGGGTCATTTCTAAATGACGCTGAGAACGAAATAAGCAGCAGTATGAAAATAATATTCATTAGCGACAAACATACATAATGTCGAATAATATCGAGATAAATATTATCAAAAAATTTCTGTTGGAGACATCGAGCATCAGCAATATTGAATGGCTTATCGGCTTTGGCACGATAGTATGAAATATGTTTTAAACGTTTATCAATTTTCTCAATTTGAGATTCAGTATTGATATAGACTACCTCTATTCACAACGAGGATAGATCAAAATATGCCAATCAGTGAAACAACTTACTGGCTTCTTCTCCTCGACTTCGAAATGTTCGTTGTACCTCCAATGACAATTGAATGCAAAATTGCGTCTTTCCACATCCACTTTCGCCGTACAACTCTGTGATTTGACCAAGCCGTATTCCACCTCTAAGCGTTCTATCAAGAATTGGACAACCTGTCGAAAACACTCGAATTGTATCACGTTCATTCTCTGTCATTTGCCACGCTAGACAAAAAAAGCTTTTTATATCATGAATCATATCTCGTATTCATTAAAAACAAACCAGTTGTCTGCCGTCTAGAAAAAGGATAGAATGCATTTGCAACACATTGAAATGCAAGATCAACGTCTGCCGGCAACAATCGCGCCGTACGACCGACTTGTTCTGGATCCAATTCCAGAAATTTTTGTAAGGAACATTTCGATCCATAAGCTAAACAAACAATGGGTATAAAAGAGACAAAATTGACATGTCAATCCACCTCGAGCAAGTTTGCCTTCGACACTTGGTGGTAAATCAATATCATTCAAAGTGAGAGGCATATTTCATATTTCTAGAAACAAAGTTCAATCGAACATTAAAAGCGGTCTTTTTACTCTTTTTTTTTCTTATTCGACATGAATATACTGGTAAAAAACAAAATCAGCAAGTTTACATTAATAAAAAGAATGAACAAAACACAAAACAATAAAATTTCTTTTCCTTGAGAAAGTAAAAATGTAACGAATGGCACAGCTCTCATTCCACAACAATCGCTTCGCTTAGCTTTTCTTCAATGATTAGCTTTTCATTGAGATCATCCTCGAGTTCATCCATGTGATTATCAATATCATCATCTGTGACTTGATCTAATTGGTATTGGTCAAGTTTGATGCCTGCCGTGACAACAATATCTTCATCGTCATTATCGTCGCTTGTCACTGCATCGTGCTGTTCGATTTCCTATAGAATACAGAAAGTAAAGAGTCAGATTTGAATGAAATAAAAAAGAATTTGAATTCGAAAGAAAGCCATGCAAACCAAATCAGCATGCGAAGAAGAGCGCAATCAAAAAAACTGTCAAATGAATTGGCGTTTTTTTTTTGTCATGCCCATCATTCAGTTTTCATACCTTTGCTGTCAGCCGACCTGCTAATTCCTCTCTAAATTTTTCCTTGGCCCATTGAAGAAAATGAGCAGTGTCATAGGCGGTTGTCTGATAGATAACATCGATTAGATTTTTGTATAATTTTATCAAAAAAATTGAAGATAAAACAACGTCAGAGACGTGTACTTACTTCTTTATTCGAAGCTAAGAATTCGCTTGTTAATTGATTTTCCACTGCTTCTTCAAATTTCAATTGTTGTTGAAGTTTATCAAGTGATTCGATAATATTATCTGAAAAGTAACTTGTTTTAACAATCGGATTGAAAAAGAAGATCTTTTACTATCTGTAATGGATGCATCCGATGGTTGATTGACCGAATCATTAATCGATCGATTGTTTTCATCATCGTCCAATGTCGATTCTTTCAAGTGCATACTTGTTGACAACGAACTATTTCCACTATCATCAACTGTTGTTGTTGTTTGAGAATCGAGATTTGTTTGTGTTTGATTCGTACCAATTAACTCCGGATTATCGTCTTCCCACCATTCTTCGATCAGATCAATATCGTTAGAATCATCGATTCGATTCGAATTAGCATTGTTGTTATTGTTGTTATTGTTAAGTCGTCGATTCGAATTTGATCGATTATTAAAATCATTTCGTCGTGAATAATTATTATTAAAACCATACTGACGAGGATCATACGAAGATAATGGAAATTGATGTTTATCCTGATGATAATTACGCTGTTGTTGGTTCGATCGTCGTCGTTGATATGTTGACGTTCCCCAATAACTATTTTCATTGGAATAGGAGTTTTCATCTGTGTTCATATATGCAGAGAGTGGAAGGCTATTTGTATTATTATTATTTCGTTGGTAGCGATTGCTCAAATTGTTATTATTATTACTTGAAGAACGGAAGAAATTATTTGACGGTTGTTGTTGTTGTTGTTGAGATGAGAAATCGTAGAATGATTGTGGACGTGATTGATAGCGGTTCTCATTGGTGAATCGTGAAGAAGAATTTCGTATTTGATCGAAATCGCCCGACATTGGCCGTGATTGAGAATATTTGTTATCTTGATCGGATCTTTTCAATCGACGAAATCGTGGTGGAACTTCCATGGAAGAATTGTCTTGTTGCTGATGAATGTGAGATGACGAGGAGGATGGAGTCAGAATTTGAGCAGGCGGAACGGGAGGCGTTGGCTGAAAAACAGGTGAGGATTGAAAATGAGACGAATGATGAAATTGATGACGATTCGAATTTTCGAATGTACGAGTGGGATGGAATTGATGAAAATGCGTTTGCGACGACTGAGCTGATGGTGGTGGAGCAGCTGCCATAGGTGTAGCAGGATGAGCAAAATAAACAGTTCCATTGCCGTTGAAAGGAGTTGATTGAGCAGATGATGTGTACATAAAATTATGCATATAAGCTGATTCTGCAAGAAAGACAGTAATAGTAATAAAAATTGAGGCAAAAAGCAGTGAAAATTTACGATCAAGCTGTTCGCCTCCATTGTTCATCAAATGGTTAAGATCTGTAGGATGGCCATTCATGTTTGTTGGCAATAATTGAAGATGCATTGGTGGAGGCGGTGGTGGCAAGGAATTATTTTGCCACATGGGTATTTGTGGTATATCGAGGTGAAATTCTGAAGGTCCTCCAGGATGACCGTTGTTGTGTGCACCAGTTCGACGCATTCGTTCTATTGATGTATGAATGAAACGACTTTTTATTAATATTTTTGGCATTGACAAAACAATAGTATTTTACCTTCTCGCCGACGTTGTCCTTGTTCTTGACTTCGTTGTTGTTGTTGATTGAAACGTCCACTACCGATGCGAGTAGCTGTAAAATGAGACAAAAAAAAAGTAATAGTGATACTGTTATTTATTTCGTCTTATGAAAGAATAAGTTAGCCGTTCCGTGAGTATGTACGTGCAGATAAACGGAAAGAAAGAAAACTATTCATGCAATTAGGTGATTCATCAATATAGCTGGAAAAGTATAATCTTTCAATTGAAGGCTTTTATTTTTTGGAGCAAAAATTAGTAAATAAAATTCTTATTTACATCGTTAATTTGCTTACTTGACTGATATTTATCTGTTGATTTTTAATAAGACGATGGTCTATGATGGAGTGTGGATTATTTCGCTCTTCGTTCTTTTGTCTATACAACTGCTGATGATCGTTAAATATGTATATACACATACACACGCAATATACATTACGCTCCCGTCTCTCTCGTTTTTCATTCTTTCCCTCTATTCTTTTCGTCCATCGCCAAAAACGTGCACATCGATCATCAAGGTGCATCCATTATTCCCTCTCAAATGTATTTATCTTTCTATAAGATACATCTATAATCGCTTTGTGCTACGTTCAAAGGCATTTAATCAGCTGATTTCGCAAGCATACATCAATAGCGTCATGCATTAGAAAAGAAAAGAGAAAAAAGAAAGGAGTAATCCGAACCGAATGAAAAGAGAAAAAAATACCGAGCAGCAAGTCAGTCAATCAGTTATCAAAAGAGACGATTACCCACCTTGATTGTTCACAATGACAAGTTTTTTTGCGTGTGCCGGCTCGTCGGCATCTACGCACAAAATTGATTCCATAAGAATTCAACAGTTCTTTTTCTACTCGGTATATCTTTCGTTTCTCTCGCACATAGAAAGATATCAATCATAGATAACAATCATATCCTACCATGGTTATTTTCTGATTGATAATAACAGGGATATGCATATTCGCGCAATTCTGGACTGATGAAACTGTTATTGTGTTGGTGAATTGTGGTTTCGTGTGCTCGTTCATGTTTCAGACGATTGTAATCAACCTTTTGTACACGTGGAGTCGAATTCTCTGCGCGGTCCTACGATTGAAACAGAAGAAGACAGTTAAAATCATTGATTCAAATCCGTAAATTTACATTGTCAAATTTTCGTCGTACTGGAGGTTGATGAATTTGTTCGTGTTGATTTTCCTTCAAAACAAAATTCGATCTTTTCAAGTGCGAAATTTTAATATAAAATCAACAATACTTGAATATGTTGTTGCGTTGTATTATGTCGTCCACGAGTTTTCGTCGTCTAAAGAGAATTTTATTGAAATCAAAAAACTATACATTGATTCTTTCAACTTACACCTCGCATCGTGTCTTTTGTATATTCAACTGTAGATGTTGTCGCACCTGATTGTTCGGCTAGTTGTCGGTCTTCTTCGATTTCCTTCAATAAATATAAACACATCGAACAGAGTTATATTTCAAGATTAAAAGCTAAATCTCTTCAATGCTCTTCTTTGTTCGCTCGAGGTAACACTTTTATGAAGACATACATCTATTCGTACAAAACACAATTTTGGAATAAATGACCAACTGTTCGAAAGTGAATAGAAAAAAAACCCTTATTCCACACAAGCAGACACGACATGTAACATGCGCTCGTGATGTTTAATGAAACTCTATATTCCTTGTTCTGTACATATGTCTACTTTTGCTTAGAACAAGAGAAAAACGAAGTAAAATTGTCAAATTTTCTTTTTCTTTCTCTCATTTCTCATTACAATGACATTTGGAGTGCAGAAAAGAAAGAGTAGACCCGTTAATCGACGAATATCAATCGTACGTTTCCCTTCTCCTCCTTCTCTCTTGTTCTTATTCTTTCACTTGCTTCGCGTCGAGTCGTTTACTTTCATACATTCACCAGACAAACAATTAGTACATATTCAAGTACAAACCTGATGACGTTTCAGTAACTCTAAATTTTTTATGCGCATCTCTGCCATCTTTTGATCAATTGTCGTGATAGACGAGATCCCATCCATCAAGTTTCGATGTTGAGATTATCTAAAACAGACGAACTCATTAAATGAAATAGACTCCTCCTGGACAATGGACATATTCACACATACCTCTGACCATTTACATGATTTATTAGACGAAGAGAAGAAGAAAAAGTAAACGAGATCTAATGAGGTCACAAAAATGCGATCGAGCAATTTACCTTGTCAAAGTAGCTGTATAGGCTTGAAATTTCTATTCTCCTTCGATACATATTAGTTCTAGATGATTGAAAAAGCGTTCTATTTATCGACCTCACACATTTTTCACGGTTATTATTTGCTCGACTATGTAGATATGATGTGACAAGCAGTTGAACACTTCTTTTTTCTTTTGAGTTTAAACACACAGCTAACAAATCTCTTCTCGCGATACATATTTATCCATCAACAACGCCAAATAGTTCAACACCTAGTGATTCTTACATTTCTATCTCGGAAAGAACGATTGATAAGTATCGATATGTATGCAGTAATACGATTAACATTTACCAAGAGAAAGGGAAAGTGTTCTATCTCGCGATATCCGCTCGGAAGGGCAAAGATATGACGAAAGAATATCTTGATGCATAAATACTTTCACATCAATGGTCATAACATACTCGAAAGGAAACTCTTGAAAGACTAACTATCTGTTCTTCGTCTTCTTCTCGAATGAATACTCGTCAAATACAGTAAGAATAATCAAATGTTGTTTGCTCTTTATTATAACAAAAAAAAAGAAATTCTCGTTGTAAAATACAATACCTTATTTGAGGTCAAAAGAAGATTAAATTTCATATGATGAAACATATGCTTCACGTATACATTTTAGCACTATAAACGGTCTCAAAACTCCTTAGGTTTTCAACATTTGATCCATTTGCGAAATCCTCAATGTTAAATTCAAATTGAACTGTTGATATATTTGTAAATATTGTTTTAATGATAGGCGTTCCATTTTTCCATGGGACAAAGTTTAAATAGCAGGAAGGAAATTCATTTACCGATGCCTTTTCTATGCAACTTACTTTACTGATAAAAAAGGCAGAAAAAACATTTTCTTATATTTTAAATCCGATTGTGAATAGACGATAATCATCAGGTGAAGAATTTTTTTCTTCTCTGTGTCGTTTTATAACTTGAGAGAATACAATAAAAAAGCCGTTAATTGATTTTCTTTTCAAATGTTTCAAAACTCACTTTGTTTCTTTCATTGGAGAGCGGAGCGACCAACTAAAGTCACGTTCAATAGATCCGATTCTTAGTGAATCAGATGTCGCACTGAGAGAATTGCTTCTGGTGACATTCACACTCATTTGTTTGTTGAACCTTATTGACCAGATGGTCGAATCTAATCAAGTTATCTTCAGTCTCATCTGCGTTGTGTTCACAAAGGAAACTGTTTGTTATCTTTGATAAATGTCATCTCGCTATGTTATTTTGTCACAAGAGATTCTCACATTGATGATGAAACAATTCTGTTTAGTTCACAGGTGATAAATTCATTGCTGATCTTGATAAAATATTCAATCATGATGCGTTCTTAACTCAAGATCTTTTTTATAAATAATCAGTGAGGAAAAAAGTTTTTCTTATAACCAAACAGAAATGAACAACAGCAAGATATGACAATGACAAGAAAACGAAAACGACATTAACATCACCGATTTGTTATAGGCATATGTTCATTCGCATCGATAATAATATTATCGATATGGTTTCCTGTATTATGACGTTGATTAGTTGTCCAATTGTCGAATAAATGATAACCAGTACCGGATGGCTCCCAATCATCGCTTGTTGACTCAAGTGAATAAGTAAATTGTCTTCGTCTTTGGCGTTTACGTTGAAAATAAAGAAATGCAATTGCTATACTAACTGAACTAATTATCAATAGGAGACCAAAGATAATAATCGTTGTGACTACTCCGCCACTAATTGTTCGTTTCATTTTTGGCAGAGTTAATCTCGACATCGATTCTATTCAAACGAAATATATCAAAGATTAGAAAACGAGACTTTTATTTGTCATATACTTGGACAATTGTGTTCATCATTGCCTTGTGGACATGAATAATAACCATCACAATGAAATGTTTGATCACTACACCATTGATCTTGATTATTGATCAGACATCGATATTGATTTGCAAAGCATGGACCTATAAAAATGAAAATGAAATAATTAAAGAAGTTCACGTGAGTTTTCCTCGACCTTTAGTTATGTTTGTGATGGTCATTTCAAATGGTTGAATATTGAAGTGACACAAACTAAACGTTAATGGTAGATCCAAAATGTTACTTCGAAAATACGTGTGATTAAATAACGAATAATTGGTCAAGTCGATCGTTTGGAATTGTTTATTAAATATACGAAACGACGGAATGATCTGTGTAATATTCATATTGATTAATATCTGTTCAGATGAATTTATTGCCGATGGTTTAATCAGAGTTAGATTACAACATGATAAATTCGCTAACGAAGATGGTGTGAAAATGATTGACAATGGCGATGACATATTGATCGTTTGATTACAAAAGGACGTCCATTGAGCTAGGAAAGAAAAATGAATTTTGCAAACTTTTTCTTTTTCCTTTGTTTTCATATTTACCCGAAATCGAATTGGAATAAATCGTTTGAATAAGCGCGAGAAACGACCAGCACCAGAGTAGAATCCTGCTTGTGTTTGTCATGGCTTGAAAATTAAACATATATTGTTCAGTCATTCAATCGTGTGTTTGACGAGCTGAATGGCAAACAAAATTTCTTCTTTCGCTTTCTCTCATTCGGAGATGTATTGTAACGTATCTTGAATGCTGTTGCTGCTTCTAGTTGATTGTCAAATCGGCTACGCATGTTTCTCTCTCTCTCTTTCTCGTTTTTTTCTCTTTTCTTTCGACCTAAAGTAACAAACATAGACATCGGGCAGATTGTTTCTCTTTCTTTGTTTTGCGGACGATGAGTCAGCGCGAGCACGAACGAGAGAGAAAGAACGAAGAGAAGAAAGAACGTGCAATGCATCCACCTTCAACAGTTTCTATCGTATCATCACTAAATAACAACATTGAAAAAGGGAATGAAATATCAGAATCAATTGCTGGATGAATATAAGATTAGATTGACTGGTATATCAAGTGGAATGAATCAACTAGATTTCCCTATGGAAGAAGAAATCTCGAATTATGTTATGTAAAAGAAAAGGAAAGCGTAATCCATGAAGATTTATTTGAGATATAATCAATTGTTTGTTTGATATAATAATTACTAACATTGATTTACTCGTAACGGAAAGAAAGAAATGATTAGGAAATCGAATCCATCCGGTATTTAACAATCGAGTGGAGCTCACGAGAATAATTATACACAGATTTTGTTCTAGTGATTTTTCTCGAAGTGGAATCTCTTTAGTGAAATCGTGACCGGTATGATGATTTTTACGAGAACTTGATTTTCTTTGAAGGCCGCTTAATGTTCATGTCAAAAAATCTAGATTTTAGATAATTACCGAAGATTTATTCTCACGCATTTCGTTAGGATCTAAATTTGAAAAAGGAAAAAGCGGAACGAATACAGTTGTTGTTAATTGAGCTAATAGAATATGAGCAAACTTAGGTGTTTCATACATACTTTCATTGAATAATCGTGTGAAAAGTCTGCTTAGGCTCTCAATTAATTTAGAGAGTCCATATTGATTACTAATGAATAAGTCATGTGCAAATCGTCCTGTGAGACACTTCGATTATCTAATATCGCTGAAAATCGAATAAATCATAAGTTTTAATCTATATTGATTTGACATAGAGTTTCTTCCCACCTTCGATCGTCCTTGAAAATGATGACGATTGAAAGATACTGTCTTTTTTCTATCTAAATGGTAGGTTCTTTCAATATTCTTTCGCATTATTCATTTTATTAAACCCACGCTTTGTATGTATCGTAGGAGGAACTTGATCTATATGTAAGGATTACTATTCACAAATATTCGACAATGCTATATAATCTATTGATTTCTGATCATTGGTTAAAAACACGACTATTATGTTTCACATGAGTTTTTTATTGATTTTAATCGTTTTGCTCACGACAGTCAATGCTAATGGTAAGTGAAGAAACGTGTTTTTCTCGAATTTATATGAGTGTTCTTTAGCAATTCAATGTTCGGAAAACGAAGAGTATAATGAGTGCGGCACTGCTTGTCAAGAAAGTTGCACTTATAAACCACCGTTTTGCACATATCAATGCGTTTCCGGATGTTTCTGTAAAAAAGGTTTCGTACGACAAACCGATGATAAAAGTAAATGCGTACCACAAACACGCTGTTCATGTGGTGTAAATGAATATTTCAACGACTGTGGCTCAGCTTGTCCTGACACATGTTCAGCACGATCTCAATCATGCACAAAACAATGTGTACCGGATTGCTTTTGTAAAGATGGTTTTGTTCGTTTGAATAATCAAACTGGAAGTCCATGTGTACCCGAATCCTTATGCAAAATTACTCTATGTGAAGATCCAAACGCTGAATATGCGGAATGTGGATCATCGTGTCCAAGGACATGCGAAGATGAGTTGAACCCCCTTCGGAAATTTCGAGTTTGTGCATCAGCGTGTCGACGCGGATGCTTCTGTAAGCAAGGTTTTGTTCTTAACAAAAACGGAAAATGTGTCAAACCTGAAAGTTGTTGTCGATCAATCAATGGACTGTATCAATCATGTGGTTCATTATGTCAACAAACATGTGCAGACGAAAATAACTTTACTTGTCTTCTACCATGTGCTCCTGGTTGTTTCTGTGCGACAGATTTCGTACGTGAAAATGACAATATCAATAGTTCTTGTATACATAAGACAACATGCCAAAAGAATCAATAAGTAAAAGATATTTCTTTATGTTCGTTGAAAATATTCTTATAAATAAAGGATTCAATTCTATTTGCGGTTGCCAATAGAATTTGTGCAATACTTTCCGAGACCTTATAAAATACATGTTCGGAGAGTAATCGTTAGTCAGAACGAAAGAAATCACTACAAGATGTTTTAAAAAAATAATCAAAACTGGTTCACAACATAAGTATACACATCTCTTGCTTTTTCTCTCTCTCCAGAATTTACATTCTTCCAACTGATTATGAGACTCGAAGATCAAGATTTCGGTGAGAATATCTACTAATTCACACTGTTTGCAAACACTTAAGATAATTATTATCCTTTTTCATTATTTCGATATGCGTGATAATGAAGCATGATATATCAATATCAACAACAATCTTTCTCCACTCGTTTTCCGTTCCGAATAAAACTTCAGTGACGTTACTTCGTTGTATATACAAATGAATTTTATTTCATAGCATAGAAATTCATGACTTGAGAATGAAACATCAATTATGACATTGGCGATGCTCATTTACATAATATAGGAGATCGGTCATTTATACATTTTTTTTTCTTCACTTCTTTCCTTTTTTTTCGAAATCAGCCAACCATATCCTCCATATATACAAAAAAAAACCGTGTCTTCATATACGTATTCATCGACAAGTTCGTTTCGATGTGTGTTGTTCTCTAATATTCGACAATTTCAACGATTATCTCTAGTTGAAGATTTTCATACAATGTTCTCATGGAGCGTTCAAACACGCATACGGCTAGCACTGATGATGGGCTATATCTGCATCACCGTATTTTTTTCATTGACTACATATATCGTTTACGTTTTCTATAAGCACATTGCACCAAGTGTTATCGAAAAGAAACAGTATGGACTTCTTATTTTTAATCTAATCTTCGGTAACTGGCTTGCAATAAATATTTATTTCAATTATCTAATGGCATGGCTAACATCGCCTGGTCTAGCGAGAGATTATCAAGAATTAGCGTCGCAGTATCCCATGTGTAAAAAATGTTCAATGAACAAACCACCTCGAACGCATCATTGCAGTTGGTGTGATCGATGTATATTGAAGTTCGATCATCATTGTCCTTGTAAGCAAAGATTTTCATTGATTTGCAAGTATGTGTTGATCTGCCTCTCTTAGGGTTGAATAATTGTGTTGGCTTTTATAATCATCGATATTTTTTTCAATTTTGTTGCTTCATGGCTACTGGTTGTATGTATGCAGGCACTTTCGGTTATCGACAGTACCAAATCGCTCTACTTGGAGATCAAATGTAAATGACAATGAACATTGGTTGCACATGTATTGCTCTTATGTTTTCATTTAGATTCTCTTATTCGGATTCAATTTTCTCACCATTTGATATCCTCGATGAAATGGAAATACCTGGTTTTGTAACATATTACATATTTCTAGCTGGTTTTACTATTGGTTTTCTTTTGGTTGGCTTGATTCTCTGGCACGGACGAATGATAGGTCGTGGTGTGACTTCATTAGAACGTGTGCTCAATCACTATTATACTCATCATTATCACGAACAAGGTTTTATCTTTGTCAATCCATATGATTTTGGTTTCGTGGAAAATTGGAAACGGTTTCTCGGTGTGCGAACATTAGGTGAATTCATTCGAAAAGTTCTTTTGCCAAGTACACATAAACCCGAAGGAAATGGAATCACATGGGATGGTTACAATGTTAATACTAATTTACAATTGCATCGACCTGGTCCAAATCAAATGGCACGACCAATTGCTTTTCCTCCGGGTGTTCAACCGAATTTTCCAGGTGGCTATCCAGCCAATCGTTATCGAGCAGCGGTCGTGCCACCATGGGAAAGACAATCAAGACCACCGAATGCTTCTCATAGTTATCAACCAAAACCATTATCAACTGAAACAACAGATGATAGAAAAGATCAATGAAAAGAAAAAGATTGTTTTACTTTGTTTTGAATCAATGACATTTCATTATAGATGAATAAAATACGTCAGAAATGAGTGTTAGAGACAAGAGGTTCGTGTTTCGGTATTTCTTAGTTTATTGTGAAAATGAAAAGTTACACGCGTGGAAAAACACTCCTCTCGTTGCTCTCTCTTCACGCTATCACACGTACATATTTATATGCACACATACAAAGAAAAGTGAATAGATATCACAGGAACAAAGAAAGATATCACTAATACAAAAGATCTAGGGAGATAGAAGGTATCACAATTGATCTAGTTAGAGAGGGGGAGAGAGAGATAGAGAGAGAGAGAGAACAAACGTATATGTATATGAGAGAGATGTCGCCTATAACAATGAGTTTGATCGAGTTTTTTACTGGCGGGTAGGCACGAGCTCATTATCGTAACTTCATGTTCGAGTTACTTCGCTATGTATGCGAACTCATATTTGGTTCATCGTTAGCCTTATCGCGTGAGAGTTTCGAATATCTTTCCGTACACCTTCATAATATCATTGTTCAACTTATACAACAAGCGTTCACAATTGCATTGAGAGCAAAACGAACTCAACTGCTAGGTGATGATCTACAGATAGTTCTCAAGTGTCGAAATATTCCTCCATTGTTTGGTTATTGCCATTCATCAACTACAAATAGAGCATCATCATTCAAGAGTGTATATCAAGGTGCACGTACTCTCTTTTATCAGAATGATACGATCATTAATTTCAGTGAAATACAGTCGATAACAACAAAGTAAATAAATGAGTTTGGAATGAATTTTAATATGTTAATAAGCTGACACTTTTCAGCACTTTACGTGATAAAATACTTTTGGACGTGGAATGGTTAGCTATTGAAGGAGAACAAAAACTTCCACCAATAAAACTGTCGTACTTTAATAACTCCATATTAAAAGTGGAACAACAGCTTTATCTATCATTTTTGCAGTCAAAAAACTTCAATGAAGAAATTCAAAATGCACTAAGTAATGATCAAATCGCTTTGAATACTATTCTTCCTCAATTGATCGACTGGTATCGAAATAATATCTGTGAATGTTTAATACATAGTTGTCGATTAGAAAAACGCCGACACCTTGCCTATTATCTAACAATGATCAATTATTTACTTCAAAATTCGGCGACTGTCATTGACCACTATCTATACATCATCTCACCGATAATTCTCACATGTTTCTTGTATGAATATGAGGTTAGAAAGAAAAACCTGTAATTCCATATATCGAGTTTGCATTTTAGGTTGATGATCCGTCGGATTTTAACGTCAACAACGACGAATCAGTTATCAATACTGGTCATATCTGGTCACTTCGTATTTTATCTGCTCAAGCTTGCATTAAAATATTACGACGTTCGAATTTCCTTATTTATGACACTTTTACCGTTCGTATTTTTTCTCGACTTATCTATTCATTGACTCTTTCAAGTACACCATCTTCTCTCATCTATGCTATTCTCTATTTATTCGAACGATTAGGTTGTCGTGTATGTCGTACATTTCTTTTACCATATCTGGTAGACATAGACTCAGTAAAGGTATTTTCTTCAAAAGCAATACTTAGTATACTTGAACGTATTGCTTTATTGACCACAATAAAATAACAGAGCTGCACTTCTCGATCAATAAACATCGTCCTGTTGTTTTAATACCGATCACATTCATTCACCATAAACGGTTTTAGTGAGGGTCTTAAGCCTTTTATGGTCCTAGATTTATTTGCTAAAAACTTTAAAAGGATCCGAAATTGGTTCAGTATGACACCTTTTTTCACAGAGTAGCAAATCAGAAAAGAGTTTCGCAGTATGTGATGTTGTAACTGATTTTAATTGCGATTCATGTAAAGTTCCACGGTATACAATTGTTCTGATCGACAATGGATGGACATGAAACAATACCTGATGACGACGGATTTAAACAACATTCAAGGTTCGGTAATGAATAAGAAAACATAAGATCAGTTGTGGCTATGTGATCATAAGCTGTTGACTTCTTCGGTGAGAAGATAATATCTTCACAGTCATTACTATATAATTCGTTCCAATCATTGTCGTTGTTAGCAGCATCAGAACATGATATTTGAGTTATTTTACGTGCTAAAATGATTAGATTTACTTCTGAATGTTTTTGATAGTCTCCTATTACTATTACTATTTTCTTCGCTGGATCCCAACGAAGCCGATGTGAAGTCGTAATTTATTGATTTTTTTACTATGCTTTGATTCATTTAGTCACTTCGCTCGGAAGCGCTTGCGACTACTGAATGAGATACATGATAAGCTTACATTTTAGGCATACATTGAAAGCGTAGGGCACGACATGAGAGGATAAGCACCGTCCTTGACCTATTGTCTTCAGACTGGGAAAAAGGTAAGCAAAAGAAAAAGAAAAGAAAAGGGTTTAATACCTCCAATAGTTTTCAGTTTTGGTTTTTCGATACAGAAAAGATGAAGCACAAAGAAGCAGATATGAAAAATGCTAGTGCAGCTAAAGCGTCTTGATCCAAGACGATGAGAGACAAATTGAGTTAATTTGGGAATACAACCTAGTAACTAGTAAAGAACGACTGTTACTGCTGGTAGAGCTTGAGCCAGGAAGAGACGTTCGACTGCATCTACTCATCTTGTTCATTCTCCTCAGCACATTGCTTGTTCTTTTCGTTTGTAAATATGATGTACGGTTTTTCTTTGTTTTCAAAATCATTTATTGATTCCATAAATGATGCTTGTTCCATGACAAAATGACGTAAGTGAATTTGGCAGCGGATTCGCATGAGTTGCTTAATTCGACTTATATTATAAATGGACATCTGATAGGCTAATCTCAGTTCGAATATAAATAGATGTATATCTATATAAACCTACAAGTTTAGTTTAGGAATAGATAGGGATGGATTTAGTTATACCTATGTGTACCGAGGGACATAGGCTGAGACATAGCGCAGCTGAGAGTATTCCTGAGACTATGTATAACAAAATCTATTTCTATCTATTCCAAAACTGGCATGGGTGAATACGCACAGCTAAATCTATCCCTATCTATTCCTAAGTATATGTAGGAGTGTATCAGGAATTCGTCACTTATATTATAAGTCGAATTAGGCAGCTACTCTAACTTCTATGATATTCAACATAGTATTACAGTTGGTTCAACAATGTAAGTAATTAGAAATACCATCACATAGGTCCTATGAATAAAAACTCCGATGTGAGCTACTTTAACAATAGCGTGGAACAATGCTTGAACGTTATTAGTATCCGCTTGAAATAGTTTTTTATGGAATTGATCTAAATCATATCACTGTAGATCTATACAAAATTATAGTCAAGAAGAGAGTTTTTTATGTATTTAACGTCTGGTTTCCTAAATTGTGAACGACTTCGAGACATCAAGTGATAATATTTCTATTCAAAAACCAAACATAGGTAATCTGTCAGTATTTTACGAAAAATATACATCCCAGGTCAACAAATCCGACAGGATTCCTGGTGACAGAATTGCATTGGAATCCGACTAGAAAAATCCCGTCAGTTGTTGCAAATTTTACGAGCGATCTTTTTAGCTATGTTCTATGATGACCCTTAAAAAGCCTGGGAAATCCATGTTTCGGATCCGAGACCGTCGGAATCCAATGCGATTCCGTCACCAGGATTTCATCGGATCCGTCAAATTCCTGTAGGATCTGGTAAAATTCTATATTGGATCCGAGTATGGGATTGTTCGACCTAGGGAACTCCACTATCAGAAAGTGAAACACCTCTACACCCAATGGGAGCAATTGTCTTGTGTTTATGCGTTGGTCTCGCATTGGGAATGGTTTTGACGCACAAGGGATGATAAGGTTCATCCTGGTTTTTTGTTGTGGCGCTGTCACTGTCTTCGTCTCACGGTGTTTTTCTTTTCTTGTGTTTGTGTAATGGAGATTGTTAATTGATCATGATTTATGAATATTGTTCATGCGAATAAATTTATTCAATGAAGAAAGAAACAATAAATGACTCTTTTTTATTGGCAAAACAAATAAATATATTCTCAAGATAGTTTTCCAAAAACAAAACAAGAACAAATAGAAAAAAGAACAAGCATTGCCACATCTATGGCTTATTCAATGCTGTCATGTAATGATACTGTTTGTGTTTAGTTATTTGTTTCAATCTAGAACTACCGGATCTTCGATCATAGAATCCATTTCCATAAAAGATGAAGATGAAGAGACGATAGAGTTGCGCTCGACAAAAAATGATGAAAGCGCACAAAACACCAAATGAGCCAAACAATATTGGAATAAACATTGGATTTCGTAATGAAAAGAAAGTTTTTCTAAAACGTGATGATGTTTCACTTGTATCAATCATAACGCTAGCAACAACAGTGTCATCTTCATTTGGCATCGACGGATTTTGATATTTCATGATGTTCCTAAAATAAAATAGACAAACATAGCTTCAAATCAACATTCAAAAGAATATTTTATTACATATTCGATGGGAGAGTATTGGCCAACGGTTCAGAAGATTTCACTGGTTTACTAACAATACATTGAGGCAAAGGTCTTTGTCTAGTCGTATTATCTAATGGATTCTTTTCAATAACACGTGAAAATATATGTAGACGACTTGTGTTTAACTGTTGAAGTTCAGGTACATCGAGATCCATTTGTCGATTTTCATCCAATTGTAAAAACAGTTTTGGTACGCGGCTCGATGTCGTAAATTCTAATAATGCGAGTAAGAGCCAGTAGCAATCACGAACAAGATGAACTGAATCGATGCAATTTGAATCACCATAGACAGCAATGCGTCCACCACCGGCAGATTCGACTAGGCCAAGAATTGGCATTGAAATTGGATGAGGTTTCATAATGGATTCAATATCGATCTGTGGTTTTTTTGGTCTTTCATGATCTTCGAGATTCAAATGCCGCTGTTGAGGCATATGCGGTGAGACGGGCATCTGTATGATTGTTTCGCCTTGATCATTCAATGGACGATAAATTAGGTAGCCATCGGCAGGAAATCGAACAATATGTGTGCCTATGTGTAACGATATACGTCTGTTTAGTTCTCATGTTACAAATCATTGATAAACAATCGTTTTTGTTACCTGATGCATAGTAAATCATATGTTCACCAAGTTCATAGTTTCCTTCCAAAACCGTATCGCCAAGAGCAATACCAAGTGGCTTCATCATTTTATTCAACGCTGGTAAATTAGCACCACCAGTTTCTGGCAACCACCTACAAGAAGGATAATCATGAAGTAGAGAATGAAAATGCTTGTATCATACCATTGTCGGGTGTTTTCATCGTAGAATTGAACACGTTTCATCACTGATGCATTATACCAATCAGCAAAGACAATCAATGAAAGAGAGTTATTCACAACATCATTATGCAATTTAGCAATCTCCTGATCAAAAAATTCTTCTTCAGGATCAACCACCAACAATGTTCCTTTGAAAAAGTTAAAAAAAAGTTTCACTAGTGAAAATGAAAGTAAACCATTACCATAGAGCGAAGCATCGAAACAAGTATATGGTTGGCCCAATACTTCAACAAAATATCCGGCGTTTCTTAGATGCTCGTAAGCATGACGAAAATTCGTGTGAATATGATCGCCGTTCCAATCCAACGGGTCTTTCTTTTGTTTTAAATCATCACGTGGGAAATAGCCGGGTGGGTAACCAATCGAATGATATTGATCCCATAGTATACGATGAGAACGTACAGGTGTTGGAATGATTCGAACACGAATGGGTAGTACCAGATCACTTCGTTGCGCAAAACTTTCCGAATCCTAGAAATTCAGTGAATTTTCTTTGTCAGACGAAAAAAGCAATGAAATTATGCAAATACTTTAGCAGGTGATTCAACAGTTAATGTCACATGACCTTGAACAGTTCCTTCAAATTCTGCAGCGGTTCGGTGCACCGTCATTGATATTGCTAAATAACCTGACCATGGCCATAATTTCGTTGAAAAATCAAATGATAATTCGAGATGTTGTCCATTTGAATCTTGTGGATGCCATTGTGGCTAAATATACATTATACTTAATTCATTGTGCCGATCGTACGTGCGAGTCTTACTTGTCCAACAACTTCTCCTACAACATCCATTCCATTTAAAATTGTTACATTGACAATGATTGGCATAGCACTATGATAAAGTGGTTGCAAGCAATAAGGCCAAAAATATGGACATTCAGTAAAATCAATGTATGATGGACTTAGTCTGTAAGAAACAAAATAAATGACAGAATTTGCTCGAAAAGAATATTACGATGCTTGAGGTACGTATTGATTCAAGATACGAAATGCACGTAGTAGATTTAACTTTCCATGTCCTTGTTCAAACATATTCGCATGTCGAAGACGGTGTGCAGATGCTAATAAAGCTTGTTTTAAGCTCGCTGGGTTGATTATATTTGGTGTTCGATGAAGTACAGAACTTTAAAAGAAAAAAACGATTTCTTTTTTCTATAGAGAAAAAAGGGAGAATTAATGTCAATGTATACCTTGCTAAAAGTGCAACAGCACCAGCAACAACAGGTGATGCAACACTTGTTCCTGAGAGCACTTTGCAACCAGAAACAAGATTTGAACCCCGTACAAATGAACCGTATGTTACTAAATCAGGTTTCATTCGACCATATCCAGATGGAAGCTAAATATCAAAGAAAACAAAAGTATGAATAACTATTAAATAGGAAAGGGATGTTTTACCTCCCATGTTGTCATTCCTCGAGATGAAAATCGTGATATGGCATCATCGACAGTTATACTTCCAACGCCGATCACGTCCATTTGATCTGCAGGATTATTTAGTGTGCTAGAAAATGAATTTACATAGACATAACGAATACATTAGGAAATACTATACCCATATAATGGTCCATCATTTCCGATAGCGGAAACAAGGATGATACTATTCGAGGTTAAATCCCATACCTAGAGAATAAATTTGTAATTCGACTCAGTTTTGATCAAGACAACTAAACGTACTTTATCAATAAACGGTTGATCCATAAAATCTGGTCCACCGATACTTAAATTCAGAACGTGTACTTTCTTTACAATAGCATAATTAAATGCATCAAGAAACCAAGATGTATACGAGATCTAAATCATATTCCGTTTTTACAAAATCAAAGTAGTGAGAGTTCTTACTTGATTATTTGTGAAAACTTTAAAGATATGTAGTTGTGCCTCTGGAGCTATTCCAAGACATTCTTTATTACTACCGATAACACCGGCAACAAATAGTCCATGGCCAATTGCTGCAAATGAATACAAATATTGAAAGAATGTTGTACGATTTACGAAATTCCTACTGTCATGATCATTCTTTTCATCAGTCCAATTTGTCACTTCTGCGATGTTTGGAAAATGTGGGTGGCCATCTTGAATACCAGTATCAAATATAGCTACATGAATACCAGCACCTCGATGGCCCATTTTCCATAGTTTTGGTGCTTGTAAACTTTCTGCTATTCGAATATGATTCGGTGGACTACGATGTAGTTTTCTTCTGTTTCCATTGACATCATTGTCACCTTCAACTGAACATATCGAGTTGCGATTTCCAGAAAAGTATATAAAACTTACTCTTTGCATGATGAATATGACGAATGATCTGTCGATGAGCATTGACAGCTCGAATAAGTGGATGTTTTTTCAGAGCTTCGATAACCTGATCGTCATTATTGAACTACATTTGAAAAACAACACATTTGTTTCGATGTTATTTAGACATTCGTTTCGAAAAGAATTTTCATACGCGAACAATGTCAAAATCGGACGGATAGCGTTGCATTAAATTCTTTCGCTTGACTATTTCATAATCGAACACATGATTACGTTGAAAAACGTGTGCTAAATAATTTGATCGTGTTAGTTCGTTGTAATAACCCGTGAATTGAACAATAAATTCTTGAATAGAATAACAACAACAAATCAGTTTTTTTCCAAACACATATTTCATCTATACTCTACCATCTTGTATCGCTTTCGCTTCGTATTGAACGCTAAAGTTTTGTTCATCGATATTTGCAGTTAGATTACAGGGAAAGACTTCTTCAGTGTTGATTGTCGTAATAAAGAACAGAAGACAAAGAAATAAACTGTTGTGCAGAACACTGACCATCGTGGTCCATGCTGAATCGAAAAGTATTGTGCGCAGCAGAATTTTTTATTTCATTATCTAAAAGTTTAATTTAATTAGACGAGTTCCACAATAGAAATGAACATAAGAAAAAAAGGGACAAAGAGAAGAAAAAAGTCATTATTCATTTTGTACACATGTCAAGCAGATCGATGAATCATTATTCCTAAAACAGAAACATTCGTGATAGATTAGTTCCTCATCTACACGAGATGAACACGTACATATTTATTGAACAATAAGGACAATATGTCTTATTACATTGCGAACACGATGTAAGATGATTTGAACAGTATTGTTTTTCACAATAATCACATGTAGATATAATTGATACTGTACAATGCATTGATGAACACAATGATACCATTGGATTAGATTTTGTTCCTAGAAATTCGATAAGAGTGTGTGAAGATGATGAAAAACATCGAGTTACCATTGTTTAAAGCAGCATCTTTCAGTTTACGAAAGAAATTTTTTGAACCATCGTATAACTTTTGCTGAGTTGTTTCTATTTTAATGAAAATGGCTGATACAGATTCTCGAATATAACATAGATTACATACGAAAGATGTTATTCAGATGATAGGTTGTCATTCTTTGTCGTTGTTTATTATCGTGTTCATTATTATTACTATCTGAATTCTTTCTTTTTCTCGACATGATCTGAAAACACAAAATTCTCACGCATTTAAACTAAATATTAATTAAAAAGTATATTGTTAGTGTTCACAAACTTTAGAAAAAAAAGCAAAGAATACCAATTAAGATTTAGGTGAATAAAAACGCAAAGCTGAGAAAGAGAAATCGTTCAATTATCACAGAATATTTCAAGTTAAAGTTCATATTTAACTTGCGCAGGAGATTTCATATTGATATAAACATCACTCTTCGATGAACCAATGACTCGAACTGCCTAAATATCAATCACATATTTTGTATACAAAAGAACAGAAAGTGTCATATGATCGTACCATATAATTCAAAAGTGCTTCGACATTGAGTCGCATCTTGTTTTTCAATTCAACATACGCATCTAAATATATCGAAATTTTCGAATCAAATCATTAGACAGATATTTTTCTGTTATTCTTACCCGTTTCGCTTTGATATCGCGCTCGAACAGCTTCAGCTTCAGCATCGGCCCTATAGGAAAGATATCTTGTTAGTGTATATCTGGTCGGAGAGAGCTCACTGATTTAAAATAATGTTGCTGTCAGTGTCAGCGCGTTCTTTGATGATTTGAGCTTGTTTTAACGCTTTTTGATACTCAGTACGGGCTTGTGTTAATAGTTTTGGTCGTTCGTTTTCTGCAATCTATGAATACGCGATCGTTTTCGAAAGAAAAGATATTCGATTTCGTCACGAACTTTGATGTTTTCTTTGGCTGCTTCTTTATCTTTAACAGCCGTTTCGAAATCTGCCGGTCGACGAACATTATTCACCTATTCGAAAACTCAGTGTTAAATACAATCTTCACGAACAGATTTAGTTTACTTGTAAATCACGAAGAATAGCATAGAATGGATTAAAGGTATTCTTCATCTCCTACAAATATTTTCCAAAGTCACACTCAAATCCCTTTTTTCATAACAATTTCAATTTACTTCAAGTAATTTCACTTGAAAATAGCCACGCATACTTTGGAAGGCTGTCGTATTAAAACTAAAATCAATATTGAGTATTTTCATCTTTCAATCATTGGAAATTTACTGTGCACAAGTGTCATGAACCGCAGCTCGACCAGTAGCATAAAGAATCTTTTTATATCCATCAAAATCTGTGAATTGTAAAACAATATCATACAGATATTTTGGATCCGCTTGAAATTGCAAAGTTACATCCAAATTAATCACCACTCCATCTTGATTCAAACACTAAATGTTCGAACATTTTCATAAAAAAAAGTCAGCCGAAATCCTCTCATACTGATATATCATCAAATTCCATCGATGTAAATACACTTGGAAATTTGATAAATCGAAAACCTGGCGCATTCAGATGTAAACCAGAAGACTGAACTTCTCGACTAAGTTTCTTGGAAATCGTATTGTATGAAATGGCAACTAGAAGGAAAGATTCTGTAAACGATGTTCGAAGACTTTCATAAAATACAAACTCTCATCGGTATTCAATCGACCCAAACTTGCAATCAGGAGAGAGACGATCGTAATTAATGATAGAGCGATTCCAACAGAAACCACAACGAATGAAATACCTGACATGTTGAAAAAATTCTTTTCTAAAAAGAAACATGAAGATTATCCAGGAGATTTTATTCAAAAGAAGAAAAATTCTTGCGAATTGTATATTGACGACTAGCAAGTAAGTAGATACGAAAAGAAAACAAAAAACTGACAAATGAATTATTTGAAGATAAAGAGATTATGTGAATGAAGTTTGGAGTGTCTATGTAAATTACACAAAAGAAGAAAGAGAACAGAAAAACGAACATCTGACAGACAGTCATCTGATTCTATTCGTCGAATACATATCTGACTGATAATATGTACATATCAGATCATTCCTAAGGCTTGGGACAACTCTAAAATAGAAGAAATTAGAAAGAAAAAGTCTTTTCGTTCAACAGAATACGCACTTGATCCCGCAAAACTTCCCATTCGTTATAGGCACGTTGATAATTTTCAAATTCTTTACACCAATCGTTGTATTTTTCAATATATTTCTCAGCTGTTAAGCAATTACATTCACCATTGCCTAAAGAGATGCAATCGTCAGAATATGATCATGAAACGTTTCGTGTGAAATTTTAATTATCATATACTATTCGATTCCCTTTGATGTTCTCCCGATGAACATCGACAGGTCATAATTATCATAAAAAGGAATACACATAGGCAATCGAAGGAGAAATTTGATCGCGTATTAATTTCGTTTGACTTACGTCGCGAGAGATTTGTAATTGTAGTTGATACATCACCATAGACATATGCTTCTAAAACAAATGAACCGAATAGAAAAATGATTTGATGATTATTTCTATTGTCTTACCACGATCTGTTTCGAGTGAATAGGAAACAATTGGCTGATGACCTACGAAACAGGTATACTGGCCATTGAGTGAATTATTCATGTTAATGATGATTAAATCTAAGAAATAAATGAAGATGTTTCGATGATTTATAAAGATCAATTTCGTTTACTGTGTTCTTTAGTAAGAAGGTAATTGTTGAATAGAGTTTCTTGAATATTTCGACCATTCCAACGCCATTCAATTGACGAACGCAAATATTCGCTAACATCGCATTGTAACCAGACGGTTTCTCCTTTCTTTCGTGTTAATTGAAGTATTTTACCTATGAAAAACCCCATAACTTTCATTCTTTTTGCGAAAGCAATGATAGACAGAAACATACTTGGACGTTGTACGGACTTCTTACACCATGATTCCGGTTGTAAACGAGCAATTGCTGATTTGACATGACTGAAAACAAATGTTCAACATTGAACTCTGCAGAAATTCTGTACATACTTTTCATCAACATTTGAGCAACGATTTTGTTGAACATCATAATGACATAATGGATCTCGTTCACATTCCGTGCACAGCATATATCGATTACATTGATTTACTGAGAATTGATAAACAGCTGCATCTGTTGAAACGTACAATTGTTTTGTATCCTAAGAAGAAGAATTACATACAAATAGTAACTATTCGTGTCATATTTTCAATTTACCTGAGCGAGAACCATGTTTCTAACAGGTGACTTTTCATTTATGTTTTCATCTAAGATCCATGAAGTCAGCAAGATGAATTTTTCTCCTGCTTTTCTTTGTACTAGTTTTAAAACTTGACCATCTTGTGTACCAGCATAGATCAATGTCATTGGATAATCAGTATTTGGGCTAATCGAGTCTGTCACAAGTCGAGTGATAATTGTATCTGACGTTTGGAAAGCAATTTCCATTGGCGGAGAAGAGAAGATGTTTCCGTTCATAAGAACATGTGATCGAAGGAAACTTAAAGCTGTGTCGGACAACGAGCCATTAGATTCGCACTGCACAAAGATATATTAAGATGAAATGACGATTGGAAGAAGATTGCCAACTCACATTTTTTGCTACACCTTCAGGAACATGATCACGTGGTAATTCTCTCCAGAAACTAGTCGAGTCAGCTTCTTTGAAGTTTCCATCAAGCGCTGCATCGATATCTCGTCGAGAATATTCACAAATAATTGATGTTGTTAAATCACCACTATTAAAAAAAAATAGTAAGAATCAAGTGATTATTCCGTTGAGAAAATAGTGTTTACATACGGTGTGCTGGTAAATGAGATTATGAATCGATCATCTGCAAGTTTGGCTACGGAATCTGGATAAGATAAGTTTTTTTTTATACAAGAAAAACTACTTTCATTAATTTAAACGTACTGATTTCGTTGAATACGAAAGGTGATTCATTTGTTCCGCTTAAACAACTGATTCTTGCTTTGCGAAATGTTGTCCACGTATTGGCCATGATTGTTGCCGTGTCGACATCATTCTAAAATCGAATTTTGACATTTACCTGTTTCTATTTATTCAAAAGAATTTACTTTGCACAAACGACCAACGCGAGAATAGATTTTTGGAAAGATATCACGTTGTTCTTCAGCCTTTTCTCGAAAAAAGAAATAGATATTTGAACCAACGTCGAAAGATGCGATAAATTCCGGTGCTAAACAAAGAATAAAACGATAATAATACAATATCATCAATCCAGGTCAATTTTACCGCTTAACCAATCTGTATCATATTGAGGTGTACGTAAGAATTTCACAGTTCCATCGTCAGATGGTGGCCGATAAATGATTGGCTCAGTTTTCGTATAATCAATCACAGCGCCCGTATAGAAAAATCCAAAATTGTGGGGATTTCCTTCATCTAAGCAACGAAATAGTTCCTATTTACATTCAGTGAGGTCTTCTTACCTGACCAAAGTGCAGTGTTATTATGTCGAGGATCACGTGAACAATAACCAAAACCTTCTTTACTTCCTTGTTTTTCCGTTAGATCAGGCTAAATTAGTTTCCAAAACATTAGATAACGCGGTATAAACGTGAATTCAATTTCTTACATTAAAGTAGTATATTTTTGGTGAAAACGCATTGGTTGAACATGCAAATACATCATTGTATTTACCCTTTCGACGTAATAATACTCGAACGTGGTTTTCGCAATCAAATGCCTTTAATTTCAATGAAAAATATTTATTTTTTCACAGGAAATATTTCATACCTGGTTTAACGAATGTGACAAGCATTTTTGTACTTCATCACGTTTCGATGGAATGTCAATGGATTTATAAACCTATTCGGATACAATGTTAACTGTCCTACAAATTTGAACATAAAACACTTACTGAGCTGGTTCTGTCTTCAATATTATCCCGATTTAATCGAACAATCATATTTCTATTGAACAAGAACAAACATTAAAATGAAAATAAAGCAAAGTCTCACTTACTGTCCACCAACATAAAGACTATCATCATCGAGTAATAAATTCCAATAATAATTCAGACCTGATGTATACTTATGAATAGCTAAATAACAAAACCCAATGACACATTTCTATCCGCACAATCAGATATGTATGACTTACAATTTGGAACATATTTTGAACGAGGAATGGTTGATGCAGAAATACAATCAACTAATGTAATACCAAACAGAAGAGCAACAGCTAGACTAGTCATAATATCTGAAACAAAAAAGTAACAATCTATGTTACTCTACAGCCATATAGATAGGCGAGTGAAAATTAGATGTTAGAAATCTTGATTGCATCGATTCTCTTCTATTGTTGGATGAGATAGGATACGATAATGTGCTGTCATCAAAAGGATATATGATTAAGTCGAACGTCTTACGCAACGTTCAGAAAAGTAAGAAGTCTACAGTTCATCATGAAAGAAAATAAATATCACTGATAATAGATTCAACGGTTCAATAAACTCTGCATTGTCATGATTCGTTTCCAACTAAACAAAATTCACTGTCGAAAAAAAGAATGAAAAAAATTCTCCTGAAACTAAGGAAGGGCACTTGAACTGACTTGTACTGACGATAAAGAATATTAGAGAACATGAAAGAAGTGCAATAAATGATAACAGTCTCCTTAACACACGATTGTCATTGTTTCATATCTGTCTTTGTCCTATAAAATGTTTTACAAACAAGGTACGATTATTAAACATGAAGATTTGATCGTTGGTATCTATGTCAAAGTAAGATGTCAACATAAAACAATGCGAAAAGGAAAAAAGAGCAAATCATATGTCGACTTAACGTCAACAAACACATTCTAACGTAAAATGTTCGATTTTTCGTAGGAAGCTTACATAGTCAAATGAGATGATACGATTAGGAAAAGAGACACAACAGGTTCGATTCAATGTCAAAACGAAAGTATGTTTTTTCTCTTTCATACGAGTGACAATGACCGTCTCGTTCTCTATTTTTACTAATAAAGTATGTGTGAAGGACTAATGATAACATATAATTATTCGAATGACTATTAGCGACAACAGGTCAAGTGATTTCATCCTTCGGAAAAAAATTCTTCGATCTTTTCTCCAATAAAATTTGTAAAATATGATTTAAAATTTATTTGTATGAGAATTTAGAAAGAATTTATCAAAACTAAACACTAGCGCCCTCTATCTGAGAACCTTGACATTCGGATTGTACATGAAAGTAGACCAACGCTAACGGAAGAAGGAAAAGAAGACTGGCACGAGATAAATACATGTATTCTTTTTTTTGTTTTAGCTTTGATGATCAGTATCAGAATATGTCTTCGTGAGAAAATCTTAGACGCGTCATGAGTACATTCTTTTCATTGACGTTTTTTTCTGCATGACATTTTTCTGTTGACTCATGTGATCATTTAACGATTGATATACTCTAGAAAATCTTCTAATCAAATTTATTTCCTAATCGTTTTGGTTACGTGCTAATTTGAACGGCTCATCAATTATGATGACCGTTCTATCGATGATTATTTGGTGTCTCCTTTTATCTCTTATTCCACGTGCTTCCTCAGATGTTTATGTGGTAAGGATGAAGCAAAAAAATTAACATTTAAAGTGTAAAATATGATTCGCTTTCACAGTATACTGAAGGAAATAGACTCATAGAAGAATATGATGATCAAGCAGCTAATTTCGGTCCGGCACTTACAGCTGACGGAATAAAGGTAAGTCATTTCTTTGCTTCAATATTTTGACCTTATGTAGTTTTTTCATAGGGCTATGTAATATTAACTAATCCAAAAAATGCTTGCACTAAGGTAGCAGCGGCACCTAATATAACGCTTGCTGGTTACCGGTGGATTGCATTAATTCCTCGAACGAATTCAGTTGATGTGTGCGATTTCGATCTTAAAGTAAGATTTCTATTTGTGAAAGATTCTTTCGAGATATCTATGAACCTATTCGTAGGTCTTAAATGCTCAAAATGCAAATTTTAGTGCAGTTATTATTTACAATTACGATGATTCACTTATATCGATGGGTGCACATGGACGCAGTGAGTTGAATAAAAGCAAACAATTTTCTCTACATTGATTTCTCAATTTTGCTTTATTAGATATTCAAATTCCATCAACATTAATAACCCATTCCGATGGAGTATCAATTATTACGAATTACTTGTACAATCAAACAGCATCGAAGTCATCTTCTCAGTAAGTAAACATGCCGTTTATTTCGAAAATTCCATTAAATTGTGTGTCATTCTTCTCTTAAAAACAATAGATTTTATATCAGATTGACCGGTGAACAGTTATTCAATTTTCGTCCTTATTTAATACCATTCCTTTGTATTATTGGTATATCACTTCTTGGTTTCATCAGTTTTATGGTAATAACAAAAAAACATATCTTATGGAGATGATTGTCGCCTATGATTTGTTATAGATGGTGAAATGCTATTTGCAACATCGTCACACTCGTCGTCATCGCCTACCGCGATCAGCTTTGAAACAGTTGAAAGTTAAAAAATTTGTCAAAGGTGACCGATGGGAAGTTTGCGCTATTTGTCTTGATGATTATGAAGATGGTGCAAAATTACGCATATTACCTTGTGATCACGGTTCGTGTTCTCACAGTGTGACCAGTCTTTTTTTATTATTTCGTTTTTTACTTTTCTCTTCTAGCTTATCACATGAAATGTATCGATCCTTGGCTATTGAATAATCGACGTCAATGTCCTGTATGTAAACGTTATGTATTTCCAAATCATGACAATTCAGATGAAGAAAGTAACGAGCATACTACAACAGAACGGACACCATTGATACAGCCCTCGAATGATGATTCAATACCTGAACCTTCTCTGACTGGTCAAACAGGTAGATCTGAAACATTCACAGCGAGTCAACAATTAATAGATTTATTTATAGAACGTCGAAGAACTGGATTATTCCGTTCTGGTGCTTCTAATAACAATGGTCGTAATGATGCTTTTGATTCCGAGGGAAATGATGATGTCGAAGATATTTCTGTACTGCCAAGACAGTCAACAGCCAATCGAATAACTACAACCGATCTTGTATTCGATCAATCGGAATCAAATTTTCAACGTCATTCGCATCCGCAACTGCCACGCATTGTTCTACGTCAATCAAGCACTGACGAACGAAATAATAATAATAATACAAACACAACATTAACATCCTATGGAAGTTTTCATGAATCTCCATCAGGATCGTTTACTACGCCGCGTGCTGCAAATTTCTTCGTAGGTTCTCTAGGTGGTACTACTGATAATACCAATGTATCAGCGCGTTCAGTTATCGAAGATGTCAGTGATGTTGAACCAGACGAAGATGACGAACGAATGCATTCAGTGTTGACTGATGTTGAAATAAACCAAGCATATGTTCCCGATGAAGAAAAGACGGATGTACTTCGAACAAATGTATAAAGTTGTCTTTTATGTTCACTTTTCTTGGCTTGTCTTTCGAAGTATTCAACAGTGTATACCTTAACTTTCTTCGCTCTTCTCCTCTCTCTTGAATTCCTTCAATCGAGTCAATCGACGTCTCAATTCTATGTTCAAACAACAAAACACATGATGAACTGCGATGTTAATAATGAAGCGGCGTTTCATTGCCAACAATGTTCTATTTCTTTTCTGTACTTCTTTTTTTGTAATTTTCTGTGTGATTATATGCTAATGAGACCAAATTCAAGTGAAAAGTTATTCATGAATGATGTATAGTCAATCAGTTTACTCGCTTTAGAAGTATGGAGCTGGCTATCAGCTATCTACTGAAACTAATCATAAACAGATATCAAGGTAAAAGGGATACAGTAAGACATTATCGAAAATCCTACCATTTCAAATGAAACATGGCAAAATCAATAATTCTAAGTGTATTTTACTGAATATACAATAAAATGCAAAGATAATGAATGAAACAAAGGTCATTTTTGTTATTTCCTTATTACGGGAATAGTCAACAGCAAGTATCATTAGACCACATATATCAATGTATTGTTTGCATCGTCGGCGTACCACTCTCTGTTTTCGTGGTTTGCTCGCTCGTCCGCCTGTCACGATCTATAAAACGACAGAAAGTCGTTTGCTTTGAACAAATTTTTCTTTGTACGTTGTCACTGTTCGATGTGCCTTCCTTGAGTGTTCGAAAGAATTAGGGAGTCACACGAACAATGCAAATGCGCATAAGAAACAATATCGTTAGTTATTTTGAACATCGAACAGCAGTATATTTTTTTGGACATCAAAAACACCGATCTGATTGTGCTTCGCTTCTGTTCCTATTTATGATTGAAAGCAAGTAATATCAACGGTCTGAGATTCATCGGAAAGTTCGTATGGGTGTTAAACCATTTGATATCTAATGAGCAGAAGATCCAAAATTTGTCGTACGAGGTCATATCAGCTGAAATAGAAAAATTATAGCTCATTAGAAATTATAATGTAGTTAGCACCAGTAGTAGCTCTCTTAGTGTCTGGTACTGTTGTAGGCAGAAATATTCATTTCTGGCCGTTATTTCTTCTGTTAGGACGGTTTGCAGACCTTGTTAGAGGCTTCTATAATAAAGTGAGCGAATATAGGACATCAATGTGAATATACTGAATATGAGAAAATATCTTCAAATTATTTCGCTCCTTTATGGAGGAATGTGCGCTATTCTACTGTGTATAGACGTGGAAATTCCCTGTGACTGTTCCTAATTAGAAAAGTTTTCCGGTTCGGATGCAGTTCATATTTGAACTATCCGTCTTGCTCTTTCCGAAGAGTCTCTTTTTCATTAGTTATGGTTACGTTTTTGCGTCTTTGAAAATATGCCCTATTTTTTGCATGTTGTATTCATTCTGAACATGTCACTGATGGATCATTTTTCCATAAAAAAGAAAACAAAAATCCATATCTTAAAGACTATTACTTGTATGATACAAGAAGTATTCAACGATTCTTCTCTCTCTCACTCTTCTACTTGATCGTAAACATGACGCATTGCATTAATATTTGTATGTTTTGTTGAGTCGATGGGAAATGGAACCTTGTCACTATTAGTGTGTCGCTTTTCCATGCCGGAAAATCAGCAAAGTTGTCAGACATTTATTTAAAGTATACGTGTCAATGATGTTTTATAAAGTCAAGAGCGACAAGTTGTAGACATGTAAATCAATAAGAGTTGTGTTTAGATGGCGTTATCGATATTCAATATTAGAATTTATGAAAGAAATATTTTTAAAAATATTCTTTTTGCCCGTTCACTTCTTCCAATATATAGGAAACGAGATTTCGACTTTTGAAGTTAAAGATAAATGATGATTTCTACTAAGAATTGAATTTCATCTGATCGCGTCCTCTCATGTGAAAATTCCTTTTGTTTTCATTTTGTTAACAAATGACTAATAGAAAAACAAAAGAAATAGTTGAATTCAGGCTGTAAAAATTTTATACGAAAAGACGAACATCATCGATATGATTGTATCGAAGGGCAAATTCGTTTCTTACAACAACGAATCGTGTCAGTCGAACAGAAATATTCGGCTATTTATGAAAATCAAAGGAAAAAATTGGATATTTTCTATGAAAACTATACGATTGTCGAACAGAGTTGCAAACTGATGATTAAGTTGGGAGTTTTTTGCATCATTGGTAATTGACATTGAAACTCTACTTTTGAAAAAAAAATGGAGAATCAACTATAAATTGATCTCCTCATATATCCAAGAAAATATTTTCCCGTCTGTTTAAGAACGTATTCCTAAGAATACATATCTTTCATTTTTCACGATAATGTTGTATTTATGAAAGAGTTCCATTTGCTAACAAAAAAAATGTTTGCATAGTGTAACGTATTCTCATACATACAATAATAAGTGCCAAAATTGAATGATTAGAAACCGGTAAGTATTATTCGCGTAATTGGAAAGTTTTTCAGTGAAAACAATTTGCTATCTCTAACAATCGAAGAATCCATTTGATAATCAGAATCAGATATACAACTCAGACGTAACAATGACGGTTTTCATTTACAAACCAAATTTATTAACAGATAATACTTGACCAAGAAGTTTTATTCCATGGATCAGTTTCTCTTTCAATAACAATATAACTCCATGAACTTCACCGGTATCATAAATAAAGCTAAAAGACGTTTTCGTTTAGTTGGAAGTTAAATGAAATTGTGCTACTTGACTTGGAACAATAAGATAAAGTTGTTAGCTCTTGATTCACAGCTACAATTATATCGTTAACTTCGCCCTTAAGAATTTGGTATACGGAGAAAATATTGATGGGAGATAAACATAGACGCAATATTCATTTGTCTTATTGTTCTACGATATCTATACGCTGTCGTTCTCTACGACTGTTATTCGTGAATAATATGTAAAACTTCCGAAATATCACTTTGGCAGAGTTTTTGACAATGTACTACACTGATTTGAAAAAGAGCAAATGATCAGAACTGAACATCTTTCGCTGGAAGGATCATATTTTACTTTTGTGAAAAGTGTCTACTCGAGTACATTGTAAGCTGTCACTCGATATGAAAGCGCCTTCTGAAAAAGCGCATGGATCTTCCTAGATTCATCCGGATATAAATTCGTAGAAAATAAGTACAAGACGAATAACAAAAGTGAAAAAAAAATCAGTAATATACATCCAGCATAGCATTACTATTGGTATTTACATTGTTAGATTGAAATATGTGGTCTCGTGATGGGCCCGACAATGGCCGTGCAGGTTGTTGATAATTATTTAATAAATTTCCATTCGATGCACGCAGTATAAATTCATTTGTATCAAAATATTTGAATGGGGGCGTTTGTTGCTTACTAATATATGTAGATGGTGTTGGTTGTTCGAAACGTTTTGGTGGACTTTCGTGTTGGTAGTATGTCACAGATGATTTGGTATTTGGATGAGCTGCATAGAGAGGATGCTGTAATGGTATCGGAGCCACTCTTCGTTCCGTTGGTGGGCTCAACATACCATAGAATGGTGGTTGCAACGTCGGACTATGATTTGTTAATAGATTAGGCTGTGAACCGACTGTCGTAGGTGATGTCGATGTCCATAACGGGTTCGTGGGAATAGGTGCACCACTCCCACTGGCTAGACGACTTTCGTAACGTGGACTAAGGTGTATTCTATGCGGTGGTTGAATATGCAAGTTGGTCTCGGAACGAGCTCGAATTTCATTTGGTTTTTGAAGTTGTTGCTGTTGCTGTTGATGATGATGATGATGATGATGATGGAGACGAGTATTATTATAGTAAGCATTTAAATCGTTTTGTAACTCGTAATTGTTGCTCCGTGCGAAAAGCTTTCTGCAAGAATGAATAGGGCAAAATAGAATAACGTTGAAAAAAAGAAAAGCACGAACTTAGTAATGGCTGTAATAGGCGGTGGTCGAAAGCGAAACACTGCTGACTTATCTGGTTGCTCGATTTCGAGAGGTTCGATGTTGCCATCATTATCCGTCATTATTGAATCTGTTTCATCTTTGAGAAAATCGAATGCTAAGCTCACGGTTTCGACCTATGGAAAGAATAAGGAATAGGTTTCGCGTAAATTAAGATCGTAGATTGTATACCGGATCAAGAGATATGTCACTTCTCTGAGAAGAAAAACGTATTCTTTCAGGATTTTCAAAGCCATTACTGCTATTATCGGATATTTTTATTCCATCTCGACTTGACTTATTGTTAGACGAGTCGTGATTCGTAAACGTCGGCCGTTGTCGTGGTCGCTGATTATCTTGATCAATTGATGTATAACCAACAATCGATGGCTAAAGCATGAAGAGAAGAACAAGAATTAGTTTGTTCATTTTCAAAACTCTGTCAGTGTTCAAGATTCCTAAGTCACCTTTGCTCGAAAACATAGTCCACAATTAGCTCGCAGCTTTGCCGTTAAATTAGCAGTGAAACTGGACGACATTAATTTGTCATGTTTGAGACGAATCATCGTGTCAGTTGAAAGAAGGAATGAATGAATGTGGCAATGGTCATCATTCAGTTCTCCTCATTTAGATGGAATAAAGCATAGAACAAATGTTGGTGGTTACCTCAGATGGATAAACACAGAAAAAGTGATCGCTCATTTAAATTGACTTCCTTTCATTTCTTTCTCTTTGTCTGTATGATCGGCAACAAGTCTTTTGCTTGAATAATACCCTTTGTTCAACACATCTAATGAGCTATTGATCGATCACAGGAAGTCAAAAAGTGAACAACAAGCGTAGACGTACTGAACAGTCATCAAACAAAAAATCTCTCATTTACCTCGGTACTTTTCCATGCTTGAGCACGTTGAATATTTCCACGATGAGCATGAACTGTATCATAATCTTTCGGGGGGAATAGGAGAGGTTCTTGAGAATCGATTTTCTTCTGTAGTTCTTGTGTTATTGATTTAACAGGATCGATCCTGTCTGGCCGACTACTGCTACTTCCCGATGACGATGAAAGGCCAGTATTAGTTCGATTAGATTCTAGAGTTGTTGTCTTAGGTGACTGTGATGGTATTTTCGAAGAATTATTTCGATCTGTGGTCAGTAGACTCTGTTGAAGTAATTCTCGTTCAAGTCGGAGAACTTGTGATCGATGATCATCGAGGAAAATGAACGCACGGAAACGAATTAACAGTTTTTGAGCCGCACGCGATGAATCACACCGGTACGCGTGTACAAACGCAGGATAATGACGACCTGTCAATGGTGATATGTAGACAATACCTAATAGGAACGAGAAAACCAATCAACGTTTCTATTCATCTATTCTATCGTCAATAACATACCAACTGTATCATGCGAAGATTTACTAATAGTTGAACCAGCGATCATTGATGCCGGTACGAAAGTGGAATAGTTTTGTTCATCTTCATAAACAATTTTGATACCATCCCGAGATACTGATAATTTCGTTTTCACAAATTCACGTTTCGATTTCGATTGTCGAACTAAATTAATCGCTTCGCGTATGGATGGCTCATTGAGAAGCAAAGCTGCGGCTGTACAACCACAGTAATCGACATGAAATGTTTTAGGTTTCGGAAATTTATGCAAAGCCATTGCACAGAACTAAATATACGCACATATGTATGTAGTACTCTGATACAAATGAGAATGAAAGTGACTGTTCATATACAGTCAAAGTTTGTCAATAAAACAAAGGAAAGAACAATATAATAAAAAAGAAGAAGCTAATGAACAAGTTGTATTCGAAAAGATTGGACCTTGAGACAATAGCCATGTCGACAATTCTGTGTTGACTTTAGAGAACGTGACTGTTACCTTATTTACGATAAAGAGAGGAGAAAGGGCAAATCTGACCTATTAATTGAGACAAATCAATACATCTATCTATCGCCTTGAACAATTCCGTTTTCTATCCTTTTCTTTCGTTCTCACATATCTCCTTTCATTCATTTTAAGATGTCAGTCAGTTGACTTTACCTACTTTCGCTAATTAATTAATGACGATATAAACCATCTTGCTACCAAAACATCCAAACAACTGTTACTCATCCTCTCAAATCTCACTACAATTACGATACAGTATTGAATTTCAAAAAAAGGCGAAATCGACCGACAAATAATCACATTTTAATAAATGACGATCATATATATATATATACACACCTATGGATGACGAAAACGACAACAACATCGACGAAAAAAAAATGAATAGTTAATAAGAGTATGTGAATAGAATCTTATTCTCTATAGTTCGTAATTTCATTCTGTAATTACTAATCAGACACTTGAGAAGAAAGAGAAAGGCGGTATGAAATGAATTCGCCTACAATTTCTCTCTCTTTTCATCGTCTTCCAAGTGCACACATGTGGGTGTTTGAGATTAAAAAAACAACACGATATTTTATTTCTGCTTCATTTATCATCAACTCGAACTTCGACGATTTGTTCTCGTTTAACAAAAAAACACGATGCCATTCAATTACACACATAAAATGTCAACTGACTAAATATATATATATAAATTACGAGTAATACAATTTTTAAGGTCACTCGAAAGAAAAAAATTACAATATACATACTTTATATAAACACTATTTTATGTTTAGATCTTTGTCAATCGTATCATATATGCAAAGCAAAAAAAAAGAGTGTTGAGTTGGTAAATAGATAATAAAAACTTGATGAAAAAAGAAGAGAAAGAAGGATGTATATTGTTCAAATATCATTACGTCAAACAATGTTTGTTTTTTACATATAAATGTTCTCATTTCAATTACATTTTCGAATATTCATTGCTTTCATTTGACATAAAATTCGATTAAATTTTCGAACTAATAACAACACAAAGAATCAATACACTTCTTCCACCTCATTTCTACGCTATTTTATTTATCTTGACAGTGAACTTTGCTGATCTACGTCATGTATGTCCGTAATTTACCGTTCATTAGCTGGTTTTTTTTATAGATGTACTTTGCTCGATTCGTTAATAACTTTATGATAGTACTTACCGTAGAGTTTATAGGATGACAAGGACAACAGGATGGCCAATGTGTTATCGACTAGATGATATCGTACTTTTGGTTGCTATTCATTTCGCATTTTTATCTTTCAGTTGTCAACACATTCTTGAATCTTTACGTAAATGATTATCAGTTTGTTTTGTATTCTTTTCTCGCTTTTTGAAATACAATTTTCATTGATTTTAAGAGAATGTAATTTTATTTTATGTCATTATATCAATATTAATAAACATATATATATATATGTATATACGTGAAAAGAAAAGAGAATGAGAAATAATCCCAGAACTAAATTCTAAGTTTTTCTTTTGATAAAGGGATATCGTATTAGAAACCAAAGCTGAACTTAAGAGAGATATGTCTATATACAGAGAAGAAGTGTGAACAGCACGATGAATTAGAGTGTACAAAACAAAAGAAAATAAGATGAAAAAGAAAAACGAAATTGCACATGAAATCGAATTAACAAGTGGATAGAATTCATTCTTGTTGATCGGGTGGTTTGCGAAAGAATTTTAGCTTGTCTCGGAACGACATGGTTTCCGTTGACACTCCACTTGAATCATCATTATTCACATTTTCTTTATTAATACCATTCATATGACCATTTTGTTGTTGAAAACGTTTCGAACGGAAACGTGGATCTAAGTAAACTTCTTGTGAACCGATAACAGAAGGTGTATGATGATTGGTTGCATCATCATTCGTGTATAAGTCATCTCGACGTGTTAATTCAGCAGTTATACGCTCAACAGCATGAAGTGATGAAACAGGTATTGCAACAATACTCGATGTTGGCGACGTTTCATGTGCTGGCGGCAGCGGTGGTGGAGGCAAAGGTGGACTGATTAATTGATGCTCACTAGAAATAAACGAATCAACAATGGAGGACTTTTCAGTTGTTTTGGAAAATGCTACTTTGATGCTCGTTGCATTAATGATTGTTTGATGTTGTTGGCAACTGCAAAGGAAATATCTCTGGCTGGTGGTGGAGGTGGGATCGGTGGCGAAAATTGATAATCGATATTATCTTTTGAAATTGGAATATGACCAGATGATGACGAATGTTTCATTGAATCATTTGGTACAGGTGGTGAATCGGGTATACGCTGTAAAATAGAACTTATTCGAAGAATTTGTTATAGTCTTTAGCATCTTACAATATGTTTGGATAATCGAGCTTGTTCTTTCTTCGCTTCAATTGATCGATCCTCTTCGGACATTCGACGTATTTGTAGATCACGTATATCGCGATCAGCACGATCCTTGAAGAACGGAAATGTTGATTAATATCCTTTTGTGAAAACATCTTTCGGTAGAATAACATACTCGATCTTTACGTAGACGAGCTTCGAGATCAGCTTCTCGTTTTGCTTGTAAACGATTGGCATGTGCGCGTTCAACTTGTCGATCGTGTTCGTACTGTTCCAAACGACGTTTCAATCTACACAGTAAAATACAATTCTATACGAGCCAAAGGACATTTTCTTCTTATTTACTTTTCATCGAATTCGTTCATGTCATCATTTGCATCTGATGATGGTGATACCGTTGAAATCTTTAAAGAGAAATTATTGATACGCAAGTTTTGATGATTGTGTTACTTACAGGAATAATATTCATACGTTCTTCTTCAATTTCGGCTCCATTTGTTTGGAAAGTGAACTCTTCAACACGTCGATCAAATTCGTGTTCCAATTTCAAATTACTAAAACAACAAAGTTTTAATTTGAAAAGAGTTTTAGTGTCAGGAAATATACTTTAATTCTTTTTCTTCGAAATCTGTGCGTTCAGGACGACTTGATAGGTCGTTGATACGTTTTAAACGTAATTCACTGATATTATTCTGACGAGTATGTGCCAACTTAGGTGCTTCAGGTTGTGGTGTACGCGGTTTTCTAGATGAATAACAACAATTTGAATGGATTAGATGAACATCTTTGTAACCTACCGTATGGGTGGGGCTAATTGATCTGAAGATGAGGATAAGCTTGCTTTCGATAATCGATAGGCGATATCATTATCATTATTGGTCTGAAATGAAACGAGAAGGGTTTCGAATAAAGTTATTTGTAAATTTGACTTACTGTATTTGTATTTTTGATTAGTGCAAGAGCACTAATCATTGGTTTAGGTAAGGGTTTTGGTGCTATTGTCGGTCCAATAGCGGATTGTGTATGATTTATAGGTTTGGATTGATGATTGCCATTGGTATAACCATTTTGAGGTGGTGGTGGTGGAATATCTTCACGAAAGATCAATGGTGGAGCAGTCGATAAATTTCGATCACCGAATGATTGTCGTTCACTAGCTGAACGAATGAAGTTAGTTGGTTGCAGATCTTCTTCATCTTCTTCAATCTCTTCATCTTCCTCATCGTTTGTATGTCCATTGTGATGATAATATTCATTTCCATTCATATGATGATTATCATGATCGTAAGGTCGTTTAGGAATATCGAATGTTTGGTTTCGATTGTTGATGGATGTGTATTGAACTTGATTTGAATGGAATAGGTTCGGGTTCGATTGATGTTGTTGAGATGAGAGATAATTGTGTAATAAATCATTATTATTGCTTTCTTCAGCGAGTAGTTGTGCTGAACGTGCTGGCTGAATTAATCGATGAGGATTTTCATGTTGAACCAGACGTTGTTGTTGTTGTTGTTGTTGAGGATTTGAATTGGTAATCGGAACACTTTTAGCATTATAGACAAATTCATATGATGATGAAGTGGCAGGTAATTGCGAACGAGAGGCCGGTCGCGGTTGTGTTGCAATTGTTGGTGGCATTTGAGGAGGAAGTGGTTGATGGTGATGATGATGGTGCGGTGGATGAGCTAAGGTCGCAAAATGATTTTGATGGTGTTGAGATGGACCATTAGTATGAGTTAACAGTCGTTCATGGCTACCAGCAGACTTCAAAGGACCTGATGAAGATGATATTGGAAGATGTGGATGCGATAACAATGATGGATTTGATGTTGAAGGAAAATGAGCGAGTTGTTGTTGTTGTTGTTGTTGATGATGGATATGATGGTGATTTTCAGATGGTTTAGTAAGTAAAGCAGAAAGACCTTGACGATTAGCTGCATCTTTAAGAACTTGTAATGTAACCATTGGCCCACATTGTTTCAATGCTTCTGCGGCTCTAAATTAAACAAACAAATTCAGATGAAACATAATTAATCTTTCCCGTAGACTTGTCTACATACTGTTCTTGTGTAATATCAATAAGACTTATTTTATCTACACAAAGTATTTGATCACCAGCTTGCAGACGTCCATCATCTTCAGCTGCGCCGCCTGGCACAATGGCTTTAATATAAATGCCTTGAAATTGTTGCGATTCGCCCTGACAAAGAGAAACTACATTGAACACAGCGATCTTCTTGACTGGAAAACTTACTTTTGCTGCAACAATACTTAAACCAAGACTATTTCCTTTTTTATTCAATGTCACCGTTTCCACACTGTGACTTCCATCATTACTATTATTATGCCCATTTTCCACCTAAATTAAATCCAGAAATGATTTCAAGAAAATGTTTTTCACAAAAATTACATTTGATATTTCCATAAATTCAGTCCACATTCCTAAACTATGTGGATTTGTAAATAATCGGCATAATGATGAACGGCTCATTGGTTCGATAAATTCGAACAATTGTTGAGGTATACCGCGTAGATTTTCACATGTATAACCATCTTCAGGTAACAGAAATGGCAAATTCAATTCCGGCTCTTCAGCTAGTTGAACAAGTACACCTTCGCGACGTAAATTTTCATCGACATGTTTATAAGCCGCAGCTAGAAGACTAAATAAAAGAAAAGTAAGTCGATGAACTGATTAGTCGTGATTATATAAAAGAAAAATGCCAGTAAAACAAGTCATTAATATCATGCTCAATTGAAGATTAAACAACTATCAATATCGATGAAAGATATCATCAATCAACGACTCAGATACCCTTGATTCTCTCTCTTTCTTCTACACAATCTTCTATTACAACGCATGAACATATTAGACATGACTGAGAAAAATGACATGTGTATCTTTGATGAGTATGATCATCGTTTCTAATCAATTTGTAGTGATAGAATGGTATCGCTAAGTTATCGGTAACATGTCGGAAAGAATAACAAGCTCGTTGGTATTGAAAGATCTACTTATTTAACATTTATTTGATGTGTCATGTAATATAAATCAGAATGTTGCATTTCTCCTCGTTACTAATCTCCTTTTTGAATATTAAACAAGTAATCCGATCTGACGTTGTTTTTAAACAAACGAAACCTTAGTCGAATAGTTCTGTTTGTGATGGTCAACACGATTTTAATCCTTCAAAAAAAAAATGGTTCAATTTCTCACTTACGCTTGACTGAATGTCGATGAGATCGGTGTTTCATTTCGATTTGACATATAATTATTCAAGATTTGCTTCACTTGAATGGAATTCAATTTAAAATTGTTATTCGATATTAATTGTTGAACATCATGCGCATCACGTTTATTATTTTGCAATAGTAAACATATTTGATTAACCTTCGTTAAATGACAATCCGATGCTAATTCGAGACCTTGCCGTTGTGCCCAATCACTAATCGATTTCAAACGTACAGATAACTTTTCTCCCCAGAAATGCGAACATAATTTCAACTCTGGACAGCAAACCATTCGATTGAATAACCAAGTGTTGATATAATGAAAGATCTGAGAAAACATTTGGATCGTTAAGGCAGCATTCACTCGACATTTACGTAATAAATCCATAATTGATGAGAGTGTTGCAAGAATATCACCTAATGTCGCTTGGTGATAATTATTACCATTCATATCCAATGACAACCACCGTGCATCGGAGAGTTCGACATTTGTCGAACTATTTTCTTCTAGCAAAACCGCATTTTTGAAAGATTTCAAGACAAAGATTTCTCTCCTTACCGAAAGCAATGTACACATCGTGTTCGACATCATCTTGTGGATTGGTAAACGAGGTTAAATATTTGTCCAATTCATTTTGAACAAGATGTGTTAAGTAACGAAACAATCGCTGGACACATTCAGCTAGACGATCTTGAACATCGTGCGAGATTTTCGAAATATCACGATCTTGTTTGATAAAATAAAGTAATTCCGACGTATTTGCAATCCAATATGCTAAGTAACCACCATTTTCATGACATTCCTTTCGAAAGGGAAATGTTTTGAAGAAGAAATCAATGAAATTCAAAGACATACTTCGATTTTCTTACTTATCATATCTTCGATACGATAAAGTAATGAAATAATATTTTCCTGTTTTTGCACCAATGGAAGATTTGGTTTTCCATAGGGAGAAAGACGATGTCGTAATGCCATATAGATTGCGTACACAGGTGAGAGACGAAATTGAATGTTGCTTAATGGATAGTTTTCGAAAACAGTATGGAGAAATCGACTTTCAGCTAAAAAGTTTAGATATTAGATTTCCTTCGTCCATCCATTAACAATCAACATTAATATCAATCTTCTGTAATCTTAGATTTATGTTTATACTCGACAGAATTCGATCTGCATGTTTTTTAGGAAAGATTTCGAATGTCTTCTTCACTATTTAATCCGATCAGAAATCAAAGTCAGATTCAGCTGTTAATTATTAATCTCTATTAAACAACTTAAATACATCGTAATCCCTTGAGATGTTGACTTTTGCTTTGCTTACTCAACTACGTTTGTTCCAGATTGACACATCTGTCAAAAACAAATCATATCTGGAAGTATTCTATGCTTATCTTAATCAGTTATAAGAAGAGAGTTAATTGCATGTCTTTCGCTTCTAATGACTAGTAGAAGTCAGAATAAATATTCTTACTTTCATTAGGAACTTCTAATAGACCCGGAAGAACGTCGATCATTGTTCTGAAAAATATCAACAAAGAAATCTTAATCAAGGACATCGACAAGGTGACGTCTTTTTTTACCCAGGATCAACGTTTGGACTGGGTTTTTTCGCTGGTAAATCTTTTGCTGGTCGAATTTGCAATGTATTCGATTCAACTGAACTAGATTTCTTCGCTGCAGCCATCGGTAATGTTGAGAGAGAACCGTGTGACAATGGTTTGTCACCATTTAATTGTACTTTTGGTTTGACGGTTGTTTTATTAACGAATTGTGGATCGCAATAACGAAATGTAGAATTTCGTCCGAAACAAACCAATGAACCATGTTGAAGAACAAATGGTGTGGAAACAAGTTTGCCATTTAGCCATACCTCACCACGAGGAGTTAAAGTGACAATCCCATTTTGATTGTGAATGGTACAATGATCGCGATCAATACCAACTCCGTCGATCTAAATATCCATTCAATTCTTTTCTTGAGCATAGAGTTTTTGCGTTATTTACATAGAAATATTGTTTGCCAACACCTGCTTTGGCATCTCGACCAACATATGTTGTATTAGGATGAATTTTGAAGACACGGGGTGTGGCGAGATCAGTTCCGTCTAGGAGAAATTTTCATTTGTTTCTTTTCTACGGTTTTTTATTCAAACAAATCTTACCATTTTTCACTTCAACAAACATTGACAAATGATCGTTGATGGTTCGATCTTGAATCGATGGCGTTGGAGCTGAATCCATCGCTGATTCTTGTGCGCGAAGTCGCTTACGAATTTCGATATATTCCGGTGGACATTTAACGACTTTGAACATGATTGAACCTAAACAAAAGATTTTCGTTGAAAATGCGCCGTATGTTTTTTACGACCAGACAAACCTTCGTTTTTCTGAGCGTGATTTAAACAAATACTTAATGGACACTCTTTGTCGTGAAGAATAACTTCTTTTATGGTTTTATTATCCATTTGATCACGTGGTGGAATAACAATCTTTAATAAGAAAAATAAATACCTGAGATGTTTCGCGAAAAAGACGCGAAAGGAAGAAAAAGTATTCTCATACTTGAAGAAGGCAATAATTCTGAGGGTCTTCATGTTTTAATCCGTATTTCTCCAGCATTTCTTTCACAACCCATTCAGCTGTATCTTTGATGGATAAAAGAAATGTTTTGTATGGAATCGATGGATTTAATGCATCACCAAACACTTTCATTGTACCACCTTGACGAACAACAAAAACACAGACTACGAACGAATGATTCAATCAAGGACTACCTCCTTCTTTGGTGCTAATTTTGATAAATTTTTGCTTTAAACGATCTTGTTGAATTTTTTTCACCATTTCAGGATTCGATAATGAACGAGTAAATTTGTTCGTTTCAGGAACAGATTTGTATAGTGATTCAACAATCGCAGTTGGTGTTACAGTCGATGGTTGATTATCGTTTTCATCGACACCATTTTTCTAGACAGACAATGAATAATTTTTATACAACGAAGAAAAAAGTTCGACAAGAATTATGTTTCTCGTTCTCGTTTTCGAATACCTATCGCAATGTATAAAGATACGTTGAAGGTGTCTGTACAATAAATAAATAAAAAGAGAAAAAGAAAAAAATATATCGATATGATTGGACACATATTTGATTTCTTGTACAAGGTGAAGTGTTACACTTTTTCGTTTGACTTAATAAGTTTTGAGTGATTCGTCTCATTCGACGATTGAATATGAAGACTTTCAACTATTTAGTCAAGCATTAGAAAGGACAATTTTGAACCTCGATCGTTAATGGACTACTGCACTCGCATATAGTTATATTGATCATTAACCCTCAATATCTATGTAAATCTTTCCCTAAAAAGTTTCGCAAATTATGGTTTCGTTTGGTCAGATGAGGTCATTTCGCTGACTCGTAAGTATTTCTACACACAACGGTTAATCAGATAGTACGATGAATTTTAAGGATAATATTAGAACTGAATCATCCACAACACCAAGGAAAAGAACGAAGTAAGCGACAAGCGTACATTAAAAGCAGAGCATTATGATTACCGATGAACTCTCGTCGAAGGAAATCCTATTATGAAAAGAGAGAGAGAGACATGCAATATACCATGCGTTTGAAATATTCTTATCATTTCAATTAAAATTACAAGGAGAATATAGTTTGAAACATACTTTATCTTGCTTTTTCTTTTTCTTTGATTCGCGTTTGGATGATCGTCGTTCTTTGAAACTTCCGCCGATTGGTTTTGATAACTAAGAGACGAAATCGATTATGAAAATAGAAAACCTTTTCGCCGAATACGAACTTTAGGTAATTTGGCATTTTGTAGAACGAATCGACCTTCTCTTTGATCTTTACCCCAATAAAGTTGAACCCACAATGGTCGTTCATCCATTTCTAACTTTCGTCCATCTAGTAACAAAGAAATACATCACCATTCATCTTTTTCCGATCATCGAAACATACCTCCATTCGGATGAACTTCATAAATACAATAATCCCTTTCGTTTGGTAATGTTTTCATATCCGGTCTTAGTTTTTCCATAAGAACACGGATAACATCTAATGTTGTCGCTGTACTTGCTACGCGTATACATTTGGTTGTCACTTTATCTTCGGCATCTTGGAAGTAAAATCTCATAACCCCATAGAAATCGAGAACTTCATTAGGTTCGCTGATTTTAAATAAATCCAAACGAGTTGAATTCCACTCGTTAATAAGATTGAGTATTTCCAAACGGTCTTTCGGCAATCCGTTCATGGTCATGTCATATCTAGAAAAAGAATATTTGTCTAATGCAAGAGAAAAGAAAGGAACTAATATCATCTCCGGCCTTCGCCATACAACCGACAATCGATAATAATAAAGAATGAAAGATCTTTATCGACGGTTGCTTTTTTCTAGGGATGTTATAAACATGTCGATTGGAAAGTTCAACTGACGAGCAATTCTTCCTGTTATGTTCATTCATTTTTTTCTCTCTTTACCGTCCACATGAACGAACGAAACAATGACCCAGAAAGTGAAAATAAACACAAATCAAAATTCGCTCATAGATGTCGCCAAACACGTTGTACATGATTGGTTGAATGACCTATGAAATCATTCGCCGGGCTACTACGTATAAATATTCTAAGGAAAACTAGTCAATGTATTAGAAATCTTAAGCGGACGGCATTGACGAAGTGTCAAAGGCCATCGATCTGCCATTCCAACACAGTTCAATAACAGCAGTGGTATCATCTTGTCATTCCATTCTATTTTCTTCTCAGAGCTTATACTCAATGAACCTCAAATTAATCCTGTATGCTTAGCTAGTGATAAGAAGAATTCATTGAAACAAATTTCTTTATAGAAATTCAAAATGCTTGAGGAGTTTTTCAAGAATCTACTCAACATTTCGTAAGTGTGCTGTTCTAAATGTTGTGTATTGCACAATAATGGTGCAATTACTATCTGTGATTTTTTCTGGGTATTTAAATGAGTATAAATAGTTGACTCGTGCTTATCTTTAGGACAGATTGATTTACATGTCGCGCGAATGATGTCGTCATCAAAGAAAAATTACACTGTTAGTTGCTTGTTTTTTTTATTGCATAGTTCCATGAAATTTTTCTGTTATTGTATAGATTTCTGTCGAAGGAAATATTGGGTCAGGGTAAGTTGATGACATTTAGATGTCAATCAGTGATATTAATAAAGATGAATGTTTAGAAAAAGCACTGTGTTATCCTGTCTTTCGAAAACATCGTTATTTGACGTAAGAAGATTACCTTTTGATCATTGAACTTACCATTCGGTGCAATAGATCGTTGCAGAACCGATTGAAACATGGACTAATTTAAAAGGTCACAATCTTCTTGTAAGTAATGTCACCATCGAATGAAATAACTTTATCAATTGCTTATTCGAGGCAATGCTCTACAACGATCCACATCGTTGGGGGTTTACATTCCAAGCAAATGCTCAAATGTCTCTAGCAAAATTGCACGAACAACCAGCGAAGGCACCCGTTAAAGTTATGGAAAGATCGATCTATAGTGCACGATATTGTTTCGTAGAGAATCTTTACAAAAAGTATGATTATGATTGGTGCTTTGCCTTTCATTGCTGTTGGTTTTAGTAAAATTTTACAACCTGTTGAGTACGAGATTTTGAAAGACTGGTTTGAAGTATTAATATCGAATGACTCTTGTCATCTTGATCTCATTGGTACGAAATGTTTGGTTAGTCAATGCTTTATCATCTATTCATCTTTCGTTTTAGTATATTTACGTACATCTCCAGAAACATGTCTTGAACGTATTAAAACTCGTAATCGACCTGAGGAACAATCCATTACTCTTGATTATTTATATCAATTACACGAATGTCATGAACAATGGCTTTCGTCTCGAACTCGGACAGTGAAAACACCTGTTCTCGTTATTGATGCTGATCAAACAAGAGAACGCGTATACAGTGAAACAAACACACACTTGATAAATCTCGCTTCATGTTAAATGTTTATTCTATATATATACATATGTTGTTATTACCGTTTTGTATGACAATAACACAAGTCAGATGGTTATTCATCATCCATTGTTGTTAAATATTCCCGAGGAAATAAACAAGCAATACGAAGAAGTGGTCTTGCATAGTTTGTACTATTTTTGATCTAAAACGAAAAATAAATAAGACAAATGTTGCCAGAGATCAGTTACCTGAATACCGAAACGTAGTTTTTCAAGTAAGTAGGTCCATTTAAGTTTAGTCTTTTGTTCATCGTTCATTAGAATGAATTCATCGACCTAAAATAGTATCATTTGATGAAGTATCGCAAGAATATCGTTTCTTACTGAACATTTGAGTATTTTTCTTGCAACATCATCACCTAATTTGACGTTGGTAATTGTTCCTGTTTGATCTGTCAAGTGAACATTTATATTAAAACTTTCTTTTGTTGAAAGATTTTCATCATTCATTTGTTCCAATAATTTCATTCGACATTCGGCTTCAGAACATTCGTTCACGCCGTTCGTCTCTCGAATTGATCGATTACAAAAAATACTACAAAGAATGTCATTCTTAAAACAATTGAATTCAAACATCAACTTACCATTTCTTTGTAATTATTTGATTTAGCGGTCCATCAAGATCGAAATGACTGAGAAAACACTGAACGATGAACGTATCATTATTCTCCCCATCAGATAAATATTGTTTTAATTCCTGAATCGTCACAACTGTTGCTTGCAGTGCTAATGAGATACACAAATGAAGATAATCAACCTCATTAACTTGTCTTACAATTAAAAGCACCATCTAGGGCAACATTAAGTAAATCATCAACTGGAATTGATCGCATTGATTCAAACAATTGAGCAGATTCATTTGTATCTTTACAGAAGATAAACTTCCCATGATCATCCGTATATCCAATAAACATATTCTCCGGTAGTTTATTTTGACAATCGATTGACATTTCTACACATGTTTATACTCAATTTGTGATATATATCATAACGATTTCTCTCGGTGGGAAGCATGTCTGTAAGAAATTAATCAATGCCGTCAAAATAGACTCGCTGAGAATATCAAACTTCAATATAAAATACCTGGATTGACAGTAAACAAGCTTTGTCGTGTTGCGGTTAAACCATAAACTTTTCGATATTCATCATAACGAACACGTACTCCAACGCAAAATATAATATGTTCTTCCGGAATCCATCGTTGAGCAAACTAAAACTCAGATTTTAAATCATCGGACAAGAAATACTAGTTTTACTTTGATCTGTTCACTATCCCAGAATGTTAACCAAACTCCACTTGTTTCGCCATCGAAAAGCAAAACTTCTAACAATTGTTTTTCTTCATTATCATAATCTGTGTCACGCTGCCGTCGTGTTCGAATCGTTTTCAATACACCAACCTACTCATTCCATCCCGACAAAGGAATCCAAATACTCATTTCACTTACTTGTTGTACACCAGCTAAAACATTGATCCCCTCAGTTTTTTTCATTAATTGTTCACCATGAGTAACGATCTGTGCTAATGTGTAATAATCATTTCCTGCACGGCATGGGACATAAGCAAGAAATTCGTATTGTTTCGCTTTTGGACCTTCGATTTTTTCAACATACGATTTTTCATTTAAAGAAAGTTCGAAAGAACTAAATAAATTATGATAAACACGAAGTAAACCCATGGGAAGAAATGACATACAATGGTGTCCATGGTGTGTAACTATGAGCTCGATCTTCTGACTTCGGTTTAACATTTGGATAATGAATTGCCACTAAACAAAAGCAGATCTATCGATTGTTTCCTCTCATAACCGCATGCAAATCTTCTTACCAACATCACCAGTCGAAAATTTACTACTAACAATAATCAAATCCTTTGGTGCAAGCCAATAGGCAACATTGATGAAATCTTTCGGTGAATCTCGGAATGTAAAATTCAATACACTTCTTTGATGCCGATCACCTAAAGTCAATGACAATAAGTAACACTATTGAAGTCGAACACAATCATACTTCCATCAAATGTTCGCATTTCGACTTTACCAATCACCATTCCGAACAGAACCTATTCATAATCATTTAAAATTTCTATTCAATCGAAAAGGATAAACTCTTACACCATCGATGAAACCTGGATTATCCGATGACATTCGATTCAGTTTAACAACTCGTTGATTCGCACCCATTGATTGTTCAAAATCCTAATTTATTAATCGGGCATAATCCTTTCAATAGATTTCGATCAACTTACCATAATAATTAACCGTTACAAAGTGTTCATTGACTAGTCCGATTGAATGATATTATTTTCTTGTTCTCGAGGTAATGCAATTTGATTGGCCCATTTGATTTGAAATCAATTCAGTTCGATCCGTTATGATCATATTCAATAAAAATCAGTCTCTTAAAGCTCGTTATGTTTATTAATAATCTTTCGTGAAAAAATAATGACAAAAAAGGAAAATAAATCACTACAGTCTACATCTATTTATACAGAATACAGTTGTTCAAATAAAAAAAGAGAAAAAAAGAACTTCACTGAAATACAAACTTTTCTCGTTGTCATCTCAAAATTGTTCTCTATAAAGACTTCACTGATTTCTTTGCTTTTTCAAAAACATTACTAAAGTATACGAAGAAAATTGCGACATGTTGAGAAGAGAAATGAATGAAATTTTAAGCCACTCCTATCAAATCTTGTCTTAGTCGGTTTTGACGACGTTCCATAACTTGTTTACCGAAACGTTTCGCGGCAAGAACAGCACGGACAGTTAATCTCATCGGTTGTTTTTGTTCCGGTTGATCATTGAACGGTTTTCGAGGTGTATCATTGTTCACACGTAATGCATTATTTGGATTTGGATTCAATAATGGTGTTGTTTGTGTTAAAGTAACATGTGGATGTGGTGTAAAATATGATTGTTCAATAATACGTCGTTGTTGAGAAACAAGTGATCGCATACCTAATGCAATCTGTCGATTAACCAGTGAGCCTTGAACGAATTCTCGACAAAATGTCTTCACATGATTGAGATTGAAATGATTTTCATGATGACATTCGTCATTATAGAGTTTTGTTGCATACTAAAAGTATAAGAATATGATGTGGTGTGAGTAAAGAATTGTTTATTTTACGAAATAATGGTTGGCTCGATCGGTTGGTTCACCAGGCATGTCAGCAACAATCATAGCGATGTAGCCCGCAAGACCAAGGACTAATTCTACTGGATAAGTACATGTCCATAAGATATAGTTCAAATGTGGAATCTCAGGACGGATTTGACGCATAAATTTAAGTGAAAGAACGAGTACCGATGTGGCAAGAAGTGACGCATTGAAACAACTCGACCATGATTGAATACATGCCACATGAATAAATAAATTACTCAATGCTCGAATCTACGTGAAAGTTGAAGAATAAAACATTGAATGAAGATGAAGATTTACCTTTGGTTCATTTAATTTACATGTTTCAGTTGAATTCAATTCCAAGAAAAGTTCAACAAATTCTTGCGGTAATGCTAATTGAAAATCGAAATTCAGTTCGGCAAATAAATGTCGAACGATATGACCAATATCACGTGGATCAAATGCATTTGCTGAATAACGAGAATATTCTTCCAACTAAAACGAAAACGTTCGAATAAAAATGTTTTATTCATTGACATTTCCTCACTTTGACTTGAATACGATTATGAAATTTAGCCACAAGAATAAAATAACCCATGGCACGCAATTGATAATCTCGATCGTAATGGCCGCGCAATGTATCACGAGCATCGAGCAACCGAACACAATGTTGAGCTACTTCTTCTTTCATATGATTCTTACGCTAAAAAGTCTTTTCGAAATGAATTCCAAGATCGACGACAATGACAAAACAACACACCTGGATTCCAATTAACCAATTGACAATTGATTGTCGCCATATGAGACTAACTGCTGAACGCTGTAGAACAGTTCGGAGCCAAAGGACACTGAAATTTAACGTATGTGATTGTCGTGCTTCCAGTAGCTATTAAAATAAAAACAGAATGTGTTCATAAAATGTGTGTTATTAGGAAGACACACCTACGAGAAGAGTATTGGTATGTTCAAATAAATACTGATGGAGACCAACTCGTTGAATACGTGATGCATGAGTTTGATAGTCAGTTGAAGATGCAGAAATCGGTTCCAAAGTATCCGTATGAACTAGAAAGACAAATCAATTAAGAAAAAGAAGTTTTCAGTAGAAATGAAATCGTACAATTGTAACAAAAAATCGTTGATTGAAGAGGTCGTTGAACTGTCGACAAGCTATTGTTACTGTATGGACTCTAATGAAGTAAAAGAATACGTTAGGATGGAATAAATCAAGTTGGAAAAGAAAAGCTTTACATCGCCAGTTGAACAGGGCACTAATTGATTCCGATCGTCTCCCATGCGTTGCGAATGACGTGTGACTAGTTGTGTTTGTCTATCTCAAAAAGAAATTAAATGACAACGGATGAAGAAGTAGGAAAACGAATTCAACATATTCTCTTTTTCTTTTCTTGCCTTTCGTGTTCGACTACAGAATAGAGATAAGCACATTTCCATATCGTAGTCGTTGATTTATACCTAGATTGTCCGAGAGAAAACAAATGTGTATATATATAGTCATCATCGAACTGTTTACTAGCTGTTTCTTTGTCATCCGTAGCCATCGATAACGATACTGAGCATGTGACTGAAGTCTTCTGTTTTTCACCAAGACGACTTTTGGAAAATTAATTTCAAATCGAATTAATTGAACTTTTTAACAATTACGAAGCACAAGTGATGAAATATTCCACTTGTAGTAGATCTTTTTCCATCAGCTGATTTTCAATCCAAATACAGTTCTCGTTGACTAAGTTGCTGAATGCCGAGAGCATTTTTTCGTCCTGTTGAATATGGGGGAAAGATGACGGTTCACTTTCTTTCCAGTACATTTAGTTGGTGCAAAACTTGGCGGAATGTATATAAGAATGCATTTCATGTCTCTCTTTTATTTTCGCTTTGAGGACAACGGTAACGGACGGTACATAGAAAACTCATTTTTTATTATATTTATACAGGGTATAAGTAAAGTAGGCAATTATTTCCTCTACGGCTGTCTACGGACTTCCGCCGTATCGAAATAGATTTCTGTTGGATTTCGAATTGAACTCTTTAACGAATAATGTAGTTTTCAAAGCAGATACCGAGCAGAAATTATTTTCCTCACGCCTTCACTTTCAAAAAGAGTCGTCCGATTAATCAGCAGATCACTATTAGTTCGATACTTGCATGAATGTGCGACACCGATGTGATAGATGTCGTTTGCTTCTCGAGACGTGCTTCGCGAAGAACCACCAATAATATATTTTAACGTTGAGAGAAACAAATGAATACTTGACCAACCGTCAATACTTGTCAGCAATCAAATCATCTGGCAAACGGAATAAATAAAAATAAATACAATGCATCAACGAAGCAGCCATTCGAATATGTCAACAACATATGTCTCTTCACGTTCGAGTAGTTCCCAACCGACTGACTCAACAAATGCTCGTCTAGTTGCTTTTTGTTCAACATCATCAAGATCTTCGTCGATTTCGACATCATCAACAAACGACATCGAACATCTATATGTCCCACGTCCATCAATTGAATCCGATTTTCTCTTTGAATCATGTCTTATCGTATTTAAAATGATTTCTCTCTTCTTACAGTATTTGTTAATCTACAAATCAGAGAAATGGATCGGTCCTTATCATTCACCATCAGATTCGTTTATGGATTGGTATCGAATAGATTATTGTATTGTGACCATTTTAGTCGTATTTTGCATATCATTCCAAGAAAGATTCTTTCCTCTTCGCATTCTAATCAACATTATTGCATTTATCTATTCATATTGGTTTTACTCGTGGAAATATGTTTTGGCTTTTACTTATCCACTTGTTTGTTCATTGCTTGTTTATCAAGATCAGAATTCCAAATCGAATAAATCCCAACAAATGTCCATTTCCTCGAATTCACTACCTGCACATTGGTGCTCAACAAATGCGTACGATCTTCGCTATGAAACCGATTGTCTCCGAATGGATTTCAATCAACGTATTCGACATATCCTCTTTTCTTCATTTCTATCGTTTTACTACATTTGCATCGTTCCATTAGCATTTTGTGATACACAGCATATTCGCCTTGATATTCTTCTTCTTCTTCAATATGGCTTCAGTTTATTTCTTAGTTTAATTATGATTTATATCAGTCATTATTTACCTTTGGAATTGTTAACTGTGCTTCATCGGAACGGGAAACATCTTGGCTTATGGCAATGTTTACCAACCCATAATCATCCATCAATGATTCCACTATGGGATGAAAAGAATCCTACAGCGTATGAAGCGAACTCAATTGTAAAACATAAACGACAGATATATCGTTCATCAAACTCTTCTTCAACTGTTGCTGAACCGGGTAATATGTATCATGCTCGTTTTGCAATTTTATTCGGTCGACCAATGATTTTCCCGTTAATTCTATGTTCATTACAAATCATACTTTCGATTATCCAGTTCACCTTTATTTTCCTTGATCCACGCTGGTTTGTCGTCGTTTCACAAATGATTTTGTTTATTATGAATACATATACTATTCGACATACGATACGCGATACGTATTTACTCTATTTAGTTTATTATTGAGAATGACAAGCGAAGTTTCACGTTGTATTATACCAATGTTAGGAAGGAACAAACTGGTTTTTATTTCAGATATGGATATGTTTACTTTTTATGTGTATTCGACAATGCGTCGTCACTCGTCTTTATTCAAACTTTCATCGATTAGGTTAATTGCACTATAATTCCAAATGAGTAAGAAAAGATTGCTTTCTGCTATTTGATTGGATAACGCAGACAACTAACCAAACGATAGCAATGTTTTTCTTTCTATTGTTCCGTGGTATTTTGAATGAATGAATTACAATTCAATTCGAATCGATCGATGCGTTTGATTAATTAATCAGTATCGGACACTGTGCTAATGTAACAGTAGTATTTTTTTGTGAAATAACTTTTTTTAATGTGAATTCAGATATAGAAAAGAAAATAATAGCAATTCGATTCGAAATGAATCTCAAGTCTTGTTTTGTTTGTTGTATTGATGAATGAATTTGCTTTTGTTTGTAGATAGAATCATGATGAAAAAACTTGATTACGTTAATCTACCAGGAATCGTGAGCGGAAAAAGTTGCCTTTGAAAAAAAAATGACGTTTTTTCTCGATAGGTAAACGATCAACCGGATTGTTTTGAGACACCTGATTATCCAACCAATGAACAAAGTAATGAGGCTGGTTATGATAATTCTGAAGCTGTCAATCAATTCGACATCAATTCAAAAGAAGTTCATGATGCATTCAATGGAAAATACCTGAATGGCAAAGCCGCTAGTATGTTAAAACCATAAAATAATCCTTTTTACAAGTTGAGCATTTGTTTTCTAGATTTTTCTGATAATGCAACAAAAGCTCGAGGTTATGTTCAACATGGCATCTATCAGAATGTAAATCTTTTCGATCAAACTCATTTGATTTTTATTTATCTTGTGCATAGTATGCTGAACATGAGCCGGAAACAGCGATTGAACGTTATAAACGTTTGATGTCTGAATTGCAGGAACTAGAAGGAGAATTCAACCAAGTAATTCTATGAACAATCTGTTCTCTTTCTCACTATTGCATTTCAGACGTCGAAAGAAGGCTTAAGTAAAGAAGAGAGTGAAAATTTAAATACACTTGTTCAGCACATCCAACAACTACAAGAACATACATCCAAAGTTTACGGAGCGAAATTTCTGTTAAGTGAACGCGATACAAGGTCAGTCATGATTTGAATAAAATGGTTTGTTTTTACTAAGAAGTTCGTTGTAGTTCATTACTGACAAAACTGGCCGCATCAAAGCAAGAAGCGAAACAAACAAATGGAGGACAAAAGACTTCGGATACATTCAAGTTGTATATCAATCCAGCAACGGCTGCAAGTGTTGGAACTTCATCAACATCTGCTCTTCAGGTGTGAATCTTTGCATCTAGATCAAAGAAAATCAGTGTTCATTATTTAGCTTTCGGATCTCGAACAAAAAGTGTCGAAACTAGAGAACTTGATTGGTCTCAATGAACAACAATCGGTAAGGAAGATCTTTCTTTCTAGAACTAATGTTAAATCTTTTATTTTCTCAGATTGAATCGAGAACCCTATTGGTAAGTTGATATTCGCAGCATCATCTTCTTTTATAGTAGACTTCTTCCCCGTAGAATTCTCTTGAACAATTAACCACACGAGTTAATTTACTCGATGGTGCAAATATCGATCATATCGATATGAAACTAGCTAATGTTCTTTCGCGTTTGAATGCCATCAATGAGAAAAAAGCAACTGTTGATGAACAAGACAAACAAAGCAAAGTAAAACGTGAAAATCCTAATCGATTATGTGAATAGTTTAACTCTAGGCTGTGGAATTGTTCGATATGATGTCGCGTTGGGAAACAATGGCAGCGAATCTACCAATTATTCAACAACGTCTCATCGCTCTCAACGAACTTCATCAACAAGGTACACTTTCTAAGGTCTTCAAGAAAATATTTTTTGTTGGTTTTCCTTTTAGCTTTTCAATTCAGCACTGGACTTTCACATTATGAAGCTGAACAACAAGCATTGAAAACATCGCTTGATGCGAATGATCAACTTCTAAAACAAGTATAATCCGTTCAATCACTCGAATTTGTTTCTAATTTCTTTTTCTTTAGTTGAAAACAACATTTGAATCGAATCTCGACTCTCTCAAAAGTCAATTAAATAGCATCGATCAAAAACTTGTCACAAGTGGTAAAAAGAAATAAGCGATGCATATTGAAATGTGTTTATGTACAAATGGTACAAACTTTATTCTATTCTATCGTTTTTCTTTTCATGGTGCATCAGATAGTTCGTTTGGTTGATTTTACTTTGGCATTTGTAATCGCATATATTTTATTATTGATCGGTTGACGTTCTTTTTTCCAATAAAAATGTGAAGGGAAGTTATACCACTACACATTGTATTATAGACGTAATTCCCTTTTCTGATAGAAAGGGCTATACAGCAGTTAAATCCTGAGCTCGAAATGCTTAAAGGTTGTCTGTCTGTCCTATCCAATAAAAAGTCAGCATTTTTAAGAGCAATGAAATTCATCGATAGTCACCAGGGATTTACAACTGGTACAGTAATCAAGGTCAAGGAACTCGAATCTGATGTTAGCTTTAACCAACTATTAGCTACCTGTCGGTTGGACATAAACTATTAAGATATATAGCAAGGGTTGATCCAAGGGTAATCGATGTCGTCAAATTCCAATATGAGATTAGCTTTTTCTTATTCACCGAGCGTAGACTTCTTCCTTCCTTTCTCCGAAAAGGTTTTTTTTTCATGTAAAATATCTTGGACACGGATTTGCACACGAGTGTATTCCAACTCGGTGAGCTTTATCGATTCCAATCATGAAAAATTCTGGGTGAGGGTAGTGTGAAAACTTTTTTAACGATTAGAATCGATAGAGCTCACCAAGTTCTACTTGGAACAAATGTGATCATAGTTGAAATACACTCGTGTCTGGATTCGTTCAAGAAAAGGTCGAGTCCTTGTCCAAGATATCCTACATGTAAATAATGACTTTATTTTTGTCTCTGCATAAAAAGCTACGGATATTAACTAAAAATTTTGCAAATATAAAATGGCAGATGGATATAGACAAGCTTTTTTTTCAGCAAACATCTGACGCCGTACTTTGATAGTTAATAGTTTTCTCGCAAAACGACACAAATAAATCTGTTCATAAATAAATAATCTCTAAAACGATATAAATACTCAGTTTTTCATTGTTGTATTCTACAACAAGAAAACAGCATTATGTTTCGAACAAAACATTTCTTTGTTTTTATTCTTGCAAACTGGATTACGGCTATGCCACAATTGAATCTTTATTTTTCTGACCAAGTAAATGAAAATAGAAACGATACAATAGGTCTACGATATAATTGTTTACGCCTTGCTACAAATACAGAGCAGTCAAATATCGTACGAGAGATCTCATCTTATTGTACGAGTGAATCTTCATGGAAATTCTCAATTAAAAATGATCATACGGTGCAAAGATTTTACTTTGATGATCTTGCAAAACAGAATATTTCAGGTGAAGATTTATATCTCTGGTCAATACCAATCGATACGATTGAACACTATCAACACTATTTGGAAACAAATGATTTATCTTTAGCAAAACAAATTGTTTACAACTGTACATTACCAAGATTTGGACCAATGTGTCAATATGAATTACATGCTTTTCATGAAGATTATTCAACAGTATCTGAAATAATTCTTAATAATTACCTCTCTACAGGTGCAGAAGGTCATTGGACATGTGAAACTTATTTGAAGTGTACTCGTAAACATGCACCAGCTTGTTTACATTGGTCAGAAATTTGTGATGGGAGAATTGATTGTCTCGATGGAGATTTCGATGAAGAACATTGTTGGCAACTTGAAATCAATGAATGCAAACAAAATGAATATCAATGCTCAAATGGATTGTGTATACCAGCAGAATTTTTCAACGATGATCCAGATAACACTGACTGTCTTGATGGTTCTGATGAAGATAGAGTACTTGGAAGTTCACGGAAAAGTTATGGCACATTTGGATGGGAAGATATGAAATATTCACCATTATTTATCACAAGTTATCACCATCGTTATCATCAAAAACTAATAGTCGAATCGATGTTTTCCGATAAAGATCCTTCTGTATCGAACAAATGATGGTCAGCTTTTAAATGTTATTTTGGTTTATCAAGTTCTGAATATCCTTCTGCTGTTAATAGTATTATCGGTAACCGATGCATACATGATATTAAAATAGAATGTCCATCTATGTTATTTGTTCCAAATATTCCAGTATTCTTTGATCATGTTTATGTAGCTTATGAGAAGAATGATTTACCACCTGTTGATGGTACCGTGTTTCCTTATTTATGTTCGAATAAATCGTTTCATGATGGATCGCTTGAACTGATTTCAAATGTATTATTGAATAATACAAGATGTTATAAGAGTTCTGGATTTACTATTTCAACATCTTATAGTCCAATATTATGGCCGCTTCGATTTGTCGACTTCTATAATACAATATTTTTGACACTAGTGAAATACAATCCAATCGTTCATCTTCCTTTGAATTCGTGTAACGAATTCAACTTATATCAATGTCAAAATTCATTAAAATGTATTGGATTTCATCGTTTGATGAATGGTGTTCTCGATTGCCCTTCTAATGATGATGAAACTATGTTTAACGATACGAATACTCAAATATATAACCAATTAAAACGAACCTATTACAAGTGTTATTTTTCGAACAAATATATTCTTCAGTCAGCAATTAATGATAGACACTGTGATTGTGGGTTTTCCGAATCCCACGTCTGTGAAGATGAAGATGCAAGTGAGAACTATACGCTAAGAACAATATCTTTTCAGACAATGTGTGATCGATTTACTGAATTATATCCGATTATGATCGATGGACAAAATCAAACAGATGAAACCGAATGTACACAATGGGATTGTAATAATATATATACTCGTTGTAATAAAGTATGGAATTGTTGGGATGGAGAAGACGAATATGGTTGTGAATCATACCCATTAATGTTTAATTGTCCTTTAAATACTCGAATATGTGTAACATTGAATACATCAGAGTTTATGTGTTTACCTACTGGTAAATTCAATGACGGTGAAGTTGATTGTCTTGGCGGATTGGATGAACCAATACTATGCCGCTCGAAACTTGTGTATTCCAGGCCGTTTTACTGTTTGCACAGCCAACCACCACAATGTCTTACAGGTAGCTCTTTATGTGACGATCGTATTGAATGTTCGAATGCGGATGATGAACGATTTTGTTACAGAAATCGAACACTTTCAAAGTATCATAGTAGTTACGTCAATACAAGTCAAACGAGGATGCGTGATATTCAGAACTTCTTACATAGTGTGATGGAGGATAATGTACGGAAAGCAGAGATAGAATATTTTAGAATAATAGGATTTAATGAATCATATACAAACAAAATAAATAAGAATGATGTGTATCTTGCAAATAATTTGCCGATGAATCGATTTTCAATTCTTGATGAATATCGCTGCCATCGTGGTCTTTATCTACGTGCTTGGTTAAATACATCATCAAATAATTATACAGATACATGTCTTTGTACACCAAGTTATTATGGTAATCGATGTCAATATCAAAATGAACGTTTAAGTTTATCTATAAGACTACATGCTTTAACTAATTCATGGCAAGTTCCGTTTGCAATTTTAATCTTACTTATTGATGATACAAATCAGCGAACAATTCATTCATTCGAACAATTCACTTATTTATCAGTACGAGATTGTCAAATTAAATTTAATGTTCATTTATTTTATTCAACTCGACCCAAAGATATGAACAGAAATTATTCAATTCATATTGATATTTATGAGCAATTTTCTCTGGAATATCGAGGAAGTTTTCTTTATCCAGTGAAGTTTTTATTTCTACCAGTTCATCGTATAGCATTCATTGTAAATATTCCATCAAAAGATGATCATTCTTGTGTATCTAACAATTGTCAACATGGTAAATGTCAAAAATATTTCAATGAAGAAGAAACATTCTGTCGATGTGATCAAGGATGGTCGGGAAAATATTGTCACATTCAACATAATTGTACTTGCTCATCCAACTCAAAATGTGTTGGTATGTTAAGTGATAATCGATCAATTTGTTTATGTAAAGTCAATCAATTTGGTTCTCGATGTTATCTTCGAAATACAGTTTGTGAACGCTTTCCGTGTCAAAATAATGGTTCATGTATTGCGAATGATGATTTTATGATTTCAAATAAGAAAAAATATACTTGTTTATGTCCAAAAGGTTTCAATGGAGATCAATGTCAAACAAAAGATAATCAAATTGATTTTCTATTCGATAATAATATGCAATTAACTCAATCAGTTTTTATTCATTTTATTCGAATTATCCCATTTGATCAATTTGCAGGAATAGTACCCCCATCATCACCTTCGAGGTTGACAACATTACAAAGCGTATTGCAATCAACAAATTCAATGCGAATTTACTGGTCACAACCATTCCATCTAATTTTTATTGAAACAATGGACAAGATTTATTATTTAGCTTTTCTCCAAGCGAATTACGTTCCTTCAACAGAAATCACCGAAAGAATTGATTCATCACGACGTTGTCCATCGATTAATGAATTAGTCAATGAAACATTTGCTCAACTTCATGTTCTTCGTCGAATGAAATCTTATCATCGAATTTGTCAACAACATTCTCCTCATCTTCAATGTTTTCACGATGATCAACATCTTTGCTTATGTTATGATTTCAACGCGAAACGTTTAGCAAATTGTTTTAATTTTGATCACAATCGAAAATTTGATTGTTCTGGTCAAAGTACTTGTGAAAATGGTGGTCAATGTTTTCACGATTCACCTGAATGTCCTAAACAATTTATTTGTGTCTGTCGTTCATGTTACTACGGAATTCTTTGTCAATTTAGTACGAGTGAATTTGATTTATCGTTGGATGCAATTTTAGCTTATCATATTACTCCCAGTGTTCACCTCTTTCATCAATCAACGATTATTAAAGTAAGTTTGGCATTAACAGTTTTATTTTTCAGTTTTGGTGCAATTAATGCTATTCTTTCATTAATTACATTTCAAAATAAAAGTACACGTGAAGTTGGTTGCGGAATTTATTTATATGTTTCATTAATTACGACATTATTGACCATAATAATGTTTACTTTAAAATATTTTGTTTATCTTTCAACACAAATATCATCTTCATCAAACGAATCATTTATGAAATTTCAATGTTGTTCATTGGATTTTCTTATTCGAATTTTTCTGAATATGGATCAATGGTTACATGCATGTGTGGCAATGGAAAGAGCAATTACTGTTATTCGAGGTGTTAAATTCAATAAAAAGGCAAGCAAAGAGTTAGCAAAGAAAATTGTTATTATTCTGTTGATTTTCACGGTTTCTACATCCGTTCATGACCCAATTTTTCGACGTTTATCAGAAGAAGTAAATGAAACGGATAATACAAAAAGAATCTGGTGTATTGTGAGTTACTCACCAAAGTTACAAATTTATAATCGAATTGTGAATACATTTCATTTCTTTGTTCCATTTGTAATTAATTTCATTTCATCACTTATTTTAATAACAAAAAAATCTCATCAACAATCTCAACTATACGGAGACCAATCTTATTTAGCTACATTACGAAAACAAGTTCAAGAACATCAACGTTTATTAGTTGCACCTGTGGTTTTATTTCTTCTTGCATCGCCACGTTTAATTCTTGCATATTTGGCAAAATGTATGAATTCGAAACGAGATTCGTGGATATTTCTCTGCGGATATCTCATTTCATTTATTCCTCTAATGATAAGTTTTTTCCTTTTTGCTATTCCATCGAAATTCTATAGAAAAGAATATCAAAGATCGATCGCACACTATCAAAATCTGATCCGAAAACGTGTTCGTCGAGCAATGTAAAGAGGGTGGCAATAGCCTACCTATATTTGTCTCGTTCGTTTCCTGCTAATTTTTATCTTCTGAATCAGTGTGAGTGACGATGTTAGGCTTATGTCATTATATTTGCGTCTTGAAAAGAAATAAAAGGAAAAGCTTTGTTACATATTCTTTCTTCAACTGGGTGTGGAGTGCAAGGGTGTTAGGGCGAGAGTGAAGATGAACGTAGCTCCTCAAAGGAAATACTTTTAAATTAAATCATTATGCCATTCAATGAAAACATTGGTTATTTAAGTATCTCGAAAGAGATATTGTGTAATGAGGTTTAGCTATTCGAACATTATGTAGGTATTTAATAAATTTCATTGAGTTACTTTTTTACCCTATGATGAACAAATAAAAAGAGACCAAAAGCAAATTATCGATTGCAGTGATTCAGCAGATATTTTGACGCGTTCATCTTATTAGTTGAAAGCAACAGTTTCATGAAATAAATAGTCAGGTGTACATTATCTGGACGTTCGAGACACCCTTTTTTATGTCCTTTGGTTTATTGATGATACTTGTACAATGAAGATCTGAGGCAATTGCGTCTCGTATTGACGTCTTTCACGAATGAATGTACAAAGCAAGTCGGAAAAGAACATACCTTTTCTCGTACGAAATAAGCTCGTTACGAAAGAAAAAGACTACTTCGTTTTATCAAAGAACATCAATCTACAACCTTTTATTAATCATATGATCCTGTCTTCAGAATCCTGTCGCTGATAAAGCAAAAGAAGATTACATTCACAAATCTGTGTTCCATTCTCAACGATAGAATCACAGAGAATAAGATGGCCTGATCATTCCATCTCCAGCTAGTGAGACCCGTGACACCATCAAATCTATAGTAAACGATAATTTCCATATGCCATTTTCTCGTCGGCTCGTTCGAGATGAAAAGGAGCGCTGATCAATATTTCATATCATGGGAAATTCAATTTTCTTGGTAAAAAGGCAATAAATTCTGTACCTGGCTGATATCGGTTATGTGATTTTGTTGATTAATTGGACAGAACAACACAGGTTTTTGTTCATCTCATAAGGCAAATAGAAGAAGAAAAAAATTTTTCATTCACATATCTGCCATGTACGATTATACATTACGTTGTCTCGTTTACGTCTTAACTTTCGTTTCCCATTTTTTCGAAACATTTTGCTCATACTTCTAAATTTATGCTAAGGGTGGCCCAAAAGTCACGATACCGTAACAAAAACAATGAATATCTCCCTTATCGTTCAGCCAAAGCAGCTGGCTTTTTTACCGATAATAGAGGCGCATCTAAGCTTCATACTCATTTAGATATAGTTGGAAACAACTTACATTAAGTACTACTACTTGATTGAAACATTTTGCCAAAGTCGTCTACCGATTTTTTGTTGGAAATTAGTGAAATACTATCTTCCAACTCACTACCATCGGAGCCTTTGTTCTTTACATATAGATTATAAGATACTGCTTACGAGTACTTTTGTCTGTCGATCTATTTACCGTTTGAGTAAGCAAAGTTACAACGATAGGTTAGTAACTTCTTTCGTTGAATTCAGTTAAGGAAATAAAAAGGGAGAGTATACGTACAATTTCACTCTTGGCATAATGAACGAAATCGAGATATTGAAGTGAAACTGAACTATAATTATTATATTGGTTATGCAGTAGAGGACAGATTGTCATTTATAGTCTGACTGGACCACATAAATAACTAATCATTAATCACAAACGATCGTAGTTTTCCTTTAGACAATCTCAGATGATTCCTATTCGTAGTGTTATGTAAATAGAAACGATAAATTGAGCTACATAATCATGACACTATTCTTTTTTGTCGAATCAATTCAGAATGAGTCCCGAGTTCTGTTTTCATTTGTCATATTGAGAAAATGAATTGGTTTTTTTTCTAGGGATCACCATGCCGAATATTGTGAGCTGAACAACCCAAGTTTTTAATCGCTGTAGGAGTATGTTTTTATTATTGGCTAATAACCAAACACATTGCTTTCAAGAACCTGATTATCCTGTCAGGGAACAAAAATCAAAGAAGTCACCTGTAATAATCGATAAAACTGATTGCATCAAAGCCAGAAACGGAATAATTAAATGAAGCACGAAAGTCGAAAGACTTCAGACCGTTTTGAATTGAGTATTGATCCGGCAGTCGCTACGAATGGAAAATATTGAAAGTGAAAAATCTAATTAGTCTCAATGAACAACAAACTGTGAGAAAAACTTTATCTGACATACCCTTCATGGTACAAATAGTGATCATATCGATATGAAGCTAGCTAATGTTCTTTCGCGTTTGAATGTCATCAATGAGAAAAAAGCAACTATTGATGAGCAAAACGAACGAAACAAAGTAAAACGTGAAAATCCTAATCGATTATGTGAATAATTTAACTCTAGCCTGTGAAATTGTTCGATATGATATCACGTTAGGGAACTATAGCAGCGAATTTATCAATATGTCATACAGCTAAATCATATTAACATGTAAATTGATCAGATAGAGGAAAACACATAGGGCAATATCTGATGTTATAGAGTTCGTTTGAAATATTATCTTTCACTCCTCGACGGCTTAGCCGAGAGTGGACTTTTGTTTGACTTTTTTTTCTTATCAGTCAGTTATATTCTATAATCATTGTTTGTAAATAACCAATCATCTGTAGGGTCATACGACAAAAGCATCTAAGATATTCAATGCCTGATTCATGCATCCTAGACACATACCTAATTTCTCAGCCTTACATCGCGTGACACCCGATTGGTCAGTTTTATAATTTATTTACGATAGCTACCGATCAGTCTCAGCTATCTCCTCACGTTATTCGTGAAGTTTCTGTTAATATTGGTTTTGAATCATGAGGCAAGCACACACCATTCAAACGATCTTTTCTCATACGATTCTCCCTTCACACGAAAGAACATCTAAGTAGTCCTCGTACCACTCCTCAATACACTATTGATGTAGTCAAATTAGAGATTTAGTAAATTTTGAGCTACAGCAGTACGACATATCTCTCGGATATACAAGCGTTGTTTGGTCAATGGTTGAACCCATTTCAAACGATTTTTTAAAATTAAAGCATTTCGGAAAGGGGGGAGTGTTTTTTGCCTTTGACGTCGCCGGCACAGTTCTTCTCATCCCGTCCTTTACTCCACCATCAACATCCAGCCCCAAGACTCCCCCCAAACGATCCTTTATTGAGATTTGAGCGTTGTCGCAAAACTGCTTTTTCGACCTTTGACCCTGACACAGACAGACAGACAGGCAGACAAACTTTTTTTATATGACCCTCCTTTCAGTCGAGGGAAAAATAAGATGATCGTCGTTGTCCTTGATTTCACAGTATATGTCAAAGCGCGAGGTCGTCTGGTGTATATGTCGATGTACTTGCGACCCACTGACGACCAATATTCATAGAAGAAAGAAAAAATGTGATGATATATTCTATGATATCATTCACTTACAGAGAAGTCAAACTAGAACAACATCTAACAGTCATCTAGCTCTCTCTATTTCTTTTTACATCACTATAAATAGTCAGGAATAATCAAGTAACAGACATACATCGTCATACACAAACTTGGTAAGTAGTGCATTAATTTGCAGTATATATTCAATGTTTTGATTCATATGAATTATTTGCAGTATTGAATAAACGTAAATATGTCATCAGTTGTGAATTATCTTTTATTCGTCTTGGTCTTGTTATGCACCAGTGGCATTTTACAAGAAGGTTTGTGACTAGATTTTCAAATAATTCTTTGTTCTTCTAAGGTGTGACTTTTATTTTCAGTTGTTGGTCATTGGCATGGTCGAAGACATGAAATGCATCACGAATATCATGAATATCGATGGGACCATCCATACCCTCCTGCTCGTAAGTATTTAGTGTCGTATATGTACAACAATTCATCATTTTTATGCAATTTAGGTGATTGGGATTGGGGTTGGCGTTAAATGACAAATGTTCCATCAACTGTTAGGTTCAAGTGCAATTCAATCTCTAATGAAAATATCTTTTCGTAGTTAGATTCTGTTGGATTCACTCGAAAATGTATGATGCTGTGAAATAGTGTCTGTTCCATAAATTCAATAAATCACATTCAATATTCTCATATGCAGGCTTATTCTATTTACAAAACCATACTTGTCCATGAAATCATTTCATCTGCAAATCAAAATTGTAGTGTTCAATGTAATTATCAGTCTTCACTGCCTCGGTGTACTGAATTTACTTTAGGTTAGTCACTTCCACACGATACGCAAGCTGATTGGTATCGTATACTACAAAACATTCGTATATAAAAATTGTAGTGCGTGTGACTACTCACACTTGTAGAAAAAGACATAGCTTCGAGTATGCAGCAAGGTAATTCTGCTACAAGAAAAAGTTCTGTGATAGAATCAGAGTTTGAAAGTGTTGAAGTTGATATTCGATCATCATGAAAGATAAAACGACCAGTAACACGAAAGTGTCACTTTTTAGAAATGTGTTTACTAAAGATCTCGATAACAAAGGTGGATGTGAATGTCTATGTAGGTATGAAACGAGAGAAGGGGAACGTGAGTATAAATTCCGACACCCATTCATATATGCCAATTTCCTTATTGGTATCCCGCGCCACCACTCATGCACTTGCGAATGCGGTAACTCAATCGTTCACTAGATTGTTATATTTTGAAAAATTCCGAGATGAACATCGAAAGGAAATATATTTGACAAGGAATATAATGCGAAAGCAATGAAAATGCTAGCGATGTAGGAAAGAATATTCACGTTTGTACCAGAGAATACAAGCACACATAATTTGTCGACTAACAATGACTACATCTTGCTAATCATCATTATTAAAATCAGCGACAGAGAGGCAATCAGCGAAACACAATTGTCCACTTGAAGAGAATCGATTGTTTCTTCTCGCGAATGAAACCAATATCAGATCGATTATTATCGAAATCACTACTCACTGGATGGTTGTCAGCGGAAATAAAATTAGCGCAAAACAGCATCTGTATTCGAAATGATTCATTTGTACTTCCAAGAAAAACATACGTATGTAGATAGTCACTACTGTATGCAACAATATCCGGATAATCATACATATCAACATTTGTAGTCAATAATCTCATTGGACTTAGCACGTTTTAAACTAATGTTAATTCTAATGAACAGTTACCATCGCTTTGTCCATACATGTGGTGAAAATTCTTGATGTGAAGTCAGTCACCGCCTTTGCTGCTATAGAAAGTGAAAATATTCGACACGACACTGTTAATTATTCTTGAAATGTTCCCTCTCCATCACGCAGCGCCTAATTATCTTTGATTAATGATACAAATGTAAGCTGTAACGTACAGTGAAGAAGCTACTGAACTTAATGGAATTATCATTGACAATCTTTTTGGGCGTGTTTTCGTCTTACTCACAGTCGATAACGGGATTACTTTCATCGTATTTAACGCTTTATGCATGAATAAGAAACGAAAGTGTTTCTGTCAATATGAAGCGTGTCAATTGACTTCGATTGAATGAATTAATTCACAAACAAAACCGAAACCGAGTTTTTATGTTTTTTTTTAATGATAAAACAAAAACCTAAATGCGAATGAGCAAGCAAAGAAAATCAGATACATAATACTTCTCTTGATGATATTCCAACAGAAAAACACACACGAGTTTGTTAAACAAAAGAGAAGTGAATAGTTCAAAAATGAAATTTGTATCACGAGGACAAAAAGAAAACATAACAATTCGTTATTATTTTGTCCTAGTTTAAAACAATGGAAAATGATCAATGAAAGATCGGAGAATAATTTTCATAATGATTGTAATGCGAAAACATTGGATATTCACGTTTGACCTAAGATTACAATAAGAAAAAGTCGTGAGGAATCGTCAATGTTTTCGAAAAAGACTTACTTGAGCTCCACAATTACTACCACTACTACTTAAAATTTGATTGAGTGCTTCATTAGAATACAATGTATCTCCATATTGTTTCACATATTCATTGGGACTGATTCGTTTAATTTCTTTGCGTTGTTTGATATCTCGATCAAGAATGACATTGACATCATCATATTCGACAATGATTTTTTTCGCGGGTTCATGGGCACGACGTTTGTGTCGTGTTGGAATAGGTGATGCACGTTCGTAGATTATTTTACGTTTTTGTTCTGGAGGGTACGGTAACCATTTTTCTACAAGGATAGGGGGCGGTTTTTGAATAACAGTTGAAGCCTTGGATCGGAGACGCTCAACAATAACAGTTGGAGGTGAAGGAGAGGGCGTCGGAAGATGATGATAAACGATAGTTGGTTTAGAGGAATAGTCATGTTTTGGAGGAGCTGGTGGTCGTTCGCGAAGAACGATTGGTGATGGGGTTTTGGACAAGTGGATTTGACCTGTATCTTCTAGTTTTTGACGGATTTTCATTGATTTATTTGATACCGATGATGATTTATGTCGAACTTCTCGAATAATAATTGGAGCTGGTGCTGGTGGAGTTGGTGGACGAAGTAATTGTATATCAACTTTTTGTTTCAATAGAACATCTTTACTTTTTCGTCGAATAATGACAGGTGGAGGTGGAAAGGAAGTGGACATTTCTGGAGTAAACTCCATCGAAGCTGCCAGACTTGAAACATGTTCAAGATCTTTTAAATAATTAAAATTGATATCGCCAATGTTAGTTGTGGCTTCATAACTGGTAAAAACATCAGTTGCTGGTTTATTCAATTCGTTCATTGTATCCGAGGAAAATCCCCATTCGATTTTCGAACCGCCCGTTGTTGATGTTGCTTCTTCAATTAGTTTGTCTTCATAACTTTTCTCGTAAACATTATTACTATTATTCTTGTTGCTGTTATGGTTAGCGTTAGGTGTAGCGAAATAGAATTGAGGATGCGATTCTGATGGGACGAATTTTGTATAATTGTTTTTTTCCTGTTGTTCGTTTCGACGTATAACAGTCGTCGGTTTACTACTGGTCGTAATTGAACAAGTAATTGATAAGTCATCGCAACTACGATGTCGTGCTAATGGATTATTTTCCATCATTGATGTTAAATGCGTTGTCGATGATTGCGTTCGTCGTCGCGATGGAATAGTTTGCATCGTCGATATTGACGTTGACGTTGTCATCGGTTGAGTTTTTGAATTCTGTACCGAATACACTGTGTTATCTAAATCAAAACTGTCGGCATAAGCAACTAACGATTGAAGTAATTCATTATCCGGAACGAATTGCTCATGAGCTGTTATATTGGTCTGAATTGTTGTTTCATGTTCAATTGCCGTCTCGTAATATGAACTATCTTGTTTCGTCGTTCCTTCGTAATTATTCGCATATTGATTATAATTCAAAAACGGTGGTTGAGTTTGGATAAGTATCGATAGATCAGTGTGGGTATTACCTGCATTCCCATTTTGATTTCGACATGGAGATGTTGATGCTTGTTGCATAAACATCGGATCAAATGTTAATTGTACGTTATTACATAGTGAGATAATCGATGGTAATGATGTCGACCACTTATTCATTTTGCACGCGCTCGCCTCTTATATGTTTGTATGCACACTTTTTTTTAACAAACGACTTCAATCAATTGAACATTGTCTTCATTTGCTACCTTTATGTATGTACGTATGTCGAATGCAACATGGCACATTTGTCGTGTCGTTTATCGATGGTGCGTGACGCTATTGAACATTCGCACGCATCTCAACACATTCACATTGTAGAGAACAACCGACGACCTTATCAGATCAAACAAATGTAATTATTAAAATGCTTAAAAAACAGATAATTACACAGGCCTACAAAGGCAAGGATTTTTTCTTTTTCATTCTTCTCTATTCAATAAGAAAAACTCATTTCGTACAAGTTGACATTCAAAGGAAGTTTTTTCCTCTTCCTTTCCTAAATTGAAAATGAACGAATGTTCAAGAATCTTTCATTTAATAATAATTGAAGTTATTTGTTTATTCATTTCCTCTAGTTTGCTTTAAATAAAAAAGAAAAACGACGAAACAATTTTCATTCATGATCATCGATAACAAGTGACGCATAATAATCTAAAATAATAATTGACTTCTTTCGTTTATGTAAATCTAACAAAAGGTCATCTTTGATCTGATTGCATTGAGTGAAATTTAAATGCTCAATACGTCGAAGATAGGTGTCCGGAACGTCTTTCAACATATAACCATAGATTTGATGACAACCTAACAGTGACAAACGGCGAAGATGCTGACATCGCATGACGATTTCATTGAAACTTTCGTCAGTAAGATTATATGCCCATGAACAAGTGAAATCAATTAGACGAGGACACCTATGAAATATCCATTCTTATTTGATCGACAAACAAGAACTACTTACATGGTCATGATTGCGCGAACGCAATTGTCATCGATGAAATGACATTCGTCTAATTTCAGGAGAATTAAATGTTGAAAAATATGTTTACTGTCGAAGAGTATATAGAAAGATTCGAGAGGAACGTTGGGAATTTTGGTCAAACATAATTCTCTTAAATGAGAGAAATTCTAAGAAGAAAAGGAAAGTTTTTCGATATGATTCATATGATAAATGGATATTTTACGTGAAATAAATGAAAATTCGAACCAGTAAGATTGATACAGAATTCAATGGTAATTGATTCCAATTTACGACATTGGTTGATGTAATTGATTGATTCATCGGTCAGTTCTGTTCCATTTATTTCAAGTTTTTCCAAATGTGTCTGATGTTTATCACATAAAATTTTCATTGTTCTAAAAGAAAACAGAACGATACTTTCGTCCAGTCACGCATCTCGAGTTGTTATCTCCTGAACATCTTACTCATCACGTATAATATCAATATACAATAATTTCAGATCTACAATTGTATTTAGATTGTTAATCAACTGCAAAAGTCCAAAATTGGTTATTCCAACTTGATACGATGCCGTGACATTCTTCAATTGAATCTGATTATCACCAAGTAACGGTAGAATCAAATCAAATTTCTCGTAGTTTTTGTTTCGCTGCGGATCGAAGATGATGGTTTGTAGACAATGAGGAAAATACTCGACAATTAAACAAATCACTATCGGAGAGATAAGAATATTATGAAAACGTATCGTATGAAGATTAGGGTTGTTTCGAGCAAGACTATCAAACCAGATCGCCCAGGTTAAATTGCTAACGCACTGTTCCCAATCGGTAAATGTAACTGAACGAACTGAGGAGACATGTGAGAATAAATGCACGACATCGAAAAAAGACATTAGTTTCGGAACATCGAGATCCATTGGAATATTGGATAAGATTAAATTGGCCAAGTAGAAGCACGTCGGTGCGAGAGTTGTTGTAAGTTCAAAAGGAGACATGAATGAGCAGATATGAAGAAGAACTTCTACAGGCAAATCAAGAAGATTAATTGCAGTTGACTTCGGAATTAATGTACAAGAATCGAGATTCGTATCAGACTCATCGTTCTAAATCAATTAAAAATCGATAATCGTAGAATTTGAATAAATTTGCTTTTTACGTACATCTGCCGTCTTCATGGAAAATTGATTACAAGTTTCATTGAATAAAAGCATGTTTAACTGACTCAGAACACCTAGTGTTGCTTCTCTCTGCTCGTCATGATTGTCATAAATGTCTTCGTCTAGTTGTTTGATACTTTCAAATGTCCAGTCGTTATCGCATAGAGGATAATTTAATGCATCGTGACATTCATCTGAACTGCTCTGTTCTTGTTGAAGATTTTCGATTAATCTTGAAATTGAGATAATACATTGTTCTAATTCTTCAATATCTGAATCATGTGGCCCGTATAATCGATACGATTCATCGTCGTACTCATTGTTTTCCTTTAAGCATACAATTTCATGTGTTCGACAGATTTCCAAAAGAGCTTCCAGGCGATGTTTAACGTTATTAAAACGCAATAAGAGACGATCAACCAATGGTGATGACATCTGAAGAAAAAGTAAAATTCTTACAGAGAAGAAGTATTTGTAACAATGAAAAGACAAAATATTCTCTTATCAAAGTTTGCTTTTATCAACTTTTTCAACAGTTTGAGACTCCCGTTTGCCAATCATTGGAGCTACTAAATAATCCTCGAAAGTCCTTGTAGCATTTTGTAAAACTTGTTTGACTGATAAAGTGTCTTCATTGGAAACGGTATCTTGTTGTCTTAAAGGACATAGTTCTGTTTCGACAGGTGTGTATAAAGGTTCAAGATGATCAACATTGGCTTGATGGATAATATCCGAGGCATGAATGGTCTGTTCAACTTTTTTAATTGTTTGTTCGTTTTGGAAGGAGAGTAGAGAAAGACGTTCGAGTTTCTTTTGCATGTCTGGATCGATTTTAACTGGATGTGTAATGATTTTTTCTCGGATTTGTTTTAAAATCGAATACGAACGACGAGATAAAAACAAAGGAAACATCTGCAAGCAAATATTCAATGATCGTAACATTGGCTTTGGGTGTTTTTAAAATAACACTTTCTTTTTTAAGAAAAACATCTCATTTATTATTAGTAGTATGTTAACGACTTTTCTTGGTAAAAAGTGCAAAACAAAGAGGGATGAATAAAAATAGTGGTGAAAACATAAATAGATTAGATAAGTACGAAAGACAAGAGATACACAAACAAACAAAATGTATGCAATTATGGATTAGAAGGCAAGAATAAAAAATAAAAGCAGTCGCGAAAAGACTGATATTCCATTGAATAGACTTTACTCTCGATTACCGCCACCGGGTTTTCGATATTGCTCACGACGATCGCCTCCGAAACCACTTTCAGGACGACGATTATTGTTTTGTCCCTCGTTCGAGAGTGTATCACCACTAGGACGAGGACGATCACTTCCATTCTCGTCTTCCTCATTACCACGCCAACTAAAATGAAACACAAAGAATAATCAAAACTTTTCATCCTATTCAAACCCAACCTGTCGAGACGAGTTTTTTCACGAGAGCGCCAATCATTATTGTCATCCGCACGAGATCGATTACTGTATGAAGATGCACCACTACGGCCACTATCTCGTGGTTCATCTCTTTGTTCGTTAGGCACACGTGTTTTTGGTTGCCAAGCTCTTCCGCTAGTAGACGATTCTTCCGAACGTTGTTGCGACGGACGATCATTGTTAGTGTGAGGACTACATACAAAGAGAAAATATTCTTCTTAAATAGCAATCAGATAAGTTACGGATTAGGACGACGTTTCTCGACTGTTTGCCAACTATTCGATGATTCAGTGTTTCTTTTTGTCCATCGCTCTGATGATGATCCAAATGATGATTTATTTTGTTGCGAAGAATATCCTCGCCGATCATCTCTTCTGTCATCTCGTCGATCATCAAATCGATCGTCACGATACTGTTGATCCGGTCTTGCTCGTGGTCGCCATGGCTCATTGGACGAACCTTTCGTATTCGATACATCCTCAGCACGTCGATCACCAAAATTGCGTTGACTAAAACATAGAATTGAATCAAGAGAGAAGTTAGATTTGTCAATGAACTATACCGTTGCTCATCGTTTCGTTGCGCACTCCAACTATCCGAAGAACTAGTTTGTGATGGTGGATTATCACCCCTTTCACGAACATTGCGATGCCATCGGCTATTGAAATGAAAAACCAATGGTTTATCAGGATAATTCACTGTTACTCACTTCTCAGTTTTATCCTGTTGATAATTGCTAGTCGTCGGTCGATCTTGTCGAGTGTCAGTGTTAGCCGTTGTAATTGGTTCTGCCGTTTCTGTTCCACCTCGTAGTTGTCTTTCGATTTTTTCCTCAACTTCTCGTTGTTTCCTCGCTTGTTCAGCTAAGATTTTATTTCGTTCTTCATCGGCCTGACGTTGTTTTCGTACTCGTTCTTCCTCTTTACGTCGATATTCTTCATCTAGTTTTTGTTGCTGATTCAATTCTCTTTTCTTTCGAAATTCTTGTTTTTTCTTTTCAACGTATTCTTCACGCAATTGTTTCAATCGCTGTTCGCGAGCCACTTGCAAACGTTCATTGAATTCTTTCTTACGTTGTACAAACTCGTCATGTCGTTGTCCACGAATCGATTCAACGAACTCATTTTTATCTTCTTTCATTCGCGCCAGGCATCTGTATTTTTCAATCGCGCGTTCATATTCTGTTCGTAGAATTTCTTGTCGCCATTTAACTTCTTTTTCAGCTTGTTCTTGCAACAATGGAACTTCAGCTTCATGCAACGCTCGGACAAAATAATCAACTTTTTTGAATTGAGCTCTTAACTTTTCTTTCTGCTCGCGACTATGATTAATAACATGTTTCAAATGCAATTCATCAAGTTCGCTTGGTTCGCAACTAGAAAGATTTTCTTCGCCGATGACGTCGATGATTTTTCGACCAATTTCCGTTGCACGTAATTTGTCTATGGCCATTTTCATGACGAAACGTTGTTCTTCTTTGGCTTTCTCATCAGCAGCTTGTTGCATTTGCCGTTTGAGTTCATCTTCACGTCGAAGTTTTTCTTCTTCATCGCGTACCGTTTTTTGTGTTTTCGAGTAAATCTCTGCTTGTTTTACCTAATGAATGAAAATTCGAAGTCATTTTGATATTTCAAATATTCTATTTACCTTGTTTCGATTCTCATTTTCTTTATCTTCTTTGTATCGTTCAATCAGTTCTCTTCGTTTCAAGATTTCTCGATGTTGATTAGGTTCGTCTCGCGCATATGTTTGTGCGATTTGGCGTCGTAGTTTGTCACTGCTTTCTTTATACGATTTTTCATTGACTATTTCCATACACAAATGTAAAGCATGCGACATGGTCATCAACTGATTGCGAATCTGTTCATTAGGCATCTTTTGTAGAATATTCGCTTTTGAACCTGCATGAGTATCTGCCGATCGACTAGTCGAGACATTTAAATCAGTACCGAATGTTAAGGCTTGTAATTTATGCTCAATACGAACTTGAACATCGTTATTTCGCGCGGCATTGACGATAATCCTTTCTAAACGATGTTTATCCATTGCTGGTGCAAGACTAACAAAGCGCTTCAATGAGATCGTTTGATAAACTTGAGAAACTTGTTGGAGCAAACGAATAACAGTCACATCACGCAATGCCGACATGTATTGAGAATACTCCGGTTGCGCAAGTTTTTCAATAAATTCAATACCTTCCTCGACTTTGGATGATAAATTTAATGGATTGAATTCTACTTCTAACCATTGGTACGTGTCCTGGAGTTCTGGATGAACAAAATTCAGAACACCTTGTTTGATCATATCACGTATAAGACTTGCACGTGTCGGTACTTGTTGCAAGGCTAACAAATTTGCCATGCGTTTTTGCTTCTCATTGATGTTTTCTTCGACATCTAGATGTTCGTCGATTAGTGTACGCGGTGTTGGTAATGGAATTGATAGGATAGCCAATACTGGAATAGGTATATAAAGATCATATGGATTGATGGGTTTTTGTGAAATTTACTTACAAGCCTTTGTTGCTAAACGTGTCAATTCAGCATGAGTGATATTCTTCTTTTGTTCTTTGTGTAAAACGTATAATTTCAAAAGAGTTGTCGCATGAAAAATATAGTTCTCTGCCTTCCAGAAGACCAATGCTACTTTACTGTAATAAGTTGCTACTTGTTGTGGTCGAAACGGTTTCTTCGATATTGTTGTCAGGTGATGAATATCTTCGATAGCTTTGAATGCTTCCTAAAACATTTGACAAGATTTTCGCAACTTCTTTCTTTCGATTTTTCGAGATGCGCATACCTGCCATAATTCCATTTCGATAGCTGTATCAAGTTGTGTTAAACGTGTTTCTACATGTAGAGCTTGAGTTTCTGGTAATTGAAAATTGACACTGTAAATTTGTTGAGAATATTTCTGCGATTGAGTAAAATGTGTTCGTATTGTGTCGCATAATTTGCGGAATTCGGAACGGCGATTGTATCGTTGACAAAAACGAAAACCCATCTGGGCTACATCTTGGTAGATTTTGTCTACTCGATTGTTGTTTTTCAACAGATCCAAGCACTGTCTATATGAATCCCAAACGAATTTTAGCCACGGGGCAAGCATATCACTATCGGTACGATCTTGTTGTGATTCACCACTCACAGCACTGAGCAGAAGGCTAAAGAAGAAAGGAAGGGTTTGATGTTATTTGCATCGATTTCGAAGAACCTTTCTGGTGTTTGGAGATATTCGAGATCGTCGATATCAACAGTTGCGTTTTTCGCGTCCCGACGAGCTTGTGAACAACGTTGTTCACCTTGAGTAAGAAAGTTCACGATGACATCTTCAAGTGATTTTACAGAAACCTAAAACAGTCGCATTTCGTATCATATCGACAGATTTGACGTTGAGAACAAACTGTTTGTGCGATTGTTTTGTATTGATGAAGAGCATCTTTGGCACTTGCACTATTTTTTAATTCAACGCACAGTTCAAGAAGTGCTCGCATCAGCACTTCATGCGTTTTCGTCCAAGTTCGATTTCGACGTGATTTGATAACATCAATAAGTATTTCCAAAGCACGTTGCCTTTTTCCAATTGCAATTAATTCTACGCAAACAAAGGCAAGCTCAGATGTCTTCTTTCGAAAGTCAAATACATACCATCAGCTCGTTTAAGAGCACTTTCCGGCTGCGTATATACCATTATGATTCAAAATAGGATGATCTAGAAAAGATACCAGAGATAATTAGTTGTAAAAAAAAATCAACGATCAGCTATGGAAGATCCCGATTCTGACAATGATTGAATGTTTCCATTATAGAGAAGAGTAAATTTCGATCGGGAATTAAATGTGGATGAAGCTGTTCAATGAGAAAGAAGAATATATTCAATACAGATTTAGAATAAAGAGTTTGTCCTACTCGGATGCCGTTTAGTAGATCATCTGATGAGAATGAAGAGGTCCGAGTTCCATTGCACATGTGTTCGAGAATATTTTTAATGAAATCGATTGTAACTTCAACTATTTTATCTACAGCTGCGATGTCAATGTCTGCGGCAGAAGATTTTCGAGCAGCAAGAATGATCGTAGTTCGTAAATGAGATATAAAACTGTTTTGGTCAAGATCGATAATTTCGTCAGTATTCATTTTACCAAGTAATTGAGTAAGAAGAGAATTTCACACCTTTGATGTCCTATCTCTATGCGCGTTAGTCATAGGAAGCCATTTAAAAATCTGTCTAATTAGACTCTATTTGATTAATATGTAACGAAATTATTTTGTACTATCAGAATAGATTGATAAAGATTTTTAGTGATAACACTCAAGGATGTCTTGCGCAAATTATGAAAATATGTTTTCATTAAGAGTAATCGGACTAATTGCCATAGCAAAAATTCTCAACTAGCGACACCTATTGAAAGCGAATAAATCACTTGGGTGACATACGAACTGAATGATTTATTTAGTGAAAAAGATAAGTCTCAATCAGGAATTTTCGACGATCGTCGTTAACGTTGCCGTTGATGGCAAGCTCTGGAAAGCGTTATTTCTCATTGCGCCACGTTCCATTGCATCGAAATCATGTTTATGTATGAACAGTTTCGCTCGAACTACTCGAATATAAAAACCAACGGCAAAGATAATGAATGGTATTCCAATGAGACAAAGCGTCGCGATAGCAGCAATAGCAGCAGCAAATGAAAAGCCAGATACTTTAATCCAAAAAACAATACCAAGTTCAAGAATGACCAGAAAAAGACCAAGACCGGTTGAAAGTAGCCATGCTATTTCAATGTAAATACTAATACCTGATAGTGGCTCTTGATTTTTATGCTTTATCCATTGATTTTTTTGAAGTAAAACACTTTTGATTTCCGGTAGGATACAAACTGACATAAGTAAAGCCAGTAAGTGAACACTAACTAGGAGACATGAGAGCACTGCATAAGCCGTTAAAACTCCATCACGCGAAGGTACTTCTGAATAAGAATCGATTGAAAATTCAACGAGTGCAACCTGAAGTCATTTTCAGAATAGATAAGAAAAAAGAATTGTAAACTTACAATAGCGAATCCACTTAACACTGCAGATGTTTCACTTGCACTTTCTAACTTCGACTTCCGATAGAGTAACAATTCAACTCGTTGATCGCTTTTACATCTTTTCCTATCTAAACAATTCAAAAGCAATCTTTTGCTTCACAATTTCCATTTAAAAGTATTAAGGCATCGCATGATTCAATCATCGAACTATTCCCTTTACCTCCCGAAACTTGTCCGCTATCTTCACTTTGTCGTCGGAGTGAATGTCGAGTGAACCACATTCGTAATCATCTACTATCCACCTTCATTGAGTTTCATTTCAGTTCGTTAACAGCTGTTCTCTTTCTCCCACATAACTAAAGCGCAGTACAAGACTACGTCCAGTTTTTTTCTCAAAAGGTGCTTCGTTCTCATGGAGAAAAACAAAAATGACGCACCAATTTGATCGACAAGTGAAAATTTTCTTTCTTCATTCAAGAAAAATAGATTTTTCTATATACTATCATAAAAGCAATTTACAGAAAACATTTTTTCTCCAGTAGATCAAATATAGTTTAAAAAACAACGAAGCGTAGACTAGATGGGCATTCTTGCGCAAATACAAAGAAATAAAATGACATTGACATCATAGAAAAACAAAACGAAAGACTAGAATGTAAAACGAACGTAATTGAATAGATTTCCGTGCTAATTTTCGTCATCGCTAGGTGTTAATAACGAAGATATTTGCTTAGAGATTTCCAGAAATTCCTCTTGACTAACACCTCGTTTGCGTGGTGATTCAGGTGTAACAGTTGGTGATTGTTTAACAGCAGATTTAAAAGAAATCGGTGGTGGTGGAGGATCAATAGGTCGATGACGTTGAGCAGTTAACAATGTTAAAGGTGGGATTGGTTCATCGATAGATGTTGAAGGTGGTTGCGTAGCCATTTGATTGATGATTGTTTTCGCTACAAGTGTTGCACGTCGCTGACGAAGTCGATCTAAGTTCAATGGTGCTAAAGATGTTGGAGACAAAAGATCATCATCTTCACAACCGGAACTCGTTTCGCCGGGTGACGATGGTGTATTTGAAATAGCGACATGTTTCTTAACTGATAACATGGATCCAACAGGCGCAGATGAGGAACCAGCACAACGTCCACACGATCGAATAATGGTATTCACTTGTACACTTTTATCTGTATTTAAATCACTGTCAGAAGTTTTGTAAGTTCGAATGGTAAGACCACTGGATAAACGACGAAGTGGTTCAGCAATGCCAACTGGTCGAATGACAGAGACAGATGGCGATTCTGTTGTATTTGATAATGCTCGTGTCACCCGTTGTTGTCGAGGAAGATGTATTTCACTCGTTGATCCAGAAGTCAAATCTGTTGAAGCTAAGATATCATCTGTACTCAGTTCATGAAAACCCATTTGTCGAAGGAATTCCACAAGATCTCGAAGTAGTTTCTTGCCAATATTCTCTAATATTTTCTGTATTCGTACTTGTACAGCCTTGATACATAGGAAAACAATAGCCAAACCAAATAATAAATAAATCGCGAGAATAAATATCGATCTCGTTTTCGTCTCTCGATCACTAATCGTATTCCGATAATAATTTCTTAAATTAATTGTATACACAGATGTAAAACATATATAAAGACTATCAAAAAACGAATTCGATTGAATTAAACAAGCACCAATGAGAACATAAATTGAGAGAGTAATGATGATCTGCGGCATTGTTAAATCGATATCATCATTGATATCGTTCAATGTTTCAATAAGAACATTATAAACATTTCGAATACGTTTGATGTGTTGATGTTCAGATAATCGTCGTTGTTTTAGAGACATTCGATTAGTTTCGAATGCATTCTCATTGAAATATTGATCAAATGTTCGTACAGGTTGATCAGGTCGAGGCGAAAATAAAATCTCTTCTTCGACTGGAATTGGAATGGAAATATCCAACTGTTTTTCAATGAAACGAAAAAACAACCACTGACGAATATGAAGGAAATAATTCGTTGAATATGTACGTAGTAACAATAATGATAAATATTTAATTAAACGTGTGATTAATAAACTTAAGTCAGATAGGAATACCAATGTTAATGGAATACCAATCGCAGCATAAACGATTAAAAATAATTTTCCTATTGTTGTTATCGGTGTGAAATCATTTGTTCCTGGAAAAGGAAGAGGATAAGAGCGGAAAGAATAGAAATACTTGATTATATTTACCAATAGTTGTTAATGTTGTTCCGATGAAATATAATGAGCCGGCGAAAGTCCAACGTAGATTTCCTTCGACGGTAGTTGCCAATGCTGGCGTTGTAACAGTTGTTTTGTAAGTGTTTTTGATTTCTTCTTCATATTCTCGAATGTGTTTATTGATAAATTTCGCATATTGTTGCAGATCAGTTGTTTGCCTCTTATCAATGATTTTTGATAAGAGACGTTCTCGTTCACGGTCGAAGCTTCGTGGTGTTGTGATGGTAGTCGCTGCTGTTGTTGTAGATGAAGAAGTCGTTCGTGAATCATCGGATTCGATTTCTTGAATAATACTGGCACCCACTAATGCATATATAAGAAATATCAACCAAATTGATATATGAGGAATGAATAGAAGTGACCAGTATCTATGAAATCAATTTAGATCGAAAATAAACATGTCAAACGACTTACTTTACAGAAAGAACCCACTCGCGAATATTGAACTTCTTCGACATAAGTATTGGTTGTCAAGGAACTGGAAAAAATTGAGAAGAATACATAGACAGAACGATCGATTCATTTTTCTTTTCTTTTCTTCGACATGCTTTGCGTTTTTTTTTTTTGAAAGAAAAAGTAGGCGAGAGAACGCGAGCAGGCAAGCGAGACCCACAAGTAACATTGTTGACGACTTAGTAGTTGTTGTCCATTAGCCTGTATCATTATGCACGTCTCGATTTGGATATACTTTTATCACGCGAAAAAATCTATCAGCCAAGGAAACGAATCACGCCATATGAAAAAACACTGATCAAAGTATACATTTTCTTTCTATTTATAAAAATCATTCTATAAGGACATAAACAAGCAGGCATTTTGCTGTTCCTTTGAAAGAATCTGATATGTACTAAGATTGACTAAGAGAAAATATATAAATTGTAAATGGCTTAAGAAAAACGAGAGACATATTTTTGTCTTTAGTCGAGAAAAGACTCGAACGGCGAAATCAGTCAACATCGCATGTTGCATAAGTAGTATACTCTACTTTTTCTTTCTTCAATGTTTTTTTTTATATTTTATTCTCCTTGACAATTCTAACTGAATTTTCTCTTTTTCTCTCTCCTTCTCTTGCTCAACCTTGTCGTATGTTTTTACTGTATATAGTCATCTACCACTTTTGATTTCAATCAAAACACGACCGTTTCTTTTTCAGATTTCGAAATTCTTCTGTAACACAATGATAACTGATTACTTCCGTCTGACTACAACTAACGTACTTGTGATTATTTTACCTTTGTTGTACTATCTCTACTATCGGAAATTCCGATATTTCATATTTGATCAAAGAGACAGAGTAACTAAGGGCAAAACTTCAAGAGGAAAATGTCCACCATTCTTTCCTAACGGTAAGCGACTTTAATTTAGTGAAGTGTAACCTTCGATTTAGAAGTGTAAAACTAAGTAGACGTACACATATGATCAGATATCACCTGATTGGTGTGAGAAAATGCACGGGCAGTATGTTATTTTTACGCAGAATTAAGAAGTGAAGAGGAAAAGAAGAAGAGAAAGAAATCAAAAGAACATTTAACTGAGACAGTGATTGATAGATAAAGAATTCGGTAATTATTCAAAGGTTATCATCAAAGAAAAAAAAGATTTTATTATATAAACAAGAAAATGATTTATTTTTCTTTCGTGTTTCTTTCAAAGGATGGTATTGGATTATCGATTCATGTGATCTGAAACGGGGCGCCGTGAAACCGATTTCATACTGTGGACGAAATGTTGTCCTATTTCGTGGTCATAATGGTAAACCGTATGTCCTCGATGCTTATTGTGCTCATATGGGTGCGCATCTGGGTGTGGGTGGTAAGGTACGTCATGGCACATGTATCGAATGTCCATTTCATGGATGGGCATTTGACGGCGAAACAGGCAATTGTGTCTTGTCCAGTGGGGAGAGTAAAATTACTCGTAGTGCTGATAAATATAGTTATCATAATATTGAGAAATGCTCGGCTGTGTTCAATAGTGAAGAAAAAACAAATCAGTATTTACAAAAGTTAACAGAACAGGAGGAGGTCAAGATTAAGAAGTATACTGTCAAAGAAATGAATGGATCAGTTTTTGTGTGGTATCATTCCGATGAGAACCTTCGCGATAAACCTATTTTCGAACCATTTGATCTGATGAATGAATTAAAAACCAACAAAATGGAGGGTAAGTCGAATCTGAGATTAGAACTAATCTTACCGTATTGAATTCTTTCAAGTACGCGGCGAATCGATCAACTATGTCAATTGTCATATTCAAGAAATCCCGGAAAATGGAGCAGATTTTCGTCATTTCGACTTTTTACATCAATCAGTTCTCGATCTCATATTTCCGTTCATTCGTTTTAGTTGGACAATGAAGTCTGAGCGAGCATCGAATCCACAACTACACGAAATCATGGCTCATCCGCATCCTCAAGTAAACGCCTACAAAATGCATCTGTTAAACACATTTATTAATGATTCCAATCGTGCATTAGTCAATGTTATCTCCTTAAATTGCTATCTTCAGATATTCGGTAAACATAGTGTTTTTATTTTCAATGCGACTGGTTTTCAATTGGGTCCGTCGATTGTTTATCTATTCCTTTGGTCACCTTACTTTCAAGTCACGTTCTTACAAACAGTTACACCGTTAGAAAAGTTTAATCAGCGTATTATGCATCGAATCTTTTCGACTAAACCAATTCCATATTGGGTATCCGCTCTCATGCTTTTAGGCGAAGTTAAACAAATCTTTTCGGATATGGGCGTTTGGAATAATAAAATCTTCGGCTCCGAATTAAACTACAATATGAAAAATGATGCGGATAAATCTCTTTATGCATGGAGAAATTGGTATGCTCAATTCTATGAAGGTTGTTACGAGTACGAACAGAAATCACTTTCATGGTAACAAAAGTATAACTTTTGCTCCCTGTGACAAAGATTTTATAGAAACAAAAGAGACGACAAGCAAAGAAAAAGATTTTTATTTTATTATCCACTTTCATTTTCATTTAATAATCCTTAGAACAAAAAAAAACAAAAGCGACACTACACTTGGTGATTTGTTTTCTGCTTTCTTCCTATCACAAACACACCGTTAACAATTCTATTGTCTGTGATACTTATTCTCATTTACTTTTCATCTGATTTCGACTCTGTTCTTTCTTTTTTGTCTGATTTCCTTTTTTTTTAATTTATTCGTCATCGTTTGTGTCGAAAAAGTTTTCCTATGGAAATCTGATGAACTAATAAAACAAAAGACAAATTCAAAGCACTTACGAGACTTAATTGCCATTCTTCTAAACTAATATTTTGCCGAGAAAAAAAAGAACCGTCTAAAAAATATAAAAAAAAAGATAATAAGACAAAACAACTTACAGAACGACCGTGCATTTAGACGCCTTGTGGGAGAGATGCACGGAAGGAGAAAAACAATAAACGGTTATCTGCGTCTTCTTGCTTTTAGCTATATTTATATACACGCATGTTCTCTCCTGTTATTCTCTTATGCTAATTGATTCTGTTCTCTTCGGAGAAGAAAAACTAGTATCTCTCAGTTCTATTTTCTTTTTCAGGCTACTTTAATGAGAAAACCTAACGTATAGAGATTGGATATCAAAGCACTATGGGTTTTTTCAAAAAAGTAAATCTATATTGGTTGGTAACCTAAAGAGACAAATGACATGTATACATATACAATCGCAGTCTTCAACAGTTATCTGTCAGCTATTTTATGTACTATCGATGGAAGAATATGTTTCTTCTCATTATTCTCATCTGATGTCACTGTTGTTACTTCTTAACAAAAACAAAGAATAACAGCGATGATAATTCGTTTGGGTTATTATTTACAAAACGGAACTGGAAGCCAATAGGAAAAGATTCTCTTTACATCAGTGATATTAACAATCCTAATCGAAAAACATTATTTAGATAAATGATTTCAAGAGAGTTCGTCATTGTTAATGTGTTTATTGATCGATAATTAAAGCAATATGTTCGCATTTTACCTTTTCTTTGCGTTAAACTTGACCGAATCGCAGTAGACCGTATGCATTCAATAACATACCAATAATGACGGATTTCTCTTCCTTTTTTTGTGCTTCTACTTAATAATAATGGTAAACAAAATAGAACGGTGATGTCGACAATCGGGTGTCATTAATAGGAATGTCTTATAAAGAATTATGTCTCATTTTTTTTTCGGTCTTTTACAAGTAAATACCATCCATCCACATCGCAAATGTCTGTTTGAGCTAAAGCAGAAAGAGAAAGATTATCTTTATATCCATATACATAAATATACGGAAATGTACTCAAAGACATACAATTTCATCTTTCCGATTAGAGTAAAGATGATTCATCTGATCTCATACACAATTTATTATCTAATAAAACATTGCATGACAATAAAGAAAATACTACAAGACATGCACATTCATCAGAATAATTATCTGTGCCATTCTTTGTACTACCAATCGATATTATTTACCCGACAGACTTCATATGGCAAAAGACGTAACAAATATGAAGAGATTGAAAGCAAATTTCTGACTACTAGACTCTCGATTCACACTAATTAATATTTGAAGCAAAAGGAAGGATTTACGGTCGAACGGAAGATTACCTAGAGAGATCTTTCTTCATAAATCTTAGTTTAATTATCAAGACTCCTAGTGAATACGTTGACAGTAAAAAAAAAAACAAAACACTTGGTATAGCCTTGCGATGGGGCGTGCGACAGCATGTTTGCATTTGTTTTGCTTCATTAAATCATAGATGGATGAGTAGGAGAGTATCGTATGGAATAGAAATTTCATTCGATTACTAATGTAAGGAAATGCCTGAGGAAAATGATTTTTTTCTAATACAATAAGACGTGTTGTCAGAATGTTGACGCTATTGTTTTCATGTCTAGTTGCATTGCTCTTCGACTTAGAAATTCTCCATGAAGGTCATGAATACCTTCATAAACAATATGATTCATTTTCTTCGCAATTCAGTAACGACGTGGGAACATTTTACTTGAAAGAATAAAAATATTTACCTTGACTGTACTCTATGGTGCATATTGAATGTATTTTTATCAAGGAAAGAACAGTAAGATGATGATTACTGATCGGATTTGGACCTGACAAAAAAATTATTTTCATTCACAAGCATCTGAGGATTCAATTGCTCATCTATTCATCATTAAGTGAAAATTCGTATCGGAGGACACACCTATGTGCTGTAAAATTAATTTTCAAATAGGTAAAAAGTGGAGGCATATTACATGTTATCATATTTGTCACATCGTACCGTTATCTCTTAAATCTCAAAGTGTTAACAATTAGTTCAGATCCCACCAGATCAGTTTAATGTGTCAGAAAAAAAACAATCAGAAAGGTTGAATGAATCAAAAATTTTCATTGCTAAGCACTGCGAAGAGGCTACAGTGTACTGTGTACAAGATTTGAGTGCACTATTGAGTCAATTAGTGAATATTGAGATCACATGGCTAAATTGTCGATTTATTCTTTTTTCTGTTTGGTATTTGGAATTATTTACTCGACAAACTTATATGATTAATCATTAGATAGAAGAAGTGAGTTCTATTTGCATAATTTAACTTGTAAAATTAAATGATTCATGGCACAGTACAAAACTAGGTCGACCTTTTGATGTTATGTCAATAATACGCGAAATTTTTCACGTACGGGAACACAGAAACATTCGTTGTGTGCTAAGCGATGACATTTTTAGAATAAAGGTGAAACGACCTTATTGTTGAGTACAGTCTGATAGAAACTATTACGAAGCTGAATATGATAAATGAAGAAAACTATTCATGCGTAAAAGTGGTTGAAGAAAAAAGTACTGTACGTTTACATATATAAAAGAATGTGAAATCAGCTTAGTCATCTACTAACAACATGTCACACGGATCGATGGTCCTTCAGTCACCTTTCAAATGACTGTCTTGCTACACACACGTCGACAAAGATTTTAGGATAGTACAAAGGCAATAAGCAGGTGAATGAAATTAAACAGTTACCGGATTTGTGAAAAGCTATAATGTGATGATTAGTTGCCTTCAATATCAATCTGCACATAGGACGAGTTGCATATGGTCCGCCGAGTGATTTTTCTTCATTTGAAACATTGCATATACCACGTTATTTGATTAACAAACGTTGTCCTTGTTTTATATGAAAACATTCTTTCAGTTCTTCTGTCGCTGAATGAAACACGTTCAGTTGTCGCGCAACATTATTTTCATGATTATTGAACATCATATGGTTTGAATTACAGTTATGAACCAACTGAAAGGTAGTCAACTGCTCAAGCGACGTTACTGTCATTTATCTGTTGTTAAAGAGGAAGACATTCTTTTCATTATATACTTGAAATAGTTATTCTTGACTGTAGAAGAAAATTTTTGTCATTTCAGACCTTCATGAATGACGACTGAAAATTGGTTCGAAATGATTTTTCTAAATTGTTTTCTATCATCAATGAAAAAATTAGCATTTCTTTTTTATTCTTTCAGATATTGAAGACATCTTCCAATAACTGCTGCAATCGCTTTGTTACAAACAATAACAAACTTCGATGAGTCATCAATCGTCATCACCTTCAAATACACTATCGCCTACATATTCTAATGAGCTTGAACACGAAAACCCTGAGTAGGTTAAATCGATAAAAAAAAGTTGACAAATCTTTACTGACAAAGCATTACTTTTATCCTAGACTGGAATGCTTTCTATATCGATTGAGAAAATCATTGGATGATGCGTTTTTTTCGGATTCAATATACGACATTCAGACACGAGTTCACGATCTTTGGGAATCGGTGTCCACGAAAACTGATCAGAATTTTACAATAGATTCGATCAAAACTGAAGACCTCTTTTCAGAAGAAAACTCACTCGAAACGATATCAACTACTTCTAAAGATTTAGTATCAAGGGAATTCGAAACTGATTTACCGAATGAATCTGTAAGTAATATTTACATTGTTTATGAAATCTTTTTACTGACTAAGAATTTTTTATGTATGTATATAGATGGACATATCATCAGCATCATCCATCTCGAACGAATCACATTCTACAATTGCTGTAAATCGACAAAACAGAAGATCCGAACGACCACCGAAGCAGGATACTACACTTTTTGTATCAGGATTAAAAAAAACCGTGCAATCGAGCGATATACGTCAGAATTTTCCTGGTTGTGTTAAAGTGACTATGAAGCACACCCGTAATGGTAGAAATTTGAAGTGCGTGTTAGAGCTTTTCGTTTCCTTTTAGTCAATATTCGAATCTTTTGACTAGATATGCTTTTGTTAAACATCGTTCAAGGCAAACAGCAGCACGAAACCTTACACGTCAGTTGGATGTTAATATATTTGGTCCAGACTATTGTATTACGTATATTGATTCAGAAAAAACTCGTTCTAAAGGAGAAATAATATTGGATAAAAAGAAACTTATGATCCGTAGAATACCAGTGGGTTTTGTCTCAGACGATTTGACAAAGCTATTTAATTGTTGCGAAGTAGTAACGTTCTCTCCGGCAGTTATCGCTCGTGGTGCAACATTGAATCTCCAAAAAAATGCTTATATGAAAATCTTACCCGGGTAAGAATAACTATTTTCGACGATTCATTTCTCTCGCGTATGCAAAATTGAATGTCATCGCTTTCTTTTCATTTATCCATTCAGATTTGCATCTATTCGATTCGACAAGGAAGAAGATGCCGCATACATCGTTGAACATGCCGATCAATATCGATTAAATGATCGACAATTATCCATCGAATTCTATCAAGGTTAAAGACTGCCAAGTGTTCTGTGCGGAGATTTATATAAAGAATTACAGTGTGCTTTGAACTTGTACCATTTTGTATTTATACTGATAGTATTTTTTTAAATTCAATTTGAAATATGAAATAGTATATACATACTTTTTTGCGATTCATAATAAAACAGTTTTGTTGACATTAGTATCGATATCTGTTGAAGAGATTTTGACATGCAATGCAAATGAATATGCAAATACGAACACCAATCAAACTTTTTCTTATATAATCACATAACAAGTGTTGATATCAATTTTTGTAACACCACCCCGTGTTTTGCCGTTTATTCAGTCATCGATGAGACCTACAAATTATTTTCTACACTCAAGCTGCTCTTTCACTCTAAAATTTCGCATTCGTTCTTTTGTCCAACATCAGTCCATCACCATATGAATCGCATATGTCCTAAATTCATTCATGTAACCAACATTCTCTCACGGTTCTTCGTAAAGATTGACGAAGAATTTAAAATTTCGCCCTAATGCCATATCGACTGTTAGAGAAATCAAAAATGATCTTGCCTGATAATACAAAGATTCAACTTTCCCTGTGTATGTATCAGATTCATCCAATGATAAGACAAACAGTGTACGCGTGTGAAATTTGAAATATTCAAAATGATGACCTAATCGGTAACCATATTCAACATATAAATTCATCATGGACAACTTTTCTGGGTTGATTAAACTCTAATACGGTCAGCGCCTATAATATGGTGAACATAGTTGTGATAAATGAGAGAAAAAAACCTTGTGTGAAAGCAATGTTTTTATACTTCTTTATGTGGGCGGTGAATACGATTGATCGTCTATCTTTTTTCTTTTCGTTTCTTATTTACTCGCACATCCTTTTCGGGCGTACGCAATATTTCGTCGTTCGTTTCGTGGCGAAGGAGAAAAGGTGAACATGAATCAGTACAAGAATAGAAAGGCCACAAAGAAAAGAACACAGGTAATACTGACAAAGAACAAGGTAGTTAACGTCTGATGAAAACTTCATTTATCACTACTACCAACGTGACTGTAAACATCTCACTTCTGTTCGGTTTCGACATACGTGTAAATGTGATATGATTGAAACATGTGCATGAAAACAAAATTGCAAGACTAATATGATAAATATCGTGTTTATTATGTACATGTTTTCAATATTATTGTAACGAGATGGAAAGCTATAGGTATGTAAAATATTTCAAACAGCGGATGATTGTTTTACATCTACTTGACTTTCGAGTCATTATATTTGAATTAGAAGGAATTTATTCTGTACGAACGCTTATTTCTTCATCTTATGAACTTGACATTTATCGTAAAAGAAACTCTTTTTTTTGTATTTTATGTAGCATTTCACCATTAACACATCATTGCAAGATTTCTTGTGAAAATGTTTGTTAACTATTTATTGATCAGAGATGCCAACTCAAGAAAGACAAAATTCGACTTTTAATACATTTTTCAAAAAAAAAAGCTCTCAAGATCCTTCAACCAAAGAAAGTCACCAATCGGTCAAACAACTGAAAATTCGCGTTGCCTTTGGCGTAATTCTTACATTGATTACTATTGTATTACAATGTGTGGCATTTTTTACACCGCATTGGAAAGAAGTGTCTGCGAAAAGTCAGTCGTTACAGGTCGGTAGTATTGATGCACTAATTCGAACTGAAGTCTTAGTATATTTCAATGCTGTTCATCGTTTCACTCGTCATTCATATGGTTTACTTCACCGATGTGAATATATTTCCAATAACGCGACAAAACTCATCAAACCTAATCTCGATCCGAATAAACAAACGAAAATCTGTTCGAAGAACTTCCTACCTTCATTTGAGGACAATCAATTTGATCAATGTCATAGCTTAGAGTATTATCAATTCTGTTCGAAAGCGAATGAAAAACGATTTAATATTGACAATGATTATCTTCTCGCAACATTCGATATTCTCTCCAATTCTAAACAAACACGCGATCTATCATCATCGTGCGATTGTCATTATCCGGAATACGTTAACGCATGCCATATACTTCAATACTTTGCGCTAACATTTCTATTTTCGACGTCAATACTCTTTGGTATTTTTCCTTTTATTAAAACTTCACATAACCGTCTAAAAGTGAAATGTTTTGGTGTCCTATCATCGATCCTGGCAATGATATTCATGCTTACTATTCTACTCGTTGCACTCAACTATTTTCAATACGAACCTGCTGAATATGTCAAGGCCATCGAGAAACATTATCATGCAAGTCAAATTTATAAGTTATCTATTGATGCAAAAACCGCACTTAATCACTTTCTTTCCAATATTCAAGTAGAAACTGGATACTCCACAATCATCGCATGGATTGCTTTTATTATGTCCATTATTGACGGGATTTTAATCATGTTAACATGTAAGATACCAATAGATAGTCCGTTTATAGATGATCCCAATACACCCACAAATGCTGCCAAAAGTCAAGAATCGCAAGCAAGAAGAAGTCTATTACCAGATCACGACTTTGCTCCGATATTGCCACCCGAGATTGTGGTTAATAATTCTGACGAACACACATCTATTCCGCGTTCGTATTCGAAAGAATAACCTTTACAACAACTTCGTCTTTCTGACACAGTGTGAATCTTCTTTTCTTTCTTGTGTTAATCTTTCATTTGAAACTTTTAGAGAATTAGAAGTATTTCGTTTCCTTCGGACTGATCTTTTTATTCTCATTTACTGAATTTTATTTTCATGAATTCCCCAAAAAAACAATAGAGAGAGAGAGAGAGAGAGAGATAGTACGTGTTGTTCAATCAAATCGATAACGTTTGTCGAAACGATATCGTTTGTTAATACCATCGAAATCTGATCGTTTGTCGAAGCGATAGCGTTTATCGAAACGATATCGTTTGTTAAATATTAACGAATGAGCATCCTCGTTGTCATGTTCATTGGATTCTAAACTATCGACTACTGCTGTAAGATCTTTCTTGTCAAATCGATAACGTTTGTTAAATTCGAGCGAATTGCCTTCAGAATTTACAGCAGAAGTTTCCGTACAAACGAATAACAGTTGACTGCCAATCTAGATGAAAAGAAGAGAAAAAGGACAAATTAAAACTAAACAGGATATAAAGAAACAATATCGGAAACTGTGACAAAAAATAATAAAGAATTGAGTTGGGGGCATCCGGTTCGATTTTGTCCACTAAAGTGAATCTTTCTGCGAAGAAAATTATCATAGATCAATTCGAACACTAATTTGAGAAAGATCGCATCTTTATACATTACAGAGAAAAATGGGGAATTTGCTTTTTAGCGAAACATGGAATGAGTTGTTGATTACTTACGATAACGATGGTGAAGAGAAAGAAGAAGTTGCTTTGGACGAGTGTCATCTTGTTTCAAAGTATTCGAAAATTTGCGAAATAGAATGCCGAAGTCTGTCAGTTGGTTTAGATATGAACAGTAGACGATGATCGTCGATCTCTTTGTACCTCCTGATATTATTGTTCTCAATGTGAAACACTAACATAATAAAACAACAAAAATATATATATTACAAAGCTAAGAGAGAAAAGAAGAGAGAGCAACACGAGCATTTTCCGATCTCTTTCTTTCTCTCTCTCTCTGATCGGAAAAAGACAGAAAGAGAAAATAAGAAGTTTCCGTTTATTTAATGTGTATTCTCTAATATAGTTTTCCAGTCAAATCATGAAACGATTAGTTCTATTGAATAGTCGTGTTCTAAGTTCGTCACATCTCATTAAACAATGTCATCATTTTTCACGCATGAATTTCTACTTAACTATTGAATGAAGACTAAGATATTCATTTTCAACAACAGTAGAGCATGGCAAATGACAATATATCACGAAATCTGCTCATGAAGATATGTTTTTTCTTTTACTCTACAATAAACATAACAATATAAATATTGCAAACATTCATAAATACGAAGAAAACCTCCGAAATCTTTTCAGAACCCAACAGCATCACATCCAATGCGTTCGTTTTCATTAGATTTCCGTTAAGTAATATCTTGTAACACAAAGCGACGGGAAAAATTCAAACCGATTTTCACCTGTGGTACCATTTGAAAAGACATGTTTCGATCTTTTCGTAAGCAAATGAATTTTTCAGAAGGCTTCGACTCTCGATGCAACATCGCGCAAGTATTGCATAGAATCGATGGAACATTCTCGATAGTGAGGCATCTAAAAAGTATATTCAGGTAGTTGATAAACGATACACTCGGAAAGTTAGTATAAAAGGAAGAAAGCAACAACAACAGAAGAAAAGTACTCGAAAAGTAATAAGAAAATATTAGTTCCCGTCTCAACTAAGGAAGAAAGCTTTTGAACAAGGTTCGAGGATTATTTTTTCCTCCGGTTAACTATCGATGGATGAGGCTAGCCCATCTCTGTCATGCATATTCAGTTACTCATTTCCGTGCTCAAGTTATCTTATTGATTTACTCTAGAGAAATGAAATTCTAGATGTTTTAGTCGATAAAGATTATCAAAAACAGATCAAAGTGAAAAAGAACTAAACATTGTTCATATATGATTAGTGTTTGATGAAAATTACGAAAGACGTATGGATAAAGAACTGTTTGAGAGCCTTGATGCTAGCATAGATATTATTGTATAGCTGAACACATATCGATTACTTAAAAAGAAACTATTTCCTCGCTATCAACATTCTTGTCAATTGGTTCTACATATATTCCTCAATAATTACTTTTTATTTTAGGTTTTTACTACTCTGTTTCATACAAGTAGTGAGTGCGAGACGATACATTTGAACGAAATGGTTCTCATATGCACGCTGTGAATAATATTATCTACGCAATATTGATTAAAGAGATGGTTTGAAACTAAATAGTACTAATGCAATATCGTCTTAATGATCTTTACAAAGAATATAATATCAAATAAATTAAATTTTCTGATTTTCTGCAAGAACTTGCACATATTAGAGTGAAGAAAAACAAGAAAAGATTGTTTTTCTGTTTTATATTTAGGCACTATTTTTGTTCGTTTTGACTACAAGATACTTTTCCTGTTTCAGAAAGGTTAGACTATTCATTTTAAATATCTTTTGGTCGGTTGATTGATTTTAATGAACTCTCTACATGCAAATAGATTTTATATTTCACCGATGAAAAGCAGAATCAGTGAGGATGATCATCGGTAGTAATGTACATATGATATGATGCACATGCAACATTGGATGAAGAATATTGAGTTCGATTTTCTATTCTCCACACTCAGATTATTTTATTTTCAGATAATTAAATAGTTCTTGACGAATGCATGTCAATATTTTCAACATGTTCTTCTACTTTCTAGTGTACATTCATACACATCGATTGATGCATGAAAGTTGGTTGTCTCTTTCTCTGTGTATTTTTGAAATGTTATTTTGATTGATTTTATCAGTCATTTGCTTTTTCTCTAGAAAAAATCGTTATCTGCACGACACGATCTATATAAGAGAGGCAAACTAACAAAATTCTTCATCAAACCCTTCGTTCATAACTACTAGTCTCCGTCAACTCAATAGAGAAACATAACATATCCCTGAAAAATTATTAATGTCTCACAGGTTAGCTTCTGTATGAATTGTCTACAAGGATGATCGAATGTTGTTTTAGAGCACATCGATGTGAAGGAATGTCAGCACAAATGGAGCCAGTCTTTGATAGATCTTCGAAAGTTGTTGTAATCAGTGGATCAGACGCTGAAACCAGACACAAGAAGATAGAACGATGGTTGAATAAACATTATCCTGGTCATCAGCTCATACAAACGGCGAAAGTAAAACAAAACGATCGATTTTACTGTCGTAAGACGTTTCGCACATCCAAAGGACAAGTGAAAGCTGTTTATTTCGATTTCACGAACTCTCTCAACAATAAGATAGGTACGACGAATAGAATGTTTGCTGGTGGAACTATGATTCGTATATGGGCACGACAGGGATCGCAACCGACAAGAACTGAACACTTCACATAGTGCACGTCCTCACTACATACGTCGTTACTTTTACAATAAATAATTCCAAAAGTTTCGCTTCTCATCAAATATTCGAATGTAGTTCATTTTTATTAGATTATTGTAAAATAAAGACTTTTATTATGAAAATAGTTATTCTAGTAACACGCTGCATTTTCTATTTGTAAGCAGAACATTGACAAGTCGGATGTATTCGGAAACGTTCACGAGGGATCCTCACTCTCAGGCCGTAGATGGTGCTGTGGCTCGAAAATTTACGAGTATAAAGTTTGCCAAGCTAAATAAAACGATCTGTTACCAAGAGCTCAGTAACACATTCACCAAGTCATGTGATCGTCACCTAAACATAAGCATTGAGTTAATGTATGATTTTAAAACTTTTGGTCGTGACTAATACTTTTTCATCCCTTGCGAACAAAGCTGAGACTCTGATTTGAATTTGTTTTTATTTTGTACATTTATGATATTCATTGAGCCAAAAAAAATTCTCTGGATATTTACATGGATTTTATACGATGTATTGAAAGCTCTATACACTTTAGTTACTTGTTAACTAGATCACTGACCTTTTTCGTGAATATGATATTGATTGGACACATATAAAGTTCTTTATTAATGTAAAAGTCGGTAAAAAAACAGAACCACGTAGTTTTGAATATCAATGTCTTACTGTACCTCGTATTTTCGTCGATCTATCTTTAGCAAATCAGGCATGTCTTGGCGACTTTGCAGTCAAACATTACTGAAAATGCAGTTTGCTTATAACACATGAATTCAGAGCGAAAAATGAATAGAACACTGTTTGATTTTTGCTGTTCGTAGTTGAGAAAGATAAGATGATGTTTTTTACCAGATTCTCGTCGTAATATCATCCGAGTATGGTGTTTTGGGCTTTTAGAAGCAGTCTGAAAATCTCAGAAAAAACTAAGTTTAACATTGTTTTTATATTTCACAATACACAAACACAATCGAGACAGACTCTTTTCATTTTCTTTTCACAGTTCAGTTGGAACATTTAGTTTATTATTCGATGAAAAGAAAGTTCTATATTACCATGAGAAAAGGGTCAGATACTTTACGAGAGGAATGTGGATACACGTCTTGTGTTACTACTAAATTAAAAAAAGAACTATTATCTTTTTTAGAAACATTGATCTGTGTCGTGCATAATGGAACAGTGCCGAAATGAAATAGGTAGCAGAACCTTACTATATTCTCTGATTAAAATTTATTTTATTTGATAATAAACATAGTGACATAAGTCTTACAAACATTGATAAATAGAGTTTGAGGTTTTTGTTTAAAAATTTTTGAGAAAAAGAGCGGCGCCAGATTGAAGCCACTTATCTTTTTCATTTCCACATGGAACATTTAAACGTGTAATAATTCGATCACGAGTAGAACTAAAGTAAACTGGTAGAGAAATGATTTCATTGGATTCTTGTTGCGCGTTATCCTAGAAAATAAAAGAGAATTTCAAAATGAATTCAACTTAATATGTTTCACAATGAAACACTTACTTGTGATACCCAAGCAATATAACAAGGTGGAACGGCTGAAATACTTGGTGAATTTGGTGCATTTTCACTAATTCGTCCGCCGTCAAATGAACATCCTTCTAGTTGCAATCCACTGATTTTGACTGAGACATTTTTTCCTTGTTTGACTTCTCCAGACCAGGATGTATTCAAAACTAATGCATCCATAGGTTGTCTCGTTTCTCTTGCTGTCTGCTGTCTCAATGCATTGAGAAATGTATCGGGATGAAACAGATCGGAAAGATTTATTGTTTGTGAAAAAATGTCTCGATCTTTTCCTGATGAAGTTAGTTGCTGAATAGCTTTGGCCTTTGATACAATAGCACGTAAATATTGTGTCGGATCTGTTGGACCTTCCCAACGATTTTGCCATGTCTGAGGCGTCTAAAACATATTCGAACAGTTTGTATAAAAAGGAAAAACAAGAGAATATTAGTTTCTGTCGCAGATAGAAAATCCTTTTCCTTTCGGTTAATTGTCAGTACTAAAATCATCTTATCGATTTACTCTGAAGAAATGAAATCCTAGATGCTGCATATGATATCGGTAAGAAAAGAACAGGATGTGATAAATATCTTCTGTTGTATGAGAATATTTATTCTTACCTCATTTTGAAGTAGATCTTTAGCATAATCTTGAATTTCATTAGTAATCAAATTAATTCCTCGGATAACTTTTGATAACGCTGCTAAATTTTCATGAATTGTCTGAACTAAATGAATACCGTTATATCGTTCTAATTGCAAAAATGATTGAATTGGTGATAATGATCCATCTTCAGTTGGTGGTTGAACTCTTAATTTGAGTACATCACTTTCCTAAAAAGATTTTTCGTTCATATAGAACAATCGTTTGATTGTATGAGATAAAAGTTTTTACTTGATTTAATTTCTTCCATAAGTTGAGTAATGGTGATAACAATGCACTCCATTTTTCTTTGTCGAACTTTTGAATTTCTACATCAGTACGTTGAAGAATTTTTAGAGAATTTATAATCTTAAATAAAGGAATACAGTGTGAAATCGCTGATGAGAAAGAATTTTATGTATTTACTTGAGCACTGTTCATCTGCTGTGCTGATCGTTCAATATTTGCTGGCAACCCAAATAAACTTGGTGCATCTTGATCATCATTCAAATTTTCACACAGTTTTTTGTATTCCTATCATAAATTATAAGAAATATATTCGTTTTAATATCTCTTCGTTTCTACAAGACATACATTTAAATCAGCGGAATTTGGCAATTGAATATTTGATGCTAATTTATACTTCGAACCTTTCGATCCGCCGATAATCGATGAATTAAAATCTTGCATTAGATATGATCGTAAAACATCAGTATCAATTGGATTATCAACACGACCACCGTAAACAGCTTGATCAAATAGGCCATGAATATAATCCCATTGAATTTCACCACCCGCTGTATAAAAAGAAAACACGGATAAAGAAATTCATTCAAAGAATAATCATATACTCACATTGTTTTGCAGCTCGTTCACATACTCGATGAATAATTTCGTATCCGGCTCGTAGATCAGCTTGAGAAAATTCATAGAATTTCGTCCAACCCTATATTGATAAAGTCTCATGAATGTACTAATAGAGAGTGAATATTTTATTTTACTTGTGGTATATATTTTCTTCGTTCTTGTACAATGGCATGAAACCAAGCAAGAACGAAAAGTGTTTGGGAACGTGTCACGCCTCCTCTTCCAAATTCTTCTTGTGTCCAATTCTCAAATGTTCTTAAAAGATTTTTCTTTAAACCCGGTGGTGCTTCGTATGTAATTTTGGTACTTGATTGCAAGAGTATCGTTGGAAATTTTGGATGAATTTCTGATGTCAACCATAAACGAAAATCTTTGTGTGGTTTCAATGCATTCAATTCCTGAAGTGAAAGTAAAGAAATGGAAATCTTCGAAAGGAAGAATGCGTCGTACTTTTTCAAGTGTTGTTAACCACGGTGTAACTAAATGAAGATTTTTTAAACATAGCCATGTGCCTTGAGCAGAGCATTTCTTGAGAAAATCAAGAGCGATTTGCATTTGACCTTGACCCATAGCAATCTAAACGCAATCGAATGGTTTTTTGAAACAGTAAGAAAACTGTCGGATTTACTTCAGAATATCGATCTTTGCCGGTAATTTCTGTTGCTAAATCTCGTAGCTCAGCTGATGGATCAGCACCTGGTGAGATAATGATCAAAATCGGTTCAGTTGCAATGGTTTCTTCCGTATAAAGTTTTTTCAAATTCAATGTTTCTGGTGAGACATCAGGAATATCTAATAAGCCACGCGCAAATTGTCTCATCGCACTTTCTAAACGATCAGGTCGAAATGCTTGAATAACTAATAACTGTTGAAATGCTGTCATTCGTTTATCTTGTGGAAAACTTGATTCGCATTCATTCATTGAATTCCACTTCGACCATGACGAATCGTCAAATCGAAGATTCGAATAAAGTTCAGAAAAGTTTGTCTAAGCAAAACATTGGTTTTCCTCTGAGAATCAATTTCAAAAGTCCTACTTTAAATGCAGAAACATCAAATGCACGATCTTCATTAACCCATGAAGGTATCGATCGACTTTCTTTCACATCGGCGACTGATATACCAATAAAATGTTCCCATTCCTAAATAAATCATAGTTGAATTCGAAGAAATCAATAAAATCTTGTATTTTTACATTTTCTGGAATCTTTTTCGGAAACATTCCGTGTGCTAAATGCATTGCAAACATCAAACGATCAGCTTTAAACAACGACCGAGTAATGTAAGCGTACGCTGCACGAAGTTGATTCTTTCCTAAAACCAATGTTCGACCCTCATCGGCGCTTTTCTGAAGGAAAACGAAACAATGAATTCTTTGCGAAGAATAAAAGTCAAATTTACCTCAGTTCGCTGTAGATTGCGTTGAAAAAGACGTAGGAATGCAGATAAACTGAATTGATACATATTGTTTACTTTCGATAGATCAGAAATGACAAAAAACAGTTTGCTACCATGATTAGCAAGTGGTAAATAATCGTTACGTTCCTGAAAATAATGTGTCAAAGAGAAAACTATTCTTTTCACTGTCTTTACTTTGTCAAGATCTTCGCTAAGCGTGACTGATTCTTCCAGAGAACTGGTTATTGTTGCTGATTTTTCTTTTGCTTTGTTTAATGATTCTAATAATTCTTTGTTTTCAAGAATATTACCAGTTGCATTGGCGAGACCCTTCGAATAGGGAGAAGGTTTTTATAGGGCAGTTCTTTGTAGATAAAATACGTTACTTCGAGTAATTGATCTTCTAATTTTGCTAATTCGATCTTGAGTTCTTCTTCCTTACGAAGCAATTCAGTTTTACGAATTTCTAATTCAGGTTTTTCGTGTTGAATGGCTATGGCCAATAACTAAAATCAGAACACTGAAATATTTCACACACTGATATTCGTCACTCTAAAATTACCTGTCCAGTTAATCCAGCTCGTGTTGTTGTAAAATTGACTTCATTAATAATTGCTTCCATATCAGGTAACAATTCCGGTGTTGGATTTCGTGTTGTTAGATATATTCGAAAATCAGGATTATAATCAATCGTCTTCTCTCCAATCTGTACAACGTGTCTTGGCCCTTGTGAAGCTAAATCTTTTCTTAAAACTGGATAAAGCACCGGCTCGACCCCATCGACTTCTTGCACAATCAATGTTTTTCCAAATCGTACCGCCAATTCTAATTGAGTTGTGAAATTATTATCCTGTTGATTGGTCACTTCGACTTTTTTATCTTTCAAATGTGTTTTCAACCAATCTGTCGCACGTGATGACGGATCAACAAGAAACGGACATAATTGAGAACGAAGAATAACAATAGCGTTTTCCATGGATAAGTCATCCGATGGTAAACCTTGACTTTTCCATACTAATTGTTCACTTTCAGTTGATAAAAATTTTCTTACATCGAATTTATCATCGACCTTCACAATCTCTTTCCATTTATCCATGTAATCAACACGTTTATCTTCAGATTGACTTGCCAAATATGTAATAAAGCCAGCTGATAATAGTGAAAGTTTCGGAAGGTGTTTTAGTTGTTCATTTAGATCGTTGACTTGTGCGGACCAGCTGGAAAGAAAAATTGAGAGTATTCTCCTCAAAAGATCGCATTTTTAGCGTCTTACCGATAGAATTCTCCTTCAAGTTTACCAACGAGATTTTGAGCAGCTTCAATGGTTTCTTTTGCCTTTTCTAAATCAACTTTCAATCGTTGAGCTTCATTGGTTGTTCTAAAATGTCAGAAAATGAAACCAACTGATTCGAAAGTTCGAACTGACAACAAACTTTTCGAAAGTTGTTCGATATTTTTCTACTTTGGCATCGACTTGTTTCAGTTCGAAACTTAATTCATCCATTTTTCTTGTCGAATTTTCCAGACTCCTATGGAAAACAAAAGAGAATTTTTCCAAATAATTTTCCTCTCTTATCGTTCTACTCACTTCTTCAATTTGTTCTGTTTTTCTTCTAATGGGCGAATACGTTCCAAGACTCTCGAGTACTTCACATTCGCCACCACCCATGCTGCCAATGGGCCTGCGACTTGCGATGCTTTTGCCGCAGTTTCTTGCGAAAACGAATCGGCCTTTTTTCTCAATAGCTGTTCCACCGATTCTCGATTCTCCCCAGTTACATTTCGAGGATCAAAATTCATGATATCCTCTTTCACACCTCGTTTACCCAAAAATCTAAAACAACAGAATCAAATACTTTTCTCATTGCAGAATTTCTTACGCTTTCATCGAAGTCCACGATGTATCGAGTACACCCATTAATTTCAAAACTCCTTCAAGGATATCTTTGATGACATCAGGTGGTGCACGAAGTGACCGAATTTCCACTAAAGTTTCCGCACGTAGACTACCAACTGCTTGTTTCGCTTGATCGACCAATGGCTGAGTTTCGGCTAATTCATTATCAATCTCACGTTTTTGCTGTTCGATAAAAACAGTTTCTTCGCTGACTTTCACAGCTAAATGTTCCATTTCAGTTTTTTGTGAACCCGCATCCTAATCGCCCACAAAGACTCGGTTTTTTCTTAAAAAAAACGTAACACAACTCACCGCCATGCTCTTCGTAATTTGTTTCAACGCTTCATCAGCTTCATGTTGCTTCACTCCAAGTTCTTTTTGCTTAACTTCTGCACTACGTTTCAGATCATCTACAACTTTTCTCGCTTCACTTAATTTCGAAACGCCGGATTTTAAATGTTGTTGTCGTTTGCTAACAGCATGTTGTTTGGTTAAATAAACTTGTCGATAGGTTTCTAATAGAACTAAGAATCGTTTCGGTGTGAAATACTTTTTGTCCACTGTTTTATGAATAAGATAGAATGCTTTGGATAATTCGTCATCTAATTCGATTTTTTCTGTGAATCCTCCTTTTAGACTTTCATCTGGACGTTCTTTGGCGAAGACCATCGATGGAATCTAATTGAAAATCAAGTTTTTCGATTGTCAACAAAAGCAAATTCAATATTTACTCGTAGCATCGATCTCTCTGACCAACCTTCCAACCACTGAACAGCACATTCTTTAAAAAAACCTGGATTACTTTGACAAGCAACAGTAAAAGTCGGTCTCGTGAAATCCATAATCAAGACGACATGTAGATTTGTTTTCACTCCTACAGAACAAAATGCTTTGATTTAAAAAAAAAAGTTTCGTCAGTGTTATCAATAGCTACTTTGAGCGAAGTATTGAACCATTGTACCACGAAAACCTTCTTGAGATGATTCCTCACGTAAAGGAGATAAAATCGATTCTAACTCATCGGGGGCGTATAAGCCCGGAATTTCACCAGCTGATAGTAGACTATTTATCAATTCGACGAATGTGGATTCAATGAATTGATAATCTTCAATTAGTAAAATGCATTGTTCACCTTCGACACCTGCACTTTGCAGAATCTATTTTCAGAAAACATTTATCGAAACTTTAGCAAAACGAAAAAACGAAACAAACCGTTTTCAAGTCATTCTTGAATTGCTTAATTCCATAGGTTCGACTAACTTTTGGTGAAAATAGTTTCATATTATTCATCGATGCAACTACACCGATAGCTGTGTGACGACCTACACCACTTCGTCCGGCTAATAGCAGCGAGCCACCTGGTGCTGTCAATACGCGATCACATCGAACAATCGTATCGGCAATTTCACGAAATAGGAAGACGTCGGTGTCACGATATTCAGCACGGTAACGTGCGATACCGCGTTCGACGAATGGTTTCAATTCTTTCGTTGATAAACGCGACAAAAGTCGACCGGCAGGCGGGAGAGTTCGCCTACCATTATTGTTTGGCCAAGAGGCAAAAAACGCATCTAAAAATGTTTCTTTGATGCGGAAAACGAACGTAAGAATTTCATTCTACCTTTTAGCGACGCGATTGCATTTGATGACCAATCTTTTTTCAAAATTTTATCAACAATTTCATCGAATTTCTCTTGTGCGTCGTTTCCAACTAATCGATCTTTGAATAATCGACATGCTTCATACACCCAGATTTCCAAGAGATTCTCCGCTGTTGCATCGTTCTTCGTCGACGATAGATCATATCGTAATAAACTTAAACACCAACGCGTTAAATCTCTCGGTGTAAACAAATAATGGCTGTGAACATCTTGACTAAATCGTGATCTTAATTCGTTATACAAATGAATCATTGACAAGGCCAATTGTTGAATTTTTCCAGTGGATGACCACATTCGATGATTTGGTAGTTGGTGTTGAAATATCGTTCGTAAATAATTCGAATAAATGATTTGCAACTGTTCTTCATCGGGATAATTTATTGAACAGATTCGAACAATCGATGTGAAGCGTGTGGACAGTTTATGTCTTCCAAGTGTGTTCGTTGGGTTCATACTTCCGACGATTTGAATGTTTTCCAGATTAACAAATTCAAGATTTTCATCGTAGAAACCATTGTAAGTTAAAATCTAGACAGAAGAAAAGAAAACAGTTCAGCTTTGTAAATCAATCGAAACGAACCTGTTGAAAGAATTCGATCAATTGACTTGTACCCCATTTATCAACTTTAGGAAGATTGATGTCTTTGACATATAAAATCAGATTTTCACAATCTTTTGGACGATATGTTCGACCGTTGGTTGACGAAACTTGGATGCAAGATTGATTCAACTTTTGGATTACATGAATAGGTGATGTTTGAGCGCTACAATGTAGAATTGCTACTTGAGTAGAGCGTAACTGACGAAAACAGTAGCGGAGTAATGTTCTACGAGGAAAAATTCCAAGGTTTTTACGAATTTATTGATGAAATCGGGTTACCCTTTGCCACAACCATCAGGTCCAACGACAAGAAAAGGCTTTCGATGTTTATTATGAAGCCACGGAAGGAAGGAATCAAGATGACGTTGTATATCAGCTGTTCGAACAACAGGTAGATCATATTCATTGTTGAAGTTGTCGATATTCAGTTCCGTTTTCTCCTAAATAGTTTCTTGAGGAAAAATCAATAGATCAGATACGAAATAACTCACGTCGTTATGATATGTTCCTAAACTTTTCGATCGTTCATCATATTTTACTGATAATAGATCGTTGGAATCGGGTGGATGTTCACCCGTTATGTTAAAAACCTATGATATTGATTTTATAGAAATTCATTAGGAAAAAAGAAGCACAAACTTCACGAGCAAAATCGGACTTTGTTCTTTCATTCAAATTTCCACCTAAACCACGAATTAAACCCAAAGTAAACTGTGCTTTGTCTTGAACACCATGTAAATGTGATAAACCATTCAAAACTGTTCCAACTAATGTTGTTTCAACAACTGATTCACCTTGTTCGACAACCCAATTAAAAGCATCGAAGAAATACTGCTTGATAAATTGTTCCGTTTTCGAGCGAGTTTCACTCGGTTCTTTTGCTAGCCATGATTTCACAACAGCTTTGATATCGGTATCTTCATCACTAAACGATCGTACCATACATGTATGATTTTTTTTCAAATATAGATCATGATGAGCAAACCTGAGAAAGATCATTCCCATTCGAGAAATAGTTGCAGGAGATGCACAACTTAAATCGTGTGTTTCAAAGAGAAAATTCACATTAGGTCCAAATTGAATACGTTCACCAGATGGCATGGTTAACAGACGATTATCATCAAGCACGGAATTCAACGATTCAACCCATTCTGGATCCACATCACCATCGCAAACAATCCATGACTGAATCTCTTGAAAAAAACAAACGACACGTTCGACATACATATCGAATGTCCAATCTTACCAAGTGGTTCTTTGACAACAGCCCGCGACGCTGCTGTTAAAACTCCATCCGACCATTCTCGCGTATCCATATCAATATGTCCAAGTAATTGAATTCTTGGCATTGATTTCGGATTCATCACATACGTTCGTACGACTTGATCCGTTTTCTGCATGGCATGCTGAAGCATTTTCCATAGGATTGACTTCCCCGAACCAGATGGGCCAACTATAACAACACCCATACGCTGACGAAGTTGTTCATACAGTTCCAATGCTTTACGAATCTATTCCCAACAAATAAAATTTTACAAATGGAAGAAATCAAAACGCAGTACTACCTGAGTATCACTGACTAACAGATGATGTTCTTTATAAACTTCATGTAGAGCTTGTCGAAGGTTTTCATATTCAATATCACGTAGATCAACACCAGGAAATATATCTCGTAACAGTCCATCGAACCGTTTCGAATCACCAAACGTTAGTTTCGATAAAGTGTTGATTCGAGCTGCTTGCACAACTAGTTGTGCTTCGTAATTCGATGAAATTTCAACTAAATGAGAACAAATGAAAACACTTTCGTACATTGAATTCCTCCAAACATACGTTTATTTGCTCTAGCATTTCGCAGTAATGTTCCACAGCCTTTCAAAACAGTTTTCAGCGCTCGTAAACCCCAATCGTAATGTTGTTGTGTGGTTAAAAGTTCTTTACTTAAATTAAATAATGCAACTAACTTTCTGGCTAATACATTGGCATGCTTAAATCCATCGGAATAGAGAAGAACTTCAGCAATAAGTTCGTTATTTGGTTTGGACATGGCCACAGGTCGAAATAGTTGCTTTAAATTATCGGGTAGTTTTGATCGGCCACCATAGCCTTTACCTGCTGGATTCAATGTGACGAAAATGCCTGAATTTGGGTTGATTTCAATTTTTCGATCGAGTAATGTCAATGTCGGTGCGCCACTTTTAAGTGCATCTTGAATAACTTGAATTTGCATTGATACAGCTGATAGAACAGCTTCGTCCAAACGATTGAATTCATCGAAACAACCCCAAGCATCTTTAAACGCAAAACATTCAATTATCTGAAGATAAATACACGAACTAAACTACATACCAGATTTACAAATACCAATAAATATTCGACCGATCGATTTTACATCAATACCCTATAAATAATGATACCGATTGTTTTTATTTGAGAAGTTTTCAAAAGATTTACCTCATCACAATTGAAAACCAACACTTGACGACCAAATGTTGATCCCAGCGCTTTCACCGATTCAGTTTTTCCTGTTCCAGCTGGTCCATACTAAACAAAGACTCATCCAATCCAAACGAAACATAAAACTCAAATGAACATACCGGATTTCCGCCAAATCCCATATGCATTCCTTGAGTTAACGTCAAATAACACTTATCAGTCAACGGCGTATGAACAAGTTTTTGTGCATTGCCTTGATACTCATATGTGTAATTGAACTGTGCATCAACCATTTTAATAACGGCTTTGTTATTTTCTAAATAGAATCTTAGTTGTTTTTGCCATAGCCAATCGTAGATATTGCGAATTCTTCCGTCGCGAAGCTGTTGAACAACGTCCATGTTATGAACTGTATCCATAATTAATGCTTTGTATTTCAAATCTGTCACAACACCTTCGATTGTGTCGGTGTTCACTTCGACGTTCGTGTACTTCTCTAAGACTTGTTGAATCTGCGCATGAAATTTATCTAAATGGCCGCTTTTGATCGCTTCCTCACAACGTTCAGTGAATGTAATTGATTCAGCTAGACATGATATCTACAAAAGAAGAAAAGTAAAAAAAAACAAATTCGATTTTCCATTACTTGTGAAGGATATTTTTCAACAGGAGTTTGTCCCAATTGTTTTCGTGAGTCTTGTAGAGCGCTAACTATCAACTGTTGTAATGTATTCACCATCTCTTTCGACAATTCCTTTAGCCATTCTTCAACCGATGTTGTAACCTGAATCTTCTTTGTTAATGGAACAAGTTCACCATCTAATGAACGCATGGCGAGAATGTTTTGATTGGAGCCATCGAATTGAACTGTGTGAATGCCAGCGAATAGTTTTTTCAAATGTGTTTGAATAACTGTTGGATTGGTGGATTGACCAAGGATTTCTAATAGATCATCATCGCCGATGAAGTAAAAACGAGGAAAGATCGAACGTTTCTCCTGAAAATGTTAGCAATGATGGAAGTCGAATGAGAGGATTTGATAGATATTACTTCGAGCAGTTCATTCAGAGCTTTTTGACAACGACCGAGTTGATCAAGCATAGATTTTAACATATTTGTTAGATCTTTTCGTTGTGCAAAGATGACCAGTCGAGGATTCGAAGCAATTTCAGACATAATTTCACGAAATTCTTTGTCAACACCACGAAATCGACCTTGTTCCTTTGGTAAGGCACCTAGAAGAAATCATCGTGCAATTCAAATCAAATCTCAATATTGACAAACTCACCTCTACCGAAAATTGGCTCGAGATAAACAAATTTTCGTTGAATTTGGTTGAGAAGATGAAGACATTCATCAAGAATGCCAAGTCTTTGCTCCCAAATTTGTGCTTGACCCTCTAAAACAATACCAGATTATTTCTATTCATCAACTCCGAAAATATTTAACCCACCGAAATTTTTATAGTACGGCGAATCTTTCAATGAAGACAAAAGACTTTGATTATCGCCAATCTGTGTGAATAAATCTTTCCAATCTTTGATAATTTGTATTTTCTGTTGTTTTGTATCAACATAGTCAGTCAAAACAAATTGCGCACCAGCGCCCCAGTTTTCCAATTCATACAAAGCTTCTCGAATCGTATGCTCAGCTTGTGCACGTGCATTTAAATCCTATACAAAACAAAAATCTGTTTTTCATTTCAATTTTACGATCACAAACCTTCAATTGACCGGAATTGTTCATAATTTCATCTTTCGCTCGAATAATATCTCCAAATGTCAATTTTTCCAAGGTAGTTCCACGTGGTAATTTCAATATTCGAAATAATTCTAACCAATGATCAGGTGAAAGAGTTTCGCCTCGTACCCATTTGAATAAAGGTGCAAGTAGACGATAACTTTCGATATCTTGTTGAATACGTTCATTCATACTACTTGGCGAATGTTTTTTCGATGATTTTGAAGATTCATTTGCTGCTAATTGTTTTAGTTTTTCTTGCCAATGCGAAAGAAATTCATCGAACTGATATGTTTTACTTCGAAAAGTCACCCAATCTTCTTTTCCTAAGACTTCTAAATCTTCTTGAAATTCTTCGTATATACCCCAAACGTTTTTAATACGAGTAATGTCGTTGTAAACGTCATCTAAATCTTGAAATACGGGTTCATTCATGCCGAAATTGCGAAATTCCTCACTAAAATAAAGAAGATTTGGATGGAAAGTCATCAAAATTGTGCGTTTACATCATTTTCTCCTTTTGTTTGACCATGTCCAGAATTTCCTTTTCTCTCTCGCGAACAATTTTCAGCGATTCTCGACATTTCTTCTCGTCTTCCATATCTTGATCGCGAGGTCGAATCTGTTTCCATTTGGATTTCAATTTCTCACTTTCATTCAAAAATGTCTCATAACGAGATTTTAAATTTCGTTTCAACACATCTTTTTGTTCGCCAATCATCTGAATATGAGAATCCATCATACCCTCGAACTTGTCTAATTTCAATTGTAATGGAATCAATTGTTCGTGACCTCCGCCAGCAACTGAACGTAATAATTTATTTTTTGATTCGATGCGTTCGTATAAGGGAAAGATCTCTTGACGTCGAACTTTTAATTCATCGTATTTCTTGTACGATGAACCGAGCTCTTCGTGAGTGCGCGGACGATCTTTGAGAGCTTCTAAACCTTCATTAACGAATGATTCGATGCTTCCTGCATCGCGTGTGATCGATCGTTTTAAATGTGTTAACATTGAATCATTCAAGCGTCGAATTTGGTTTTCAATTGTGAGTTTTAGAGGAGTTGTGTTCACAAGAAAACAATCGTAACGCATTTCACTGGAATTTTTACAGAGAAATATTTGAGTTGAAAGATAGAATTGAACTTACTTGGGAAGTTTGTCAACTTCTTGACCGCGAATTTTTAAAATTCGAAAGTTTTTCTCCCAATCACTGACATCTAAAAGGTATTTTTCAACAAGTTCTTCGATATCAACTTGTCCTAAGACTGTCCATTCTTGAAATTGTTCAAGTCCACGTTCTAATCGTCGGAATAGTTCGTGTGAAGCTTGATAACATGCAGTAATATCTTCTGTGTGTCTTAGCACAATGGTTTCATAGACTAATTTTTTCTTTGACGCCGAAGACGAATCTCGACAACCTTTGTAACTCAATGGAAATGTTAAAAATCGTTTCATTTCACGGTAAAATGTTCTTTTGATCTCTCCCATATTCGACTCCGTGTCTCTCGATTCGGATAGTTTGTATTGAGGTGAACTGTCACTACAACGAAGCAAATTGTGGTTCAAATGAACTATTCGAACGCAAAATCACCTACCCGAGGATCAGATCAAGTTTGATTTCCGGTAGATTTTCATTTAAAGCTTTTAAACCAATGAAATATTGAAGATCAAGTGCTTTGTACAACTGCCTATCCCAAAAGGCTCGCCACGATTTCATATTTTCGGGTGCGTAACCTTCATTAACCAGATCATCCATGATTTTTCGAATTTCCTTCGTTTGCTCTTCCCATTTCTGTCGTTCGCGTAAAAGATCAGTGTTCATCAACGAACAAACGATTTGTTGAATTGTCGAATGATAACGACGTAATTTTAAATTTTCAGTTTTCAATTTCTCCGCTGCAGCACGAAGCGTCGTGAGGTACCGAGATAGTTGTTCAGGATTCTCCCAAGTTAATCTCACACTTGAATCACCACTTCCAGACTCTGACAACAATGAAAGTTTAATTGATGAAATCAACTTGAAGAAAATACCCTACTGGACAGTTTTGGGTCTCGAACAAGACGTTCAAAATTCTTCGCTAAATCGAGCATCATTGGTTGTTGACTTGGGATCATTTCCGAGTCGATTGTATTGTAGAAATGTGCGACCTGAGTTGAGATTTTCAAATAATGTTTGACATGTGGTAAAGCAAAACTTACAGCTTGGAGTTCAACACCATACTGATGAAATTTCTTCCCGACTTCGATCCATTTTACAATTTTCGATGGAACATCATAGCCAAGTGATGATAATTGTCGTATTTCATTGAGTAAAGTCATCAGTCGATCACCATAGAGTACCCGCAATTTTCCGTCCTGTGAATCAATTTCCATTAAACGACCAGTTGTTTCAAGACTAAAATCAATTGCTGATCACTACGGAAATTTCTTACAAACTCAAACCTTAATGTTTGCGATGGATCATCAATTGCTCGTGTAGTATCTTGACACCATTCTTTGAATTTATCTTTTCTCCAATTGCCAATATCTTGCTTCAATTGTTTCGCCATTGATACCATACGTGAATAACTTGGCAAATCGCTTAATAATTTATCTCCATCGTTAATCATGTTATTCACCTGGAAGAAAAACCGATTCTTTCGTTAAAAACATTTTCCCTTTTCCATCTTGCCTTACCTTTGCTTCAATGTGTCGACTTGCATCTAATGATGCAGCGATTGGTGTTCGAGTAGATCCTTTCGAACTCGACTTTTTCCCTCCACTATCTAAACGATGAAAATCATCTGTCAAAGTTTTTAAGTCGTTTTCCATTTGTCCCAGAACAGCTTCTCTTTCCGTTGCTAATTCTTTTCGAATGACATCACGTTGCATTAGATCAACGTAACGTTTCAGTTCCGCTAATATTTGGTGCGGATTCGACTGTGTTTTATGAAACCGACTGCGTAATTGTCGAGCAACTTCGCGATCTGTGTTGGCCATAAGGTTTTCGAATTGATCTACAGCAGAATTCCATTGTGGATCTGTGTATGGACTGAATTGTATTGGATTAAGATTGAAAAATGGTGCGAACACAACATTAGATGGGTTCATCGATGAATGAATTTGCGAAGATTGATCATACGATGAGCGAATTGTCAGAATTTCACTTAGCCGTTTTCGAAATTGAACTAAATATGTCGCTTTGAATGTTTCACCTTTCCATGGATGTGGAGGATAATTTTTCCAATAGAAACCAGTTAATCGCTCAACAGCGAAGGACCAGCGTTCACAAACATTCACACCATTACGTAGATATTCACGTGTTTTTATTGATTGGTCAGACTCGGACCATAATTCGAGACCCGATAATTGTTTTTGCACACATTGAACAAACACATTCGATGTTATACTCAATAAATGGTTCATACGTTGCTCTGGATAATCATCATATTCAACTTGTCTCCATACATCATCGTAAACATCTAAACAGTATCAACTAGAAACCTTCGTATAAATCTGATTATCGCGTTACCTTGAGTTTTCTCCACAACATCAACGAGTTCTAATAAAGTTAAACTAAAACATGATATTCGATAGGTTGTTGAAAGTTGAGGGTGAATATTTACTTTTCCAAATTTTCGAAGTTTCCTTTCACGGGTTCGAATAATTGAAGAAAAGATTTCGCTCTTTCGAGATCGTTTGTTTTACTCGATGCACTTCTTGCAATATCAAACCAATAATTAATTTCATCTTTTGGATGAGATATGATTGCCATGGATGAAGAGGAACTACCCGAGCTTTTTTTTCCTGATGATCGGAGAACTTGTTCGAGTTCATTCAATGATGTTTGGATTTGTTGATTCACAGCTGGATTGGATTTATTCGTATTATCACGTAATGCGGGAGTAAATACAGATTTGATCGCATAATAAAGCGAATCCAGTGGTGAATCAACCATTGAAGATAAGAATATGTTCGTATGAACATTATCCGATGTGATCACATCTGGACGAAGTTTAAACAAAACAAGAGATTGTGTTCCTTCGGTAACCCTGATCTAAAATAGATATTTTTCAATAGGGAAAGAAAGAAATGCTTATTATTCAGATATACTTCATTCGAGAGATCGATGGAGTTCTTCTGACCACGTATTGCTGAGAGTAATGGACAATTTGCATCGTCAAGAAAGTTATTTAATGAGCGTTGATCAGACAGAGACGCGAGAGAATCAGATTTCAGACCAAAATAATTGGCAATAGTTGTCAATACAGACGTTTTCCGTGTATCTTCCGGCATATTTAATGTAGAAAGAAATTTTCTTGCAGCTGATCTATTTCATACAAGCCGAACGTTTTTCCTCATTGCTTAGTTACATGAACATCCATTGGCAATAGCCACAGGCGACCTCTATCGACAAATTTCAGATTTTCAAACAAATAACTTCATCTACATAAATGAGAAATAATTTAAAGTTTTTTTGAGAAACAAATAAAATATTTATTTTGATATGAAAGGATGAGTCATATGTTATACTTCCAATGTAACGATATAAAACATCGTAACGTATGTTGATTTGATCTGTCTGCAAAAATGGCCGATACAGGCTGGTGTCCGACCGGCTTTGGCTTCCTATGCCCGTCTGATTTTTTACTCAAAACTAATAGCTAATGCCTCGACGATCTTCCAAAGCAATTCGTAACGGTGCTAAAAAAAGCACCGGTACAGAATCTCTTCGTCTTGCTATTAAAGGTACAAATTTAAAACATATTTTCGATATAAAATCTAATCGATGTTCGATTCTAGATTTTAATGTTTATGATTATTCACGTTCAACCAAAGATTCACCCCAGAACAACCTTCGAACAACATCAAAATTAACCCGAGAATGTAAGGCTGCTTGTTTCTCTCGCCAACAGTTATTAGTTACATGTTTCCTTAAGGTAAAAAGTTAATGGATGAACAAGATTGGTACGAAAAAGATCTAAGTGACTTCGATGATCCACAATTATCGGATGAAGAAGCCGAAAGTACAAGACTTTTCTTCTCTTTCCAAGTTAAAACTTTGTTGATTTCAGTTCAACAACACTATATCCCATCAAAACCAAAACAGCGAAGTAAACAAGTCTCATTAACAGACGATCACAGTGCACATACAGATTATCCACTTGATTTATGGTTTATACTCGCAACTTACATCGCACCTGAAGATATCGGAAGATTCTCATTAATTTGTCGAGCAGCAAATCATGTCGTTAACACAGTTTATTTTTGGATGCTCTTATTTCGAAAGTATGTTCAACACATCGCGTATTTCTTCTTGGAAAAAAACTTGTATTTTCTAGGCATAATAAAACGGAAGCGACGAAAATCAGTCGAATACTTGTACGAGAACATATTTCAATCATTCGCACACATGTTATTAAATCTCTATATCAAGTTTATCCGTTATTTCAAGATCGCTCAAGTCGAACTGATATTATACAGAAAGATCCGCACTTTTTACGTTCATCACGTTGTGTACGTATTTGGTATTCGAAAGATTCGACAACTTCAACACGAGAATCGTACAATTATTATTTCGAATTTCGTTTCGATAATATTCAACGATCAAAAAGATCACCACAAATGCAAATTCAAGCATTATCACCGATTCTACAAACAAATAATCAATACATTATCGATAAAGATTGCTGTGTCTTGCATTTAACCTGTTCAAACTATGTACCAGTTGGTCCCTACATGGGAATGATCTTATCTCAAATAACACTAAACCTTAGTAGTGATTATCGTCATCATAAACTGAAAATGTGGTTTGATTCATCGAGATTATGTTTACAAACATTCAACAGATATAGCGATTCCGTGGTGATTATCGATCCAATCTTATGTCTCCGAGTTTACAATTGGTATAACAGTCCAGCAAATTTCGATTGATCATTTTTCTCTGTGATTTTGTTTGTTTGTTTACTTTCATCTTCATGTAACACGGTACATGTTTCTTTGATTAACTATTTATAAGCTTCAGTTTTTCTTTCAGCTTTCCCTTGTGTAAATTATTTTGCTATGTGTACAGGTGTAGGAAACTTTCAAATGCTTTGTTTTATCTACGAAATCATGTCTTTTCGTGTGGTTTGGTTTTCTTATGATGAAAGTAATCGAGATTATTGATTAATAAATATCATTGATTGTTTATAATCAACGCAAGTAGAGAAGAATCTCAATGAGGAAATACATGTGTTATGTTAACTATTGTTAAAATCTACGCTTTGCTTATATCGATATTTTGTTAGGAGACGTTTATATAAACAAGACAAAACGACAACACTGCGAAACGAAACACGAGATCGCGGATGACTAGGTGACACTGTGAAAGAAGAAAAAAAGATAAATTAACACAATTTTCTTTACAAAAAAAAAGATAGAAGTTGCTACTGCTGCCCAGTCAATGATTGATTATCAAGCCAATGATGATGGTGATGTCCAAAATCCATAGTACTTCCATTTCCTATTCCTGCTGTTGTCATACCTGTTGTAACAAGTGTACAATAATCTAATTCAGATGAAGATGCATGATCATCATTGACTGTAATTGATGAAGACGATGATGAAAATGAATTGTTTGGAATTAACCCTGATTGGCTTGGATAGGACGATCCACGAGTCGGACCACTAAGAAATCCACTTGGTTCGGGGTACGGAGAATCAAATGAAATTAATTCATTGGATGGTGGATGACCACCTCGAGATATAACATCGGAGTAAACAGGATTAGTATTATGAGTATGTGACAAAGAATCGTCGGAGTCATGTTCAGATAATTCTAAAACGAATTCGTAGTTGTTGTTGTTGTCAGCTATGAGAAGCATGTTCTTACCATCGTATGACACGGCGGTGTCACCTTCGTTACTTGTGTCTTCGTCTTGGTGTATACTTTGAGTTTTGCGTGTTTTCATTCGTGATGTTTTCCGTTCTACCCCTCCATTTCGTAGAACATTTGGCCATCGCCGACCAGAATCTTTCTTCAAGCGTTTTTCTTTTGCTCGGCGATTTTGAAACCTTTTTTTTGCAGAAAGAAAACAAAATTCTACATTTACCGTTCATTGATCGATATTTACCAGACTTGTACAACTCGCATATCTAAACCAGTTTCTGCTGCTAAAGTTTCTCGTACATGTCGAGCTGGTTTCGGACTCGTATTATAAGCTTGTTTAAGTATTTCCAATTGTTTCTGAGTTATAGTTGTTCGTGGTCGTTTATTAGTATCATCAAATTCTTTTGAAGAAAAAAAAAGTGCATTCTTTTCTCATAGGAAAAAAAAAGATTAGAATCCTACCTCTGTTTTTCAATGTTTCATAATCGATTTTACATACAAGTTTCTGATCATCAATTAAGTAAAACTCGTCGCCGGTATTCAGTTGCCGATGACAAATTAAGCACGAAAAGCATTGCAAATGATACACATAGTCACTTGCACGCCGGACAACTTCCGACGGCGGTATTCCATTCCCACAAGAAGCACATTTTGTACCAAATTTTCTACAAAAGAAGAGCACAAGATTTTGAAATGTTTTAGAAAATTATTTTTGAACTTTACTTGAAAAAATCTTCTTTACAGTAAACATTGCCATCTCTCGCATAGCATTTATCAAACAATTTGCCATGACACTCCGCACAATTCAGACACAACGAATGGAAATGATTTTCATTGACTTTGAACACAAATTGATCACATATTGGCAATGAACATACCGAACAATCGTAAACGGTGATCACAGCTCCTACAACAGTATCAGATAAGACAGTTGATGACATTTCTATTCTATCCAATCGGATTAAAATATACATATAATGTTGACATTAATCCTTTTTTCCTTAGGAAATGATTGACATAAAATATTTGAAGAAACTCGTTCGATGGAAAGTAAAAAGAAGACTAGTTTTTGTTCAATTTACCTGTTCGATGTTCATGTTGTTGTTCGTTATTATGTTTATTGCCTAAGACAATATTTGTTTCATTATTAAATGTCATAATTATTAATCTTATTCTCGTCGAAATCGATCAATTTTCTCTTGTTTTATTCTTCCAACCCACACATGCGCACTTATCTTCTTCGTTTCCGTCTTTTGTGAGCAACTGGAAAGCAAGACACAACACGCATTTGTTTCTTTTTTTCCCTCTCATCGTCATTCGTTCAGAAAAACCGATGTTAACCAATAAGGAAAAAGATATGAGAGAGAGAAAAAAAGAAAGAAGAGGAACTCTGCTTTTCTTCTCTCTTCTCATTGATCTTATTCGGTGAACATACGCCCTCATTCCCTCCCGTTCGCAGATCGTTATCATTGACTCCGGCGTGAACTATCTTTCGGATCATATACACGCATGAACTAAATAAAAAACGACGAAGATTTTGTCGCGCACGCGACTATGTTCATCCATAAAAAGAGATAAGATAATTCGAACAGATGGAAACGAAAATTTTCAAAAAAAAAAGAAGTATCAACCATTGACATTCGGAAAAAGAACCCAACGATAAATAGAGAAAAGTGTTTTAGGTTGATTTCCCTTGAGAATATTACACTCGTGTTAACACTTTAGTAATGGTGACGATGATCGCATTCACACTTTTGTTTTTTTTTCTGTATTCATACATTTGTCAGTCGAGATAAAACTTGCTAAATCCACCGATGACATTGCATGTTGGAGTACTGAATAAGAAAGTCTTGTTCCCGTGCGATCGACGACAGAGACAAAGTAAAAAAGAAGTATGAGCATTGATCACGCTCTTCATCAAATTCACATTGTTGTTGCTCACACCTCAATGAACAAAAAAAGAAACGAGAAAAGAGACGATAGTCCCAAGTGATTCTAATAGGTGGTTCCAAGTTGCTCGATATGAATAGGCAATGTCTTGTGTGTTAATGTACGTTTCTTGTCTTTTTGTTTTTCTCCAAGGACTTTAAATGTTGAAAAGAAACAGAAGGTAAATTCAAAATACAAGTTTTTGTCTTCTCAACTGTCAGATACAATAACCAGGAAGTTGAACTTTTCTAGATATGTGTCTTTCTTTTGTCACCAATAGGAATTGAACTGATCGAAGATAATTTTCTCTTCATTTCGAGTTGATTGTCCATATCATGATCATTGGTGACATATTGTGACAATCATCGTTCGAATTTCATCGATGCAATATGCTTTCTCGCTCTTTTCTTCGACTCGTTCAATCTGCTAATTGCATCCTTTTTCTAACCAACAAGTGTGAAGCGCATGTCTACATTATATGCAAGTCAGCGAGCATTCTTCTTCGTCTTCTTTTTCATTCTACTCGTTTATTCTCGCATAATTCTTCGCTCGTTGTCCATCTGCTAATCAGCTAGTTCTAACTAATAGTAACACGACGAAATATGAGAGCAGTCAAATGTCACCCGAAGCTTATCCAGGTGCACTACGATGGAAAAGAAAAGGAATCTTTTCTCCGAAGGGCATTTCGATTGAAAAAAAGAAAAACTAGACGAATCACTTCATTGTCTTCATTCGAATTAATCAACACAAAAGACTTGTCTTGACTTGCAATGGCATTTACATCGATCTTCATGTTAATCAAATAGTGATGAAGAAAAGACACAAAGTGGCACGAGAATGTGACAGGTTGCTCGCTCAGCATGACTTTTCTTCTTTCTATTTAACATATGGAGACGATTAGTTGCTACCGTCATTTTGTTTTCTCTCGATCAATACTAATTGCTCAATTTCGATCGTTTTCTTTTTACAATAGATTTATATATTCTAAAATATACTGAGCACGAAATGAGAAATACAAAAAAAAATGTAGCAAAGCTTGAGCAAGGAAATGTGCATATAGAAATAGCAAGACATATGACTTCATAAATTTGATCACCCGGAAGAAAAAATGATTGATTGACTCGAATGTGAGGTAAGTCGATTGATCAATTCTGCATGGGAGGAAAATCAAGTTCAGAACCACCCTGTTTCTTCCATGAGGCAATAGATGCAATGACTATGTGTTCACAAGCTGCTTGATCATCAATCTAGACGAGAAGTAGAAAGCAAAGATATTAATTAGAGTTGTGACAAGGATTCGTAGACAATGAACGGAAAAAAATGGTTTCAGTTGATGAAATGTTCTTTCAAAATCTCATGTCTGTTACATTCAGAGCATTTATTCGAGTTTGAACTAGATTTCGATAAAGGAAATGATGATCTTACTTTGAGATCAGTCAGGTATTGTATCATTTCTTTCGTTGAATAGAAATTCAACAATTTCAACCGGCAGTGATGAAGAATATGAAGTGTTAAAAACACAAAGATATATTCGCTACCGGCTAAAAATTTTTCCCAAATACTAAACAATTAAATCAATAGTTAAACATAAATTTGTATGAAATCTTTACTTTAGCAGAGAAATATCATCTCTAATCAATTGGAAACCATCTTTCAGCCAATTTTCCGGTATAAATGCGAATATATTATGTGTATTTAAATGAAGTAATAACTTCGGTTCATAGAGAAATTCTTTTTGTGCATTTTTACCGACATGGTATCGCTAATTGAGATGAAAATTCATATTTCTCTCGAATTGAATGTTTTACTTACGTACGAGCAAAGCTAAACGTCGAGTTAATTGAACAAAATTATCATAAATTCTACATGTCATTAGCCAACATTCAGCCGTAGTCTCCAGTCGTTGTTCATTATCATTATCAAGAAACGAGCAAATAAAATTTGCGATTGACAAGAACGATTCGTATTCTTTCTAAAAATTCAACAAAAGACTCAAAATTGACATCAAAGAAGAACTTTACTGTTGATATCAGAGACATTTTTATTCCATGTGAATCCAGCAAATACATTGAGAGGAATTGTTGAGCGATAGGTGTATCATTTTGAATTACTCGGCAAGTTGTTAAAGTTGTATGAAAACGTTTATAAATCTCAGAATTCGCTTGATCAACATAAGAACGTGTTGAACGATAGGGAGATTTGATTCCTAATAAGATTTTCCAACAGAATGGTTTGAATTCAGCGATAATAGAATTCTTTTGTACTTGTTGCTTGAGTTTTTCTATGTGAATGGTATCTGATTCGAGCAGATCTTTGTAAACTGTCTGGGACGCTCGTTGGGTTAATATCATATCTAGAATAAGAAAAAAATCAACGAAATTCTCCGGAGTTAGTCGATTTCTTCGAAATTTGTCGATGGAATTTTATCAATCGGATTAGTGAGGAGATATTTTCCTATTTGAAAAACAGTATCATTCGATAGATTCAATGTAGTTAACAAAGAATTGATTATTTTTGATTCGATTAGACGAGGCATCAGTGTTGGCAGTTTAATCGTCAATCTAAATGATCCAAATAGATATTTTTAAGAGAATTTCTATGATTGACATACAAATGAAGGAGAAATATCGTCATAATGGTCCATTCATTTGGTTTTAATGTGATATTTTCACTATTGAAACTAAACAAAAGGAAAGTTTGGATAGTTTTGGTTTTTATCAAAGAAAGTACTTTAATGTTAAGAGAAATTCCGAGAGAATTGTTCGGATATCCTGTGCGATTGCTTGATGTGTGCTCTCGCTCAAGATTTGTTTGAGACTACAGCAGAAAAGTATCAATCCGAAGAAAAAATAAGTAGAAATTCTACCAAGTCATGACTTTGTCACCGACGATTGACAAGCGAATAGATTGTTGTGAGTAGGCGTCAACTGGAGGTAATGCTATAGCGGATGATGTTGATGTTTCCTGTTAAATACATTTAATGGGATGCAAAACAGCACAAAAAAGCCTACTTCATCTGTTTGTTCGTTTTTTCCAAAGAAAAACTCTTTCACTTTAATTTCGTATTGACTTTGTGCGGTAGTTTTTTGCAATTGTTCCAATGTTGGGAGTTTTCTCTCTGCGCGCTTATTCTCGGATGACATGAGATCTTCAACATCGAGTTTGTTTACTAATTGTTGGTATCGTTGAGGATCTATCGGAATAGCAGATGGCGTCGTATTGTTTTCGAGATAATCTTTGCTTTTATTGCTTAACCATTCCGATAAACAAGTAATCACAAAATCAATTGTCGGATTATCTGTGCGAATACAATCAGGTAAAGAGATTTGTTGAAGTTTTTGTTCAACAAAATCAGTTTTCGGAAGACGAGCAGCACGAGATTTGTAATACGCATCACGAGCACTTTGAAGTTCCTGGAATTCGTCATCGTCTGATGACGACGAAGATGTCGAAACACGACGTTGAGGAATCGAACGATTGTAGTTCGATTGCGAGATGATTGTACTCGTATCCGGTAGTGCTTTACTAAAGATATTTCGTTTAGAAATAGGTGAGTTGAATCTCTATATTACTTGAGAGATTCAGGAGTGAGTAAATCTATCTGCAGTGCTTTTTCTTGTTCGCGAGCCCATACAGGTGAAGAAGGAATTTGTTTCTCGAAATATTTCGATGCTTTATAGCAAAATACCGAGCAAAAGAACTGCAAAATTGCAAATTTAAATTCATCAGAATGTCATTTGCTGGTTCTCTCGTACTCGTCTTTCTGTTGTATCGATTACTTTGTTGACTTTGACATTAATATAATATTGATGAATCGGAGTCTAAAAATAACGTCGACATATGTCTAATTAACATTTGTGAGATATTATAAATATACATCTTTCGGCAGTGAATTAGAACAGAGAGGATAACCACAAATATTTCTCAATGCACGATCTTCATTAACACCTCGATATCGTTCTTGATCGATCAGATTCGCCTATGAAAAAAGAAAATGGATAAGAAGAGAAATATTTAGGTGATTTAACGATTACCGAAGTGATCAATGTTTCAGCAGTAACTTTATCTGTTTCGATTAAAGTCAACGATGTGTTCAAAGCTCGCTTTTCGCATGCCTTTCGTTGTTCGATCTTTGCTCGAAGTTCTTCAATTCTCGATTGATCTATTGTGTTCGAACTCATCTGAAATAGTCTTTCTCGATTAGATCAAGTGTATATAACAAAGAAAATATCGCTTTTTTTTCTCAAATGAAATGTACATAATGTGAGAGATTAGAGTTGAATGGAAGGTAAGATACATTGAAGAGTAAAATATTCAGCAACAATGCAGATGTGTAACATGCTGTTATTACAGAAATCTAAATGAGGATAAATAAAGAAAAAAAAACGAGATAAATGAGGAATTTCTACGTACTGAGAACCATCTTTTCAGCATGTGGCTGTTGAGAATGGAGTAACTGAGCAAATTTCTTTATATCCAGACGCACTTCGGCTGTTTCAAGAGAATCTGTTGATGAGCGTGACTGTTGTGTGATTGGCAAATTCAATTGCGAAAGATCAGCTCCATCTGCATCTAAATTACTCGTTTATCTCGATTGTAAATTGTGAAATCTGATCTTACTCATTGTCGACGGATCTTGTAAACCAGTGAAATACGTCGCAACTTGAGCAGTATCAGTTTCGACTTTCACAGTCATGTCACCTGCTTTATTTGCTTGTAACATCTAACAAAGAGAGAATAAATATTTCCTTAGAAAATGCGAGCCTACCACAAAATTACACATGGCCTTCATTCGATCGATGATGTTTTTCAATGTTTTCAACTTCGAAATCGTAATCGTAATCTAAACAAACAAGCCTATCTTTCCTTTTATTTATTTGATGCGATATTAAGACAAGTCGCCTGATTACATAAGTGTCATAAGTAGCATGTTTCTCTAGGGTATGTATTAATGTATGGCATGCTTTGGCAATTCTAGATTACAACATTCCAACATATTGACCTTTATGTAAGTGTTGATAATGATCATTGCAATAAACAACAATCAGAATGATCTCAAGTTGAAGACAATGATATGGTTCATCGATTGTAAACGACAAGATGATTCATCAAATGTTATCTTGTCTCTACATGTCTTTGGCAATTTGACTTGCGGCAAATTCTGTTAGTTCGTTCTGTTTTTCCCTCTCTGCCTCTTTCCACTTCATCATGAGGAAAAGAAGAACGGAAGTTGATCTAATATTTCTTGTAATCCGCTTGATCATCGCGTCAACACTGTTCCAGATAGTTTTAATTGAGATCAACCCTCTCTCCTAGTCAAAACATCAGTTGTTTTCTGCTTTTCTTTTTCTCCATACATTGTCCCAAAAATCTCTTGATGACGAATGCTGACTTCGCTCCAGACTAATATTTTCTATCTGTAAGTGTATGTCTGCATACTATAGTTCTTTCGCTTTAATATTTCTCTTGCTCCCGTTAACGGTAATAATCCACCACCGCTAGTTTCCTTCGTATTCTTCTGTTCCTTTACAGCCACACGACACACATTGCGTTTTCCCACTCCTCCTTTCTCTCTCTCTCCCCTTCTATTTGACTAGTGCACGTCGCTTCTTCTTATGTAAAATGGCAGTCTGCGTATTGCCGTACGCATATTTATTATGTGGTAGACGAAAGAAAGAGTTTTTCCTGCTTGTCGGTTGAAAGAAAACGAGATACTAACTAAATAGACAAGCACAATAAAAAAAGGGAAAATTTCTTCTTCGTCGGTTCACTGAATCGTATCTCTTTAATGGGTAAGTTGTCTCGATTGAATCTGACTTCATTTTCCGCTTGAAGGAAGCTGCCGAGTTGTTTGTTTTGTTTTCGCTGACTCAGTAAATTGATAACAGAGAAGCTAAACAACGATCATCTTGAGTGTAATAGGAAACGTGACTTGCCCTGCTTCAATAGATTGCCAAGGTCATCGCGAAGAAAAATGTTGATTAATACAATAGGGAAGGAAAGATCGAATCATCAGAAACTGTAGTGACGTCGATATCAATCGGTATGAATATATCGATAGACGCACGTATAGTTTTTTATATGGCAATGAGTTAGTAACGACGAGAATAAACAGTAGTTCTTCGATTCTGCAAGATGTTGTTGTTTTCTTCGGCTTTTTCATCTTCTGTCTTATCATAATGACAGAGAATATGCCAAGCAGAAGACTTTCAATCATTTCAGTATATTAAGCAAGAAAGTAACTAACGATGATAAGCGAGTTTTTTCTTCATTTTCTTTTCTAGTATTTCCTATTGATTGTCATTCATCGATATCGATGAATTACTTTTCAAGAATATCGAAACTATGAGGAAGAATGCCATGGTGCATCGAAGTGCCTTTTTCTTCCTTCTTTTCTCTCTCTTCATTTCCTAATCATAATTTATTGTCGTCACTTCTTTTCACAATGACTTTTATTCTTAACATTATTAATTTATCATCATCATCCGTCCATACATCATCAATGTCAGCATGTTCACCATATTTCATTTCAACAAATATTGATATCCGTACGACTTATCAATACATTCAACCATGCCCCGTCTCAACACCTTGTCGATGTTTGTGTGAAATCGAGAGTAAACGTTTATGGATCGATTGTTTCGATCAGCAATTGAAAATTTTTCCAGTATTTTCGAAAATCACAACGGATAAGGGACGAATTGAGTGGAATGTTGATCTTGCGTTCAATCAATTTGATACCGTGTCGATGAAACAATCCATGTGGGTACCGGATGACATGCACATACGAAATTTAGTGTTGTCGGGAGCATTGGCTTATGATCTGATTGTTCAGTTGAATTTAACTCATCGAAACTTGATCAATCTCTGGCCAAGTCAACGGCACCTGCCAATTATTGACGATCAATTTGAATTATTTGATGATTATCGAATGGATCAATCGGAAGAAGAGGTAAACCAGCAAGGTTTTTGTTTGTAGGACAAATTCAACAGGATTTTCATTTAGGAAAACGATGATATCAAAGAACTTTTTCGAATCAAACGATCGATATCTCCAGTAAATGTCGAACGCACGCGTCTTCTAACTGAATTAACGTTAAAACTCCGTGAGAAAACTAAACGTATTACGACATTTACTTTACCCTTAGCCGGTGAACCTTCACCAGTATCAAATCTTTATCTCGATCACAATTCTCTCGATTCGATACCTCTTCAAGCCTTATATAATGCGACAGGTTTACAAGAAATCTATTTATCATTCAACAATATCATTCATTTACCAGCATACGCTTTCGGCTTCGCTCATCATTTGACTCGTGTTGATTTGTCATATAATCGAATCATTTCAATCGATAATTCAACATTTCAACGACATCCCAAAGCCTTCGCTGGTCCATTTCTTATCGATTATCTCGACTTATCTCATAATCAAATCGCTATCTTAGAAGAGAATGTCTTTTCTTATTTAGTCAATCTACGTTTGTTAAAATTAGAACATAATCAGATTCATTCTATCTCTGCACACACATGGACAGGTCTATATCGGTTGAAATATCTCGATTTATCTCATAATTCCATCGAAAATTTCACTCAAGCGTTCTACAGCGGCTATCTCAATGAATTAAATCATCTGAAGGTGACGTCGAATAGCTTAACACAGATCGGCTCTTGTGAATTTTTATCACTAAAACGCTTAACCAAACTCAATCTAAGTGGAAATAACATCACAACCATCGATACTTGTTCATTCTATGGTCTTCATCAAACAAAGAAAACTTCACCATTGAATGTTCATCTACGTGCTAATCAACTCGAAGCAATTCATCCATGTACATTCAAAGATTTCGCACGATCAACTGTCTATTTGGAGAACAATCCATTGGTATGCAACTGTTCATTTAATTATCTTCTACAAAACCAGCAATCAATTGCATACACAGGACAGGAATGCCGAGGCGGATTTGTTTATCAAACCGAGCAACAAGTAGGTTTGCCTGCTATCCGAAAGACAAATTCAACAACGATGAAAAAACCATTAAACATTTCAACAACATGTCGAGACGCTTACAGAACTTATCAAGACCTATGTCTGAAAACTGATTGTCTTAACGAATGTGCTCCCAATGAACGTTTTATTATCCAAGTGACGACAGTACCTCCTCCAAGTGGTGTCGTATTTCTCTACAATCGAACTTCACTTTTGATGATTGTAATTGTTCTTGTTCATTATAGTCGTTTTCTTTTCATTTGTAATATTTGTGATATATGAAAACAAAACGCAGAGATAGTTTACTTACATCACATGGAGGAATGTTTGGTGCTTGAAAATCGATCCTAGAAAACACGATGGAATAGATCACACTGCTTGTCATTTGAATTACCAATGTTTATGAGCAAGTAAATGAATAGGAATGTCACAGGTAAATTGTCGTTCAGTCATTGCTGATGAAATCTAACGAAGATTCTTTTCTTTTTTTTTGGTATCTCAGAGAAAAGACTCTTCTCTCTACTTACGACTTCGGTATCGATACTTAAGCATGGATTATTGTGTTTTTTAATGAGACGAAGTTTCAATAATCGAGCTTGTTGTGCTGGTTTGAGAGCACGTAATAGTTCTTCGAACATGATTTCAATGTAAATTTCATTTGCTAATGGTGATAAACCATCCATGATGTAATCATCGAAAAATCGAATCGGATCTAACTCGATCCAAAGTGAAACACCACCGCCGAAGGATTTGTCACCAAGAATTAAATATAATTTATCTGCAGTTAAGCGAAGCACACCGGATTTGGCCATTTTCGAAACACCGGTTATGATCTCTGCAGTTCAAGAAAGGTTTAGAAGAATTTCGAAGAGAAACGTTTTGACCTACTGGTGAATTTATTTATTGTTGTACTATTATGTAATTTAGCACGAAATTTCATTTTGAATGAAACAGATGTATTGGTGATCTAAAAAAAAGTTTACAATTAAACTAAATTTTGCTCGGTTTTGTTGAATAATCGTGACCACCACGATGAATTGATGATATTTCTTTTAAAAAGTCCATTTAAATAACTTTTTACAAGTCGAAAATCTTTCTGTAAAAAAGGTCGTGCCGCATTGACAAAATCGAATTCAGGATCGAGTTGCCTTCCAATCCCTTCGATAATAATCGTTCCCAAAGCCAATGTCGTAAAATTGGACTCCATTTTAATATGATATTTCTTTCCCAAATCCAACACACTGCGTAAGATCAGTCCGACTTCCAGATGTTTCAACGGAGTATGAAGAACTTTCTCAATTAAAACAGCCATTTCTTTCCGAAAGCCAATTTTGGATTGTTCATCGATTTCCTCTGCATTCGGAGCACGTTCGATCAATAGAGTCGCTGCTTCTGTACTATCGTAATTCGCAATAGCTCGAAAAAGATCGTAAAAATTTCTTTTATCACGTCGATTTAGCGAAGAAGTTAAGCCAACATCGAGAAAGATGATAATGGGCTCACGAGGGTTTTTCTCATCAAGACGAACGAGAATGTTTCCAGGATGAAGATCAGCGTGAATCTTAAGAAAAGTCAACATGAAAGAAATGGATCTGATTGAATTTTTTGCTTACAAAATTGTCAACGAAGAGCATCTTGAGATAAGCATTAACTCCGAGATAGGCTAATTTCTTTCGAATTTCGGGATCGGTACATGATTCCATGAAATCGTTTAGTAACTGTCCACTTTCATAACTTTGAAAGAGAATATCTTGTGTTGTGGGTAATGACAGATAGACATGTGGAAATTTGATGCTTGATTGATATTTCTGAAAATTTCGTTCGAAAATTTGTAGATTTTTTGTTTCGATCATTAAATTTGTCTGCAGTAACATATTCTTTGTAAAGGCTTGAATGTTATCTTCGATATTCAACCATTGAAATGTTTCCTTCGAAACAAATTTGGTCAATAAACGTGTAAAAATGTTTAAAATTTTCAAATCATAATAAATTGTATATTGAACATCTGGATGACGAACTTTCATGATTAAATTGAGATCGCCAACTTTACATCGATAAACTTGAGCAATTGCACCACTTGCTAATGGTTTTGTGAGAAAATTTGACGACTTGATATAAATGTGATTCTCTTCGAGTAACCTTCGGGTTTGAGATTCAGAATGGGTTGGTGCATTTGAATGAAGTTCATTGAAAACTGAACAAAATTCAGTGGAAAAAAGATCAGGCCGTGTGGCCATCCATTGACCTAACTTAATAAAACAAGGACCACACAGTTCAAATGATCTGAAAAAGATAGAAATGAAAGGTTTGTGGAGAATTTAATAAGCAAAAACTAACCGTCGAAGTGTATAACACCATTTTTCATAGAGATGCGGAGCAAATGTGTCTTGATAAAAGTAGAAGATCAGAACTGGTGTAAAGATGACAATTAATTTTAATGTTCGAAAAAATAAGCGAATAGGAACGAGAAATGCTGATGAACGATTTGTATACAATTCCGAATTGAGTAAATGTTGAGTTTGGGAAAGAAGTTTATCGAGCTCAGATTGAGGAACAGATTCCGTATTTTCATCGATATTTTCTTCTTTTCTATCAGCTTGAATTAATGGGAAAAGATCTCGAAGATACTTTCCGTAGATAACATAACCAATTGGTATACCAGCGGACACAACAGTGATCGTTAACGGCCAAAAACGACGATACCACGGACGGATTTGTCCTCGTCGGGGCAATTCGGATAGATAACGACGGGATGGCGAACGAAGAACAAGTCGAGAATGACGAATATATGCTGAACTATAACGAACTAAGTGACTAGTTATTCGAGGAAACATGATTAAACGATTAGATTTGAGAATAAATGAGTTTGCACCGAAATTATGTTTGATAGATAATTTTGGATCGATCGAGGTACTTAATGGACCAACGATGCGTTAAAAACGATCATAGATGTCTATGGTAGTCACAAATTTTCGTCCGTTACTATCAGAAACGTAACTTTTCTTTCTTTCAATAAGAAGGACTTAACCCACATGTAATTAAAATGGTAATTCAAAGAAAGATATTTCAAATATTTTCTTCTCTATGTTGAGAATACATCGGTTGGTTTCTTCTTTTTTTTATCTCTTGAGTTTGATGACAATAAAGTCGACAAAACAAGAACACATACAACACAAGTACAAAAAAAGAAAGATGATGGTCATTGTTGACTGTCTTGCTAATTCATTTGTTTGTTTGTGTGTATGTTTATTCGAATAAAGTTTAATCTTCATCGGCATCTTCATCGGCATCGGCACCTTTTTCACCTTTGCGCATATTTTTTCGTTTAACACGACCTAAACAAGAAATTGACTCGTAAGAAAATCAACGCGATCTTATAGGAATACTAACCTGGTCGGCCACCGCTGGATAATGGTGAACGAAGAGCAAAATCGATGTGTTTTTGCGAATCAAGTCGAACAATAAATGATGGAATATTGACTACCTGTTTACGAACACTATGAAACGCGAAAAGACGATAGATCAGCTGAGTTGAGAAGGATTTGTCCTACCGAATATGACGTTGTCGGATAAGTACACGGGCATGGTGAATACTTTTGGCGAGAGCAAGACGTAAAAGTTGAGTTTGAAGACGTCGTTCCAAAAAGTCTTCAACTTTCAAACCCAAAACGTAATCGAGTTTCATTTTAGATTCGTCAAGTACACCAATTCGGACGAGACGACGAAGCAAAGCATTACCTAAAAAGAATCGAACAGAAACTTTCTTCGTCATAGCCTTGTTGACTGTTTTTTCGAAGTCGCACCTTCGAATAATCGTTTGGGATCTTTTTCTTCGAGTGTTAATAATTCACGAGCAGCTTTGCGAATCTTTGCCAATGTATAACGAACACGCCATACTTCACGTTTGTTTCGTAAACCGAATTTACCGATAAGTTCGAGTTCTTGATCGAGACGTTCTTTTTCATATGGACGACGAGGCGTCGAGTAGGTCTTGTTGTATACAAGCGGAACGCGCGGCATATTTGCCTAATGCGATCTGAAACGAAACAATTCTTCGTGAAGTAAATTTCAAAGACAAATCCCCGTCCAATACATTTCTTTTGAAAATGAATAAATAAATGCCATGGAAAAGTAACAAATAAACAATATCATCGTCTCGATTGCTTCTCATTGGTTCACGTATATACACGAAGAATTCCTTATCCGAATCTTTTTACAATCAGAAAAATACGTTTTTCAAACGAAATCTTAGATCTAATTTCATCTTAGATCATCAATTTTCTTGTTATTCAAAGCTTACTTCTCTGTAGATGTCCCTCACGACCATAGCTACGGTTTTCCAAGTATCCAATAGGAAGCGGTGATGACGAAATAGCTATAAAAACAAAAATTTAACGTAACATATTACTTATTTTATTTACTCTTGGAAGGAAAAAAACAAAAAAAAATAATATAAAGCTAGATAAAGAGATGCGCGCCATCATTCTCGTCAATAACTTGGTTGACGACAACGATTTAATAACCAAACGCCTTTGTGTGCCATGACTTGACAATGCTTCATTTCACATTGATTTCGTTTGCTTAATCTGGAACAGCAAAACGACGAATTCTTCTCATATTCTTCTTCCTTTATATGGCGAAGTGATTGGGAGACTGTATATCCTTGCGAAATAACTGACTCGACAACTGTATGTAACACACGAGCGGCATTGGTCAATGGAATGTACTCTCCACCTGAAATTCGCTCGTAAATAATGACGATCAATGAAAAACAAGATCCTTACCTGTATTTCGAGCTGTATCAGCGTATAAACTATCACAAATGCTAACTAATTCACCAACGCCAATGACGATCAATGTAAAATTTCCATCGAGGAAATCATTGGAGATTTTTTCGAGTTGATCACAAGCACAAGGTGCATCAGGATCATGAGCTTTGGATGGATTGAGAAATTCTCGGCAAGGTACATCATCAGTTATCAGAAAAACCACATTTTCATGGAAACAATCGGAACTCTACAAAACAAAATCGAATTTTTTTTTAGTCATTAGTGAATATCTTTTTACTGTTGGACGCCATTCAAAACGAAATGCAGATCGAAGAATGTCACCTAAAATGTTGATAGAAAGAATTTTCATTCGAAAGAACATCAATGTTTTACAGATGGACATCTTTTTAAGTTGAATATTTTCCTGTCGAGCATTTATTTTATCCATGGATAAGTAATCTTTGAACAGATGGATTGATTTCGTAAATGGATGAGTGATTGCTATTGAAGAATTCTCTGTTGACTTGTATGTATTCAAAGCTAGCCGAATATCGTAATCGTTTTCAATTAATGGACTGATAATCGATGAGATGAGATGTGTAACAACAGATGGGAAAAGATTCGTTGTTGATTTGTCAGCCAGAAGAAAAGCGATATCCAATGAGTCGATCATTGATGAATAAAATCCAAGTAAATGTCAACTAAAAAGCAAAAGTTAAATTAAAAATGTTCTTCCAGATGACTTCGTGGCGTCAGGCCGGCTTATTGCAAGAACGGATACAAAAACAAAAGCGAGACTACAGACATAACCAAATGATGAAATATGACGAGAGTAAATGACAATAAAATATAGAAAGGAAGAATAAATAAAAACGAGGTAGACAGAGAGAAAGAGAGAGAGAGTGAAAAAAGTTGAAATACGTTCTCTATAGAATCTACTAGAACATTTTCTAATTTAACCGGGCAATTGATGTAATTAGAAAACATCGGATAAATATGCGCAAAGGAAGGAATGAATAAATCGATTCCATCATGGTTCACGAGAATGATGCAATAACATTACTCGATGTATTCTCATACGAAAACGAAGAATAGAAAATAATCCAGATAAGATTATTCCAAAGAACTGCTCGGTAGTTATCTTTTACTTTCTTATTCATACGTATCGAACGGTCGTCTTTTGTGTCAATTGAATAGGCAATACATAAACATATAAGCAACTTGATTACTTTTCATCTTTTGTATTCTCAAGTGTATTGACACATCATTTCTTGATTATTTTATTGTTGATTTAGTCGATGAATCATCTATTTCACACAACTGATTCGGCAGATGTTTCTTTAAGTAACAGAGTACACAGCAGGAAATCAATTAGATCCGATTTCAATCGATAATATGCACATGTTGTTTCGTTTTTATTTCAAAATAGAAAATGAAATGAAACCATCAAAAAAAAAAGTGTTCTGTTTCGAATAATTTCTCTCTTTTGTTCAATGTCGAATAAATGTTGCGTTTTTTTCTCTAAACATACTACTTCTTCGCAAAACAACCAGCGAAGGCAGTATACTAATCAGTATCTCTAAAGATAGGCATACAAGTGAGAACATGTGAAACGAACAAAGGTTAGAAAAGCGAACGTTTGAAAGAATGAAAAGACAAGAAAATAAACTAGTGTTTTCTTTAAGTTCACGAATGCTACTAGATGAAAAGAAGCGAAAGAAACATTTTCTTGTTTAAGTATACTAATTAAAGACAATGAGCTCATACACAAAACGGAAAGTAAAGAATAATAAATTAAGTAAAGTTTTGTAAGGAAAAAGAGAGGAGAATGCCGAAAAATTCTCTTCAGAAATGCTTTAAAAATTTTTAAAAAAAAGAGAGAAATGAGATGACTAACGGATAAAAGTTCATGCTCCAAAGACCTCATCATCGGTGTCACCATCCGATCCGAAACTTAAATGATTGTCGAATGAATGTGAAAAGCATTGGTTAAAATTTATATCGACTGATGCCCCCGTCGGCAAACGTGTTCGATAACCTTCATCATCAGTTACCGGTGTTGGAGTACCACTGTTCAATTTGGGATGAAGCCAACCGCCGTTGAAGTTAATACTCAATGGTGGTGTAACTACATTAGAATGATTGTTTCCCAAGATATATTCATCATCAATTTCGCTATCTGAACCGATCGCTAATGGATGGACATATCGTTGCCCGTAAATAAGTTGAGGATGTGTTGCCAGCAACAGTGGAGATCGATGACCATCGTCATTGTTTATTGGTGATGACGTGATAATATTGATATGTGGATGCTTCCAAAGATCAATATAATTGGTATTTGTTGGCAACGTACCGACATTCAGTTCTAAATTTGGTCCATCCGAATAATTTGTATATGCTGGTGGAGAACTTGCACCGTAACCTGAATCTGGACCGCTAATTTCATTAATAATCTCACCAGCTTCGGCTTGGACATCATGACTACGCACTCGATAAAATAATCGCCGAATATCATCCATTGTAGCACAGTATTTGTACATTTCCTTTGCACGTTCATACGAATACAAATAAGAATACAAAGAATTCAGTTCGATATCTGAACGAACATCGAGACGAACAAATAATTGCCTATAAGTGTACGATCCTAATATTGCTTGACGAACAACACGTTTCAGAGCACGTCCTGCGTTGACAAATGGGATATATTCACCGCCTAAAATAAAATCGAAAATAGTTTCCAACTCTTCAATAGGAAATCAATATATTTACCTGTCTTTTTTGCCAAGGCACAATAAAAATCGCTACAAATCACAGTTGGTTCAATACCAAGTACTACTAATGTGATGTTTTTCTTTGCCAAAGCATCAACCAATTGCCAAAGATCAGGACTATTACACGCACATTTTTCCTCAAGCAAATTGCACGGTGGACCGTTCGTAATCAGAAGAACGAGTTTGTCATTGAATCGTCCATCTACAACATCCGGACGCCAATCGAGAGATAAACATTGTTGAAGTGCGTCAACTACACGAAGAGAAATATGAAAAATTTGCAAGAAGGTCAATTAATCATACCAATGGCCTTCTTCTCGTTTGAATCGTCCCCTGTAGTTTGGACGCCATCCAGCATCTGCCAAAACTCATCCAATGACGATGTAAATGGACGTAAATATATAGGATCTTGATCACCATGCGATTGAAATGCACTAATTGCCATACGAATACATTCTGGATTGACACTTATAGCATTTTGAAAGATTGAAGATAAAGTCGAACGAATTGCTGGACGATAAAATGAAATCGATAATGCTCTATCAAGACAGACCGCAATATCAGCAGTGTTCGCCATTCTTAATGCTCACTAATTGCGATTGTCGAACTAGAAATGAAAACAGCAGGAGTCAAATGAATGAAATCAACAGATTCTTATCTGATGCAATGCACTTACATCTTGAAAATGTTATGCCTTTCTTGACCCTCTCATCCGCTAGTATGGGTAAATCGTCGTGTATGTAATTGACTATATATTATAGTCGAAGATGACTGAAAAATGAAAGAGAAAAGAAATGATTCACTCACTTAAGTTTTACCCCCGTGTATTTCTACAAGGAAAGATAAAATAGAGCATTTTCCCTCTCTCCCTCTCTCTCTCTATTATTTTCTAATTCTTTTTCAAGAAAATAAATTCGGAGATGAATATGAAAACGTGGCGGTGGGAACATTGATCGAATGTATCGTCACAAAGTTAGCAACGCATGACCCGCGATGCTTGATGCCTAGATAGTTTGTAAATAGAAGAAAAGGAAAGAAAATATTTTTCAACTGTGTGTGTCACATACCGCATACCGCATATATGATTCAATTTGACTAAAAACCGTTATTAATGTCCGCTATCAGCTTGTCGTCAGAATCAATCGAAACACGGAAAAGAAATGCCGTGAATCATCGACAACCAATAAAAAGGAAGACGTAATGATAAGATTATGTGAAAATTTATTCGTTTTTTTTCTCTTGAATGTATGCCAACAGATGTAAAGCTTAACATTGTTTGCGTATAATAGATGGATATTGTGAGGGAATTTACTGTTATGGCCCGTTCGCCTTTGTAAATCATAGTCCATTTTTTCCACTGTTGTCATCATTGATTGGATAGAAAATTTGTTGACGGCGTGGTTAGAGGTGTTTATTCAGTTCGATTAAGTCTATGAATTTAGTTTAAAATAATTCTCTAGAAAACATTTTTATCGTCTGTCAGCATTTACAAATAAAATTCAACTTTTGATTTTAATTAAGCAGAGTAGTTGTCGACTAGAAAAGAATTTTGACGGTTAAAATTTCACTTCGTCGATTCGTTAATAACAGAATTTGAGAATAAGCTCTCTTGCTTACTCTAAAAACAAAGTCCTTTATTCGATCGTTTTGATTTCGACGCAACCGTAGTGTCAGATGGATTTATTCACATTGTCGAAAAACTCCCATATAAATCAAAGTATTAGGTGATCACATCCATTAAAATGACACTAGACCTTCATCTCAACTTGCTCGACTATTTTTGAGATGATGCTTAGTATCTGATTTGATTCCAGTAGATATGTAGTGTGGTCAGTGTTTGTATAAAGAGAGTATATAAAAACATGGCAGATGTTAAAGGTCAACTGATGTTACAGTATTCTCCAGTAATGCATTTGTAAGATATTGCGCTCCGCGGTCTGTAATTCTATTACTTCGTAGATCAAGTGTCTTAAGTGTCTATATGAGAGAAAGTACATGGAAATGTGACAGGTTCAATGAGTAGACGAATATTACTGTGTTTATTTGCAATGCGTCACCGAGATGTTCTGCCCCTTGATCGCCGATATGGTTCTTGCCAAGATGAAGTTTTGTAAGTGTCTGTATAAGACAGTTCATACAAATGCGCTAAGCATCGTTCATGAATGAATATTACTGTATTTGTTCTCAGTGCATCAGCAATATACTTGACTCCATCATCTCTGATTTGATTTTCATGAAGATCGAGAGTGATAAGGCTCTACACAAGAAACGAAAATGTGATAGGTACCAATAGCGAATGAATCTTACCTGGTTCGTCATCAACATTTCACTGAGATATTTGGCTCCTTCCGTTCCGATTTCATTACATTGAAGATCGAGTGTGATAAGTGTCTGTATCAGGGAGGGAGAGAGAGAGAACCAGGAAGAATGATACGTGTATGAATTCGATGAATAATACTACCGTGTTTGTTCGCAATGCATCACTGAGATATTTTATTCCTTCAAATCCGATTGCATTACATTGTAGATCGATTGTATTTATTGCCTATATAGGAAGGAATATGGTAAAGTGCGATAAATGTCAAAAGCAAATGAGTAATACTATGCTCGTTCTCAATGCATTTGCAAGATGTTGCACACCTAGATCTCCAATATAATTGAAAGAAAGGTATAATTCGGCGATTGTCTGTGCAAGCGAGAATATTTCTGTAGATAGCATGTATAAAAAAAGGAATGAATATTAGTTACATTGTTTGTTTTGAGTGCCTCACTAAGACATCGCACTTTTTCTGCACTGATTTGATTGAAGCTGAGTTGTAATTTATTTAGTGTCTATAAAGATAATGTATTGCGAAAAACTTTTGTTTCGTGTGAAATAGAATTTCAACAATATACGTAGTTTTTTTAATACAATGAATTCAGCAGACAAAGCACAGACTTACTTGATATCGTTGATAAGTGTAAAGTATCAGATTCAGCCGTCCACAGACGTTTTGCATCGAACAAACGAGAGAAAAATCATTTAGCTGATCCAATATTCGATAAGTAAGCTCTACGGGTAACGTTGAAAGAGTGAGCATATTTAGTTTAGATTGCGCAGAAGACTATTGAGATAAATTATGTGGTGTTGATTGAAATTATGGAATGCATTTTTACTTCCAGTGACAGGTTTTTTTTGCCGTAAAAAAGGTAACAAAACATGGAAAGCTTCGTAGCGAATCATCCGTTTTGTAGACAGAGATGGCGTTAAATTGATGCTGAATTTCAGTCAGAAGGTAATACATATACAGGTGAGTACATGTTTGCCTTTTCTGTATAGTTATCAATGATGTGTAAACAACATGACGTGCGTAGTTTTGTAATGAAAGGCATCGTATATGAGCATTCGTTCTGATACCTGTTTACTCTTATTTTATCCATTGACGCCAAAATCTGCGAAACCCACAAAGTTTTGATTGATGAGTAGGACAGTCGCTTATTTAGCACGGTGGTTCTCATTATTGTAATTGAAGCGTTTTTTCTTATATAAACAATGAGCATTAAAAAGAAAACTGCTCATTTATTATCTCAAGGTCTTTCACTTTTGTTTTCGCATCTAATCAACAAATATTTCATCAAATTTGTTTTTTAGTTTGACACCCATTTTTCCGTCTTCTATCAATTCAAACTATCAAAACATCCACATTTCGATTGATTTACTTTTTTTACATTACCAAGTGATATGTCAAAGATGATTCCTTAATTGCATCATGAATGATTTATTGTTCTCTCTCGTTTGCTCTTGAATACACTGGTTCGTGCGAAAAACGGTACTTGTGAATGTTTCGACATTATCATTGATAAAATTCTCATTAAAGAAAAAGGTTATTTATTCTCTTATTTCATCAAACAACGTATGATTTTCATGTTTGATGTACTTGAATGATGCAAATACCTCGATGTTCGACCATATTTGTTTCTACACTTGTTACATTTTTCGTCATTGGTTCATGGCTCAATCTATCAGGTGTTTGGATCGAATTTCCATTGATTGTTGATCAATTACCTGAAGGATGGAGTCTCCTAGCTCGAATGGGGTTAATATCCAATCTGGCAAATATCGGTGTTGTGATTGTCGCTGTTATTCGACGCTTTTCACATGGTGGTGTTGGCTATGAGATTCCTGTAAATATATTTATACTTACAACAGGAACAATTGTTCTTGTTATATTAGCATTCGTGTGGCAGAAAACAACAATGATTAATGGAACTCCACATTCGACATATTTGATGGGCTTTTCGTTAAGTTTATCTTTAGTTGATTGTACATCGAGTGTGACATTTTTACCATTTCTTGATCGTTATGAACCTGTGTATCTGAAGGCGTTCTTTTTCGGTGAAGCACTCTCGAGTTTATTCCCAGCATTACTAGGAATTGCACAAGGTGTGGGGGAAATATCGTGTATCAAAGATGCCAATGATACTCTGGTGGAATACATGTCGCCACCTCGATTTTCTGTTCGGGTTTACTTTTTGGCTCTAGCTGCGGTTATGCTAGTCTCTTTACTGTCCTTTGTTACGCTCTGTTTGATACGAACAGGTCGACGAAAAGACAGAGCGTCTGTTGATTCTTCATATCCAAAGTTTGTAGTTATTAATCGTGTTTTCGTTGAAAATTCGATGTATTCTAGAAAAAATGTTCCAGTTTTGGAATTGAGTACCGTCGAGAAAAAGCCTAGTGCTGATTCGAAAATTGATAAATTCAACACAACTATAGTTAATAATTGTTCAATGACTAACAAAGAATTCTGGCTTTCCGAGCACGGTATATATTTATTTCTCTGCTTCTGGACTAGTATTCTCATTATCGGTAAAACTTCATCCTACAACCAACATTACAGTTTGACTTTGTTCTTTTTCTAGGTGCTTCTCCTAGTCTACAAAGTATACATTTCGTTTCTTTCTTCCTTCCCGAAACTCATAGTATATCCATTTAGGTTTCTCTCTGTATCCTTATTCAATCGAAGTTTATCATCATACAATCGTCGCCTGTCAATTTGCTTATCCTCTTATGTCTCTTCTTGGTGTATTCGTTCCACAACTGCAATCTCGATATATATATCTTCTTAATATCATCGGTACTGGTCTTTTCGCATATACATTCATTGCTGCAAAACTTTCTCCATGTTCACCGTTAGTTGATCGACTGGCTGGACGAGTTCTGATTAGTTTGAGCTGGGTACTGAAGTATTGTGTTTTGTATTTTATTCGTGTGTTGCTCGGTAATTATTTTGGACGTAAATCTGGCCATCGTGGATTGTTTTGGTTCGGAGTTTTGACACAAATTGGTTCATTGATTGGAGCGCTCCTTGTTTATTTATTCACTGAACATTTACATTTATTTCATGAACGAAAAATTTGTGTTTTTTATCAATGTTGAAATGCACACAGCGACATCTGTGTCAGTTGTGTATGAAAAAAAAAGTAATAAGAAAGAGGTTATTGTCTATGACACTGTTTTCAAATAATCATGTCGGAGCAGTATTAGAAAAGACTCGATTAGTTCAAATATGACGTCTGCTGAGAATAGTTCTCTGGAATATTTGCGAAATTTAGGTAATCTGACCTGTAATGAACTCTCACCGAATGATTTCTTGCTGTTTTCGTAGTGAATTATGATATCAATTCGATTTTATATGATGATACATTGATTTGTTCACTACCAAATAATACAGAAGTTGGATCATTTGAAGTAAAGCTCACTAGAACCAATTATGGTGATCGTCACGATTGTATTCAAGTAGTTGCTAATAGGTGAGTAGAAACTCATCCAAAGAAATCATCGTCATGTAATACTTCTCGTTACAGTCAAGCAACTATCGATAATATTGTGTGTGGCACCACAGTGCGAGCAGTTGTAACCAAAGAACTTGTTACGGTTCAACAAGAACACACTGAATATGTCAAAGTATGTTTAAATGAAATCGAGTATCAATTTCCAAATGTGGTTTTATTTAGTCAGCAAATCCTATTACTCGAATCGTTGATTTTATATCTGAATCAACAGATTATGTGATCACCATTAATAATGAAGAAGGCAAAGTATGTGTAGAACGTTCGAAAGAAATGAATTTATAGTTTCGTTCTAGACTAAAACAATCGAAACAAAACGCATACCGAAAGATCGAGCACATGGGTTGATTTTAGAAGGTAAAAGAACCGTTTTTCTAGGAAGACGAGTAACTTTCCTTCTTAGGTGCGAATCTTATTTTACAACGTTTAATGATTCAACGTAATATGCCAGAAAAAGTGACACTTCTTTCGCTCGATTCATCCTCAGAACTTTGTCTTAATGTTTATGTAAGTAAAATCTTGAGCTTTCCCAAGTTCTTTGAATATATATTTCGATGTAGACATCTCTGGGCCCTCAGCAGATGAACATTGATGGAAAGGATATCGAAGCATGGGGTATCCAACGACAGATATTTGAAACAAAACCAAACACTCTACCTGTTGCATGGCAAAGTTACTTCAATATTGATGGGTAAATATCTGTTCAAAATGAACTCATCTAATTTTGTAAATCTCCAGACGTCTCATCTCACGATACCAAGTTGGTTCACCAATTAAAATGAAAACAAACGTCCTGCCTACAACTGATGAATTCGGTAAACTCATATTGTAGAAAATCTTTATCAATTCATTGACTATTTTCACAGATGAATATTTACCAAAACCAGAAGTTCCAAAGAAAGGACTCAATTGGGAAGAAGATTTAGAATTACGTTCGAAATTCATCGATCGACGCGTAAGTTACTCCTGACATTTCTTGCTTTCCATCAAAATCTTCTTTTCTTTTAGGAGGAATTGATAGATGATTACAAATCATACATCTATCATCATCCCGATATCACAGCACTCATTTCTGACTTTCTTCAATCGGTTCTAATAATGAAACCAGATAATGTAATCGAATACGCAACTGAATTCTTCGCTCCGTTCAACTCCCAAACTGCCGATCGTGCTTTATTTCGTTTTGCTGACGAAAAAATTCCTGTACCCAAACCGAATTTATCATTAAAATAAAAATCTTCTTAGTTGCTTTTTTTTTATTCGACTTTATACGAAAGAAAAGAAAGACACATCGAAAATAGACAACATCAATAAGAGAAAAACAAACAAACAAACACTGCGCGTACATTCACGCATCTATGCTTTTGAATAAATGTATACAAGCAGGTTCATCTTGGTTTGGAATTTTTTGTTTATATGTGTTCAGAAATAGTACGAATTAAGATGAGGCTGTTTGTACGATGAGAGAAGAAGGAAAAGGCATGTACAAAATACACGGTTGAGTTGTTATGTACAGATGCGCCAACAAATACGAAACGGAAAAGAAAAAAAACACAACTACTGTTCTAATTACAAAAAAAGAAACATGTTTTTTTTCCTTATTTTGTTGTATGGAATAGAAAGTGAGTGAGAGAACGACTAGCAAATACGCACACACAAATGATTCTCAAGTAAAGAACAAAAACAGGAAAAAAAAAGAAACAAAAGATTTGTTCAACATACAAAATCACAACACGGAAGCACCCGCCGCTGACTAGAAGAAATACCCAATGAATGAAACAAGAGATTTTCTATTTTGACATTAATTTATTTCATCAGATACAAAAATCGTTGGGTAATTGTCAATAATCGCTTGAATTAACGGTTTCGTTTTTTGACATGTTTGTTCAGCCGTACGTAAATCCGGAAATTGAGGTTGAAATAGGTTCGGCCACCATAGCACAGCAAGATTCGAGGAATCCATATGAGTCGAAGCAGCATGTTGTGAAACACTACAAAAGACAGATAGTCAGTCGGAAGTAACGTGTTGGTCTTGAACTTACAAGTGCAGATGTTTGAAAATAAATTTGATTGTACGATATTTGAGTTCACTTGTACGAATAAAAACTTTTCGTAATGGAATAAAATCTTGTTCACGTAACTGATCGACTAAAATAGAAGAAAATTTTAAAAAAGTGAATATTTGTTGTTCTTGGAAATCATTGAATGTACTTGTGAGATTTTGACATTCTTCAAATAATTCTAACGATAAAAGTGGCTCATCAAGTTTTCTCATCATGTCTTTCAATGCTGTTGCCACTGCACTAGCTGGAACTTGCAATGAATGAAGATCACACGTTGGATCTACGATAAACAAAAAAACAAAATACTCAGTTTTACTCAATCGAAATGAACAGTCTTACCTTCAGTAAGTTTGTTTATCACTAATTCCACTTGGTTTTTATACCCCGATACTCGATAGAGCCCTTCAACACTTAATCCATATTCTTCAATATATTGAATGCATTTTTCCATAAATAACGGTACACCTGATTCCGAAGATTGTACGCAACGACTCAATGATATCCGAGCCGGACTGTGGGAATGAGAATTTTCTACAGATGTAAGAAGAGATGCAGTTGTATGCGGAGAAGTTGCAGTCATTGTTGCTTTGAATGAAGGAATTGGCGGAGAGGAAACAGATGTGATAGTAGCAGCAGGAGAACGAGATTTCAATTCGTTTTTCTGTGGAGAAAAAAAAGAAAAAGAGCAGTTAATATTTAAACATCAACAAACACATAAGTTTTCATTTGCGATTAAACTCTATTTATATCCCTACTAATAATAGCAAAAAAGGGATGGTAGAGTACGCAATATTCTATAGTGAGAGAAAAAAACGCACGATTAAACTATTTTGGTAATGTTCAGATGAATGTTCAATGAAAGAAAACCTACATCACGTCGAGCTTGAGCGAAATATTGTAATTGACGACGAATCCAATTCGCTGTTGGTCGTTCTTCCAATTCTTCGATGGATGTATTCTAATAAAATCGAAAAGCAAACAAGTAGTGTTTATTGATTCGTGCCTAATTCTACTTACTTTACTATCTTTTGTGTAATCACCAAGACTTGAATCATCTTCATTCGATATAACAACATTCGACGACGATGACGGTTCGGGAGCAATATTACATTTACCTTTACCTTTCGGATCTAAATACCAAGAAAAAATTCCAGTAAATCATTCCTGATGTCGAGGGAAGGTCATAAACATCTTCGTCCTACCCATACGTGAATCAATTCCTGAATCTGTTTGCGTGTGATCATAGACAGCTTTTTTCCGTCGTTTAAAACTTGGCCGACGTTTCTTTTTCTGATATTGTTGTTGTTGTGAGTGTTTATCATCATCCGCTAATACTTCATCATCCGATCCATCTAAACAAAGCAAACACGGGAGTTGAGTGTAAGTTTCTCTTGACATGTCCTACTTTTCTTTAATATCTCAGTGCTTGATGCTAAACCTGTGACATCATTTTGTTTCGCTCGGACACGTTTCGATCTTCTATCGGAGACTTTTCGTTGTAAAGTAACGGGGTTTTGTTGTTGATTATTTGTAGGCGAATGAATATTTTGTAATGTCGATGACGATTCTGGCTGAGTTTGTAAACGTTCATCACTTGAACTATCGACCGATGAATCAGTTGCTAAACAAAAGACAAGAACAGATGCGGAAAAAACATTCGAATTTCCTGAAAACCTGTCGTTTTTTTTGATGAATCTGTAATCGATTCTTTTACAGTATTTTTATGATTTTGATTTTGATGATGACTTGTAGGTGGTGATGATGATGAAGAATTGACGGGATGTATATCATCTGTATTATTATTTGTTAAAACCAATGATGTATCATATCGTTGTTGAATAGAAAAAGGTGTTGTTATTGCTTCGTTAAATTCAATTATTTCAGGTGTTGCCAATGGTACTTTCACATGAGCAGCAGTTCGATGTTTGTATAGATGAAATTTCATCTCGTCTGTCGATGATAACCTTGATGGGATTTCGTTGATTCGTCTACGTGCTGCTAATGACTAGAGACAAAGAAAAGGAAAACAAGTCTATCTTTCATAAGAAGATATTCTTGAGAAAACTTCTTCGCTTTCTATTCGACGTACATTTTCATTGCCAAGTGATGATTGGTAACTGCTTCCATCGGCTGAAAGTATAACAGAATAGTAGTTATTATCATTTGATTTCGATGCATAGAAAATGAAATAGACTTGCTGAAAGCACGAGGAGCAATAGCTGTGCTAGCAATAGCCACTTGTCAACAGTTAGAAGAGAAGAAAACTGAGAGGAGGCTGTTACTTTTTCTTTTCTCTTTTTTTTTCGATAACAATCGTTAGTGTCTGGTGTGGAGAATAGGACTTCTTGACTTAGGAGTAGAGAATCTCGCATATATAGGTAAGATTACGATGTAGACATGTGAATGATGAACAGATTGATCGACAAAACAAAGTGATTAAACGAATAAACAAAGCACAAGCACAACGAGTTACATCTACTTTACCGTTAAATGTTAAATAATTGACTAGAATAAATGAAATTATCAGAGGTAGATATGCTCATCTAATAGTTATTTGTTTTGTTTAGTCGTTTGGGTTACATGGATGAGAGACTAGATTCTAAGATCAGATTTGTAAGAGAGAGAACTTACTTGGATGTTCGATTAGCTTGGCGAATCGCATACTGGTCGATTTTTTAACGTGACCATCCGATATGGAAGAAGCTGAAACCGATGTTGGAGACAGTAAGCCAAGATTGGTAACGGATGGATCAACAGGTGTTGTTGGAACTATTGTCGAATCAGTACCATTGCTTGAAATTGATAGGTGTGGAAATGAATGATAAGAAAACACTGAAATATAGTCTTCATTAGTTTTCCTATTCGTAAACATATCAAATGTATTACTTTGTTCATGATTTGTTGGTGTTAGTAAAGAAGGTCGATGTTTAGGTGAATGTTCGTTCGATCGAGTTGATAGAATTAATGAACTAGTACGCTCATCATCATGAGTATTGATCAATTGTTTTCTCGGACGATCAAGACTACATGTCATTATATCATGAGTAAACGAATGAGTCGCACGACTATAAAGAGAAAAACACGAGTTTGTTTTGTCTTTATACAGGAAAAAGAGTCGTTTCTTACTTGAAATAAGATGTAACACCTGCGAGAAGATCTTCGTTTTGTTCGTGATTGTTATCAGTTGTATTTCCATGTTTTTCACTCCAACATTGTTGAAGGAAGGAAGCGAGATGAGCTAAATCAAAGAGAAGTTGAATTTTTTGGCATTGAGATAATAAGAAAATGTGGTTACATTCAACGAAATTTCGAATTGTTCCGCTATGGCATTGAATACAGTAGTCAGCTTGAAGATATTTCTTCATATTTGAAAGAACTGAGTCTTTGATACAACAGAGAACATAGATTGGTGGACGTGTGATGATTGTTCCGTTGATTTCTTGATTATCATCCGCTTTTTTTGATAGATCATTCGGTAAAGTTTTCGAAAGATATTTTTCCAAATATCTACAATTGTAGATTTAGCTTTTCTTTTGGAAAAATCGTCACTTACGTCATTGTATTGACTGCGGCTTTTCGATCGCGATCGTAGAAGAGAATAAAACCATCGAAATCGGTTAATTTCATAGCAAATAACGCATGGAATGAAATCGGAATGAATTCAATCTATGAAAAGACAAGAAAAAGTTATTTTCAAAAGAAAATTCCGTTGAATTACTTTTCGATTGTCATGATCAAGAGATGTTGTGATAATAAATGATGTATCTCCATGTTGATTCGTCGTTACGAGAGAAAATCGAGTTGCTAATTGAGAAAAAAAGATTTCGATATCATTTGTCTCTCCGCCACACATAAAACACAAGAGAATTCGAAGGTCCGTTGAACTTTTCTTGGAAAACTTTTCCTCATTCGAGAACACTTGTTCGAGTGATAACCTGAGTTGTTTAATTGAATACGAATCCGGAATGTTACTATCAGAACTACAAAACAAACACAATTCTTGACAATCAAATCAAACATCTTCACTTACCGATCAGATGTTTGAGAGTTGAGCTTCACGATTGGAATAGCTAAAAACAATCAATTTATTTTTGATGACAATCGAATGCATTTGAATACATACTATCGATATCAAGAGAGATTTTCTTGTGAGAAACATAATCTTCCAAGATTTTCTGGCCGGTTGATGACACAATAAGGCAAGCTAAAACAAATTTGATTTCTATCGATCTCCTAACAAAAGAGTAAACAAACGTACCATCAATTGATTGATTTTTGACATTGTTCAATGTCCATAGATTGAATGAGAAATCATTCATAAGAGATGAATCGTTCTGAAAAGAAACAAGTTCTTCTTCGTAAAACATTTTCTTCTTCACTTACTGAAATAATTCGCAAATAATTATTCATATCGTTCTCATTTCCACAAAGTAGAAGATTTCTTCGAACAAACAAACAAACATGAGATTCTACTCGTTTTTCAATTGAATTCAATGTCATACCTGTGAGCAATTTTTTTCGCTGGTAATCTGGAGAAAAATTCATTCAAGATTCGAACATCCGCACATGTCTCTTCCATCGGACATCCGATTTCGAACTTTCGTTTACCGACATTTTCATTATCATTTATTGAATTTGACTGAATTTTTCTTGTATATGGACAAAAATTATCGTCAACATGAAAGTTGTTGTTGAATAAACTTAATGTTGATGATTTACGTCGTCGGAATGACCGTTTCCGTTCTTTGATCAATCGATTCAGATTCCGGGCTGGTGGATAGTAGATACAATCGTATAGAAAATGACAATGACACATGATCAATCGATGACGATCAGTCTCACGATTATTCAACGCTTTGTATCTAGAAGAAAACTTCGAAAAACTTCGGAATATTTCAGCGAGTTTTACTTACCGAGGGTCATATTTTATTTGTTGAATGATTTCCTTTTCAAAAATGTCATCAATGGTTAATGTAGTGATTTTTCTATCATTAGTTGATTGATTTGTTGTTGCTGAATTCATTTGATGAAATGTATCGATAAAAATTTCTAAGGATTCGAATAGTAATTCGACAAATTTCAAACATATGGAACGATAGAGATAGGATTGATGGAATGCAAACACACGCAAACGATCTTGAGCAGTTAATGATTCATAACATTCACGACCGAGAAAATAAACACAATCTTTTTCATATGCATGACCATATTGAACAAGACCAGCATCGGAAAATCGATTGAGTAGTTCAAAAAACGACCGGCAATTAGATCGACGAGTTTGTTCCAATTGCCGATTGTTGATATAAGATTCAAAACAAAGGCGAGCTTCGGGTGTATCAAGTAAATCATCGGGAATGATTAATTTCGAGGAATGATTGACATTGTTTTGTTCAGCATCTGACCACATTGATGATGGTATCACAGTTGACGAATAGCAAGGATGTTTTTGCATTTGTGAACGTACATAATCCCAATTTCTAAATAAAAATGACAATTGTACAGTGTAAGAGTATCAAATTGACATCGAGAAAATTAGTAATCATTCATCTTTCTCTCTTTGATTGATGACACGTTTCGAATATCGTCTTCGTCAAATTCCAGATTGAACTATTCAATCACATATGTTCAATATGAAATTTTAACTCGTAATTTGCACGTTCGAACGAATGAATTCATTGAACTTTAGAATAATAAACATCTGTCGCGACTTCTTATTCGAAAAAAATATCATTCCTTCTGTCCTGTTTTACAATATAAGATGTAGACAAAAAAGGCGTTGTCCCGTTCTCACCTTTGATTGGTAATAATGGACAACAATGCACTACGTTTGAAAAGGTCTCTTTGACTTTTTCTCTCAAATGTCTACCGCGTTAGTCGAGCATTTATATAGTTCTATTCACTGCTTCAATCAATCATCGTTACGAACTTTTCTTATTGAAGAGATCTTTTATATTTAAATACGAAATCAAACAAAGAATGTCGATTTTAATCACTAATATCTTATCAGTGAGAAGACTATATACTCGATTAAAAGAATTAATCTGTAATCAATGATATCTTACCTGGAAAATTTCGTTTTTTGATCTGTAATAAGTGATTCGATAATCGGAATTAATCTTTCATCAATTAATTTCTGTCTTGCAAGTCGTTTTAGTTCTTCGATATGTTCATCATACAATCGTTCAGATTGTTCTTTGCCAAACATATCAATGAATGTCCGAACACTTGTATGATGTTGCCAACTTTGATAAAATTTCAACCAAGATGTCGATCGGAAGTCTAAAACATGTCGCGTCAATAACGTTCGATATTCTTCTTGAGTTACATGTTTTAATGATTGTTCATTTCGATACGCATCTTCGTATGTCGGTGGCACGAATTTCGTTAGAGAAACATTTGCATACGACACTTTCCGTGATGATAATAAACTGGGTTCATCGCACGCATAGAGTGCAAGTTCGAGAACAGCTTGGATATTGACATGTTCGTGAGCCGATGTGTGAATAATCGGTATTTGAGATAATAGTTGTGAATCGTTGGAAGGTGCACGTCGTAGAGATTGTTCGAATTGTAATGCGAGATTGGTTTGATTTTCGATGGAATCGTTCTTTGTAGTAATGATTAGTACTGGTCGACGAGTTTTGAATAAGGAATGAAGGAGAAATAAAAGATCGGAGATTTGTTTTGTGGATGACAAATCATGTATACATAAAAAAGCATCGATCGTTACTTTATCTTTTGGAAATGCTTTCACTTGTGGATATTCGGAATCAGAGAGAAATTTTTCTTCACTTCGTAATGTTAACGATGTAATACGTTTAATGTAATTATCATATTGTTCATTATCATCGATAGCGATCGTCGAATGTTCAATTAAATGAAATAATGCTTCACGTTTTTCATCTGACCGTCGATGTTTTACTGAGCCCCAATAAAACCAAGTTGCATTTTGTTGCGAATGTGTAAGCGATTGAAATAATCGATAATTATCAATATTCGAATCAATTAAACGTTTACATAATGACGATTTACCTGATAACGGATTAGTACTAACTACAGCAAGAGTATATGTTGGGGGTAATAAGACTGAACTGGGCAGACCGCTTGAGACGATAGCGGCACTTTTAGACATGATATTTTATCCATTCAAGGACATGTCGAATGGATGCGTGTATTAATACGAAACGAAAGAAAAAATCTAAAAATACAGGTGAGTTATATATCGATTTCGCTTTCGATACAATCTACAGGTGTTGTTAAATAGAAAGTAATCAATTATACGATGAAATGAAGAAGAAAAAGAGAACAATGACGCGACGCGATATTTCTATGTATTCGGAGTTGTCAATTCGCTTTTCGTCGATTTGTAATATGAGTAGAGCGAACGTGATAAATGAAAAATGAGAACAATTCACTTCTTTACCTTCGTTAAAACATAGAAACCTTACCGAGACATTCAAATAGAAAAATAACGCTGTCAGATTTCTCTTTTCTCTTACAATTGTGAACATCAACTAAGAAATAACTGATAGAAATGCTTGAGAATGAATGTAATCATTCAGATAAAATATTATTCTTTTCCAGATTAGTTAAATACTTAAACGTCGAACGAGAATATGCTATGAATTAAGCCATTTATGAAGAGAATTCTTTTCGCATGCATGCATATATGCAGGCCTTTTGAAAAAAATAAAAACAAACAAAATTGTTGACAACTTCGAAAGAAACTAATCTTCTTATTGGTTAGAACATCTATCCCAAGAATATATGAATATTTTAACGATAGATGGCGCCAGACACACCGTAGATTAATTCCATGATTTCTATACGGAAATAAAAATCGTTTTTACGTTCAACTTATTATATTTACAGTTTTTAGAAGGATTTAATGGCGAAGAACTTTTCTGAAAAAAGTCCGGTTTGACAAAATCTACTGGTGATTCAGTAATGATCCTCTATTGATGAGATCGTTAACGTCACCATTCCAAAGCTCATATTACTAGCTTAGAAAAGACTTGATTGGTTCGTTGATTCACCACGATTGTAATGTATCTACATCATCTAGCTGATGCAAATTGGAAGACTCCTATGATGTCAAGGGTACATATAAATATTTCCGACATTTCGTTATTTTTCAGATAAATTTTATCATGGCTTCCGGTGATTCTAAAGCAGCTGACAAAGGTCTTCAAGAAAATCAACAGGTTTGAATATTTCAACAAGATTTGCTAGAGTTAAATTTCTGTTGATTTGATTAGCATACAGCAAATGAAGAAGATTTTGCTAAAGATTCTTATGGTAATTTACCGTTGATCCAATCGAAGGAAAAAAATGATCGTCAATTACTCCCTGTTCGCGATGTTAATGAAGCATTAGCTAAACAAACAATCTGGGTACGTGGTCGACTTCATACAAGTCGTGGTAAAGGCAAGCAATGTTTTTTTGTGATTCGACATCAATCAGCAACCATACAAGCTGTTCTTTGTGTTAATGAAAATGTCAGCAAACCAATGGTGAAATTCGTTGCAAAGTAAGATTGTTATCAACATAGAAGATAGAAAGAATTGTTTTCTATATTTGAAATAGTATTTCAAAAGAAAGTATTATTGATGTCGAAGGTGAAGTCTCGTTAGCACCAACACCCATTGAATCGTGTACACAAAAGAATGTGGAATTACAAGTGAAAAAGGTAGAATTCATTTCATGGTTGACTTTTCGAATTTAAAGTTAATATCTAGGTTTTCGTGGTGAGTGCGGCAGAACCTCGTTTACCATTGTTGGTCGAAGATGCCATGCGACCTGATGAACCAACGGTTGCTGATGCTCAAGCAGGACCTCATGTTAATCAAGACACACGTCTTGATAATCGTGTCATTGATTTGTATGTTTGATTAGGAGATTTACCGTTATTTACTTTCTTTCTTTCTTTGAAAGACGTACACCAGCTAATCAAGCCATCTATCGTGTCGAAGCAGGTGTTTGCAAATTATTTCGCGATACACTCGATGCCAAAGGATTCGTTGAAATTCATACACCAAAGATCATTTCAGGTAAGTCTGGGAAAGGATTTTCTAAGCCACACTTGGTGATTCTTTTTTCTAGCGGCATCGGAAGGCGGTGCTAATGTTTTTCAAGTGACTTACTTCAAATCCAATGCGTATTTGGCACAATCACCGCAATTTTACAAACAAATGGCTATTGCTGCTGATTTTGGTAAAGTGTATACAATCGGAGCAGGTACAACACTTGATTTTATTTCCTCTGGATTTGTGTTGACAAATTCCTTTGTTTGAAATAGTCTTTCGTGCCGAAGATTCAAATACACATCGACATTTGACTGAATTCGTTGGTCTCGATCTCGAAATGGCCTTTAGTTACCATTACCATGAAGTCGTCGATACAATCGGTGATTTATTCACTCAAATCTTTAAAGGTCTTGCTGAACGGTAAATATTGAACTATGTTTTTAATCTTCTATAAATGTCTCGTAATTGGTTAAATGACAGATTTGCAACGGAAATCGCGATCATTAACAAACAGTATCCTTGCGAACCTTTCGAATTCGTTGAACCTGCGTAAGTATTCTTATGAAGATGTCGAGACTTTTGTAAAAGAAAAGAGAATCTTTTTTTTATAGTTTACGTCTTGAATATAAGGATGGTGTTGCATTACTCGCTGATGCCGGCGTTCAAATGGGTTCGGAAGATGATTTAACAACTGAAAACGAACGTATTTTGGGTGGCATCGTTAAAAAGAAAGTTCGTTTCAGACAAACTCTTTCGATTCTCTATATTCTTTTCGTTACTTCTAGTACCATACTGATTTCTATATTCTTGACAAATACCCATTAGCCGTTCGACCATTCTACACAATGCCGGATCCAAATAATCCAGTATGTTATTGAATATCTTGACCTTTACAACGGAATGTCGTTGTTCTCTCTTTAGAAATATTCGAACAGTTACGATATGTTCATCCGTGGTGAAGAAATTCTTTCCGGTGCCCAACGTGTTCACGGTAAATTCATTTCTAAAAAAATTCTCGTTGACATCGTCTATTCTGATTTCCGTTTTAGATCCTCAACTATTACTCGAACGTGTCAAACATCATAAGATCAATATCGATCAAATTAAAGCTTACATCGATGCATTTCGATATGGTTGTCCACCACATGCTGGTGGAGGTATTGGTTTAGAACGTGTTCTCATGCTCTATTTAGGTTTGGGCAATGTGCGCAAGACATCAATGTTTCCACGTGATCCCAAACGTGTTACACCATAAAATGATGATCTGTCTCTTCTTTTTCTGATTTTTGCTTTTACTAATCGTTTGGTTTTTATTTGTCGAACAGTTCATCTGAGACAAAAAACAAGAACAGTTAATCATTTTGTTAAACCATATAAAACTATTCAAACTAAAATTATGTCTTGCGAAAAGGACATCATTTGATAATGATCGTTGTTCATCTCGAGACACGTATGTCAAAAGAAACTAAGCTTATAGAAGAGCTTATCATTAGAATAGAAAGAAAAAAAGAGATTTTTTATTCAGATATTTGAATGAATAATGTTGACTCATTACGAGTTTGATAGAGATGTTCGCGTGTAAATATCAGATGAAACGAGACAGTTCATTTTTTTTTCTGTCTAATATAAACTATTCTTTTGTTCGATAGTAATCAATACTGATTTGTATTTGACAAGCGTTGTTGAATCGAGTATGTCATAGTTCTCTTTTGTTGCCTATTATTTGTCCATGCTTGTTAAACGCACGAGAATAGAAAAGAATTAGATCTAGATAGGTAAAAGCTCGTTCGATCTCTTCTCAAAGGTCACTGTATCGGTATGTTCTTCATGTCGCCGTTCATTCCTCGCGTTACTTTTTTTTTCTATTTGCGGAGAGAAAAGAATTGCACACATATATATAGTCAAATGAGAGGAGATGCTTGTCCTTTCTTCTTCTACTTCTATATCTGCATGATAGTGTACTATTTCATAAAAAATACATTTAATCTAGATGTTCTAATTCATGGCCGACGTTGCACTTCACTAGTTTTGACATGTAGTTACGTCATTTGAACCCTACACTTGATTAGATATCTTTGTTATGCAAAATTGATGTTTTTCTTTTCTTTTTTTATCGATTGGTATTGTTAATCTGCTGTAGGTAAGTAACAAGAGAATTTATTTTAATATTAGGGTTCTTTTTCCTGCCGGCGTGTTTCTCTTTCTTTCAAATGAGAAGGAATTGGACTGATTTCTACATGAAGAAAACAAAGCAAACTAAAATTTTATACTCGCATGATTAGTCCTTCTTCTTTTCAATGAAACTTGCTTGCTTGTTACATCTCTCGTCGTTCTTCTATTAAATATTCATTTTTTTTACTTCTGTCTAAGTTTAACAACGGCGGACGAACGAGAGGAGAAGGTGAATAGTAGAAATAAAAGAATCGAGAGAAGAAAAGAGAAAAAAAGCGGGGTCTTAACTCTCAGTTTTTTTTTCTGTTATTCTTTCTTCCATCTTTTATCGTTAGCGTTGTATTACTCACACGCATAGACACATAAATATATATGATAATTTTGTCAGCGAATGCTAACCGACGATTATTCATTGGAATTTTATTTATATTTAAGATTTCAAAGCGTTTTTCTGACTTTAATATGAGATAAACAATTTATCATGTCGCGAATGACACAACCAAATTATTGCAGTTGTACTGGTAAGGTGTAATTATACATAATTGAGGGCAAAACATTTGCGAATTCTTGTCAAATAGTACATCAAGCACGAAATTTACCGGATAAAGGCAAGAGTAATGGTAAGAGACATGACGTCAATTGAAGAAAATACATTTCATTGATTTAGGAATTGACGCCTTTTGTACGATATCAATGGGCAAAGAGAAATTTGTTACCGCTGTACGAGAAAAGACTCGTACACCTGAATGGCAAGAACAATGTGAAATGTAAGAAAATTGCTTCGATAAAGTCATGAATTTCTTTCTATTTTCTGCAGGCCAATCGTCGATGATGCTACAATTAAATTGACTGTTTATCATAATACAAAAAATGCGCTGTCAAAAGGTGATTTCGTCGGTCGGACTTATGTTTCATTACGGGATTTACAAGATTATGATCGAGTTCATCGCCGGTAAGAGATCATATATGATTGACACGATCGAATCCATTTTCTCTTTCAAGCTGGTATAAACTTACGAATAAAGATGGCAAATCCGATAAAGAACGAGGAGAAATCGATGTGTCATTACAATTTTTCTCGAAAAATGATACCACTGGAAGTGTTTTGGATTTAGCAACGAAGAAAAAACATCTTTCCTTGAAAGATATCAAACACTCATTAGGTAAGAAAGATTAATATTCGTTTTCAATGTCTCTAAGTAAACTAAATCACAGGAGATTTCAACTTTTCAATTCTCTTGAGGAAAACTACTAAAAAAGATTAATTCCTCTTTTTTTTGACATGTAGCAGTCGAGATTATTTTTAGCTACAATCATCAAATAATGATTGTCAAAAGGTTTCTATTGACGAAGAGTTAATGGTGGAGAAGAAATGGAAAGCATTGCTTTATACTTCTCATGACTTTTTTCTTTTCGTTTTGTCAATAATGAGACCAAGAATCAGGTTTTTGAAGTATCGGAAAGGTACTTTTCATTGAAAACAATATTAATAATCAAGGTAGTTTTGCATTTCTCGTCTCGCGATGAAAATATTTATTCTAATCAGATCAAATTCAATTCTTTTTTAAATATTTCAGGTGGTAAATTAAAAACAGCTTCGAAGCATCGAAAGCAGGATAATTCCAGTGGTGATAACCAGGTATGTAAGTGACCTTCGCTCTCAACAGGGAAAGAAATCAAATCTACATCACTGTTTCGTGTTGTTAATAACAATCTAAAACGATTATTTTTCAGTTAGCCGAACAGCGCCGTCGCTTAGGTGGCGGCGAGGATAGTACGTTTAACGTACGGGATTTTCTCGATGATTCAGCGTCGGAGGTGAGAGAGTTCACTGGTGGTACTATGAACAAACCTATGTATTCACATAATTCTTAGCTGTTTTTGATCAACATCTTCTTCATCTTTAATACTAATGCACTTTGTAATTTTACTTACACGGCTTTCTTCTTTAACTATTCATTGTAGTCACAAGGTTCAGATAGATTTACGTGGGATGCTTCTTCTCTTCGAGAGGAAGATAATGGCGAGGTTTGCATTAACTATTGCTGCTTCTACTTCTTTTAACGAACTATACTGATTATTGAAGTTTTACCTGAACAACATTAAAATAATTTATTTCCTTTTTTTCTGCTTCTAGTCGACATCATTTGCAGGATCGCATATGTCTTTGAATAGCATGTCGTACAATAATCATGCCGATTCACAACACAAAAAGGTAGGTGAAGAAATCTTTGTCACTGGTTTTACTTATGTAGATTTTTTCTATTAGTCCATGTCTTTGAATAGACGAGAGGATGATGTAAGTCAGTATTTCTCGTTTCCGATCATATGCACGTATTCGTATTCATTGTTCTCTTTTTGATTACTGCATTCATTTAAAAGATCTGCATGTACGGTTTTTTTCCTTCAATATTTATTTTTACCGCTTAAGTAAAAGATTTTCTTGAGGGTATATGTATGTATGTGTGGGTGGGTTTCGTACCTATTCTTTCCGAGATAGTTCGACCGATTTTCGATCTCCTGGTTATCTTTTATCATTGGGTTAGAACTAGCAAATGAAACGTATCTTTTTAACAGATAAATCGAGCACCAAGCAGTGGACTCGGCTCGATCTTAGGTTCAGGAACGCCACATTCATCACGTCGTTCGATTACATCTGATTATGACACGTCATCAATACTTGATTCAGCATCGATGTATGGTGGAGAAGAACCGTCTACCCCATCGCCACCAGTTCGTTCACAGATTCAACAACAACGTGAAGTCTATGTTGGCGACGAACTACCGCCACGAAGTAGTTCGACTCGGAAAAAATCGAAAGAACCATCACCTTCAACAACATTACCAACTATTGTTACACCAAAAACAACAGATAACTCTCCGCCGCTACGAACCACAGAACATAGCCGAAGTTTCTCAGTCACAGGCGATGATATCGAAGCTGCCTTCGATGCAATTAATGATTATAAATCATCGCTTAACGATTCGAAAGACTACGAAAACTCAACAAACGATTCTTTATTCGGTTTATCCACAATACAAGAAGCGGCCGACACGGATGAAGTTAATCACGGCACTAGTTCGTCAAAAACACACTACGATGAAGGCATTGACGATATTGATTTTGACAAGTGTTTCAATAGATATAAACAACAACAAAATCAAACGAAAATCATCGAAGAAAAACCGCCAAAAAGATCCGCTCCGTCCACACCTGTGCATCAAAAACCGTCCGAACCGAAATCGACTCGACATTCCAATGAATCGACACATTCGCCATCCATTCACATAGATGATATTCGCACTCCATTGGCAACTATCACAACACCGAAACTTAACTCAACTCCGACACCTACCATTATTTCGTCTCCAAGGCTAAAAGATACGATTGAAAACAATCTCGACGATCCCAATGATTCTGGTGATGAAGATGTAGATGAACTATTGGGTAAACTAGAGGTAAGTATCTTTTCGTCATTCATACACGCACACACATACATACATACACATACATATAACTCCTAGTAATACTGCTAAATCTTCTTCCTCTTCTTGCAAAATATTTAATCATTTTTTTGTGTCTCATAAAAATGCACGTAGATTTTGTATGATAACTCACCGTTTTCTAGAATGCTTGCTTCGTCCATTGCTTTATATATGTGCGTGTCTGTCTGTGTGCGTGTTGTCGGAAAGCTGAAAACACATAAAGCGAACCTAATTTCATTTAGCGCATGTCCAGCATACGTTCTTCGGTGAAACGAAAGATTCAACCCAAAGACGATATAATGCAACAATCATTTTCTGAGGTAAACTTATTCAGTATTTCCTTTACTTTCATGTCTAAAAGAAACCCACTTGCGACCCTTTTTTTTCACTGTGATCACGAACTCTTCTTATTGAGAACAATTGTCTATGTATTTCCAGCAATTGTCCTCTGACTTTCAACATCGTCCGATGAATTTGAAGTATTCAACACTTCAAACAAATAGAAAAGTCCAAAGTCGAGTTTTATCATTTGATGATATCGATGATATAGCTACACCAAGTATCGAAGTCAATACTTCTCATGTTGTAAGAATAAATGCATGAAATTCTAGTCAAAGACGACGTATTTAACTATCTATACATATAATTTTCGATTTTGTCCCCATTTATATGCATGTCATGACGGATCGCTCTCGATATCTTTTTTTTAATCATCGCATGTTCATGTTCTCATTGTTGTGTTGTATCCGAAATTGACTTTGAGATTTGGATTTTTTCCAACTGATCTTAAACGAATGTTTCTTTTAGCTTGATCCACCAAGTAATAATAATAATAATCCATTTTCAAATGGTTTCTCACCGAATCAATCGTCGCCATATATGCATCGAAATGATCGAAATAGTAGTACGACATTACCAGATATTGTTGGTGAGCAATCATCGAAAAGTAATATGAATTTTTCAGTAGTTCAAACGTTTGTTGTGTGTTTTCGAAAGATTTACGACAAGGTCCCAATCGAAGCTCAGTCTCGTCGACAATTTCAAATACGAAAAAAGCGAATGATAATGGTCTATGCGTGCTTGGATATGATAATGTCAAAAGTGCACCTATTCATACAAAAGTTCGTCAAGAACTGGACTATCTCGATCGTGAAGTAACTAGAATTTTTCCGTTTCCATTTTCCATAACAAGACACAAAACTCGTTTTAGGAACTTCTTCATGTCATCGCTTACCAATCGGATCTATTGAAAAAACGTGATACACGATTGAAAGACTTAGAAAATTACACCGACAGTCTGCTAGTTAAAATTCTTGAACAATGTCCATCAATACTTCAAGTAGGAACATCTTCATCAACATCAAAATCTCGTTAATTCTCACAGTCACATGCTTTCACTAATTCTTTTCTTTTTTTGCCTATTAATGTCGCTCACATTGTGCACACACAACATTCGCTGCTATAGTTAACTCTGCGCTTCTTCTCATCGACGTAGTGTCTTTGTTGATGTTATATGATGATCACCATCGTTGTATCCTATTCTAGAACGGACCTATCAAATACAACAGCAAATAAATTTTACAATGCGAACGTGAGCGTCTGTACACTTGTTCATAATATCAGGGAGCAGTCGTATGGTTCTATCACAAAGTTCATTTTCTTGCTGCGATCTTTTTTTTGTTATAACCTGTGAAAGAAATGGATCTACTGTTCTACTTTGCCGAGCCGGTGTTATTTTTTGTTCGAAAATATTCAGTTGTGCCTCTTTTTCTGTATATACATTTTATTATTCTTTAATTAATATCTTTCTCTTCTTTTCATATAAATACACTCTATCACTATATGATATTTATTATTGAGCTCCTTTTTTAATTTGTGTATGAATAATTATCCTTTCAGCTTTTCTTGTCTAGTTATTCACTCTTATCCTTATCTTTCTCTTCTTTTCGAATACACATGTTGTGACAAACTCGTCACAAGAAGAATTCTCTGAATGACTCGTTCATTTTGTTTCATTCCCTAATAAACTGATTCATTCGTATGAGAACATTCATCATGGAACTCTCTTTGAAAGTAAATCACGTGTTTACGAAGGACTATGCCGTCAAAGCAGTGAAGCTTTGCCATTTTTACATGAATTTCCACCAAATGCTCTTCTGTCTCAGTTAGCAAGTGTTGCTTATCAGATCAACACATCATTTCTATATTTATTACATTAACAATGATAAGATTTATAACCAAAATGAGCGTTTTGAGTAACAAAAAACGCGATACAAAAAATACTACCAAGAAGAGACAACAGCGCTGAAACGAGAAATGAATTCTTAACAGTTGATGGATGGACATTGTTATTGAACGCCCTCTTCTTCCTCAATGAAGAGGTCACATATATGTGCGCGGACAGAGCAATGGCAATCGATCACAAGAAGAATTCGTTATATGAGTCATTCATTTTGTTTCTTTCTCCATTGGATTGATTCATTCGTATGAGCAAAATTCATCATGGAACCATCTCCATTTCAAGATCTCGCATTTATTTTGAAAAATGAATTACCATCTTTGAAAGGAAATCTCTCCGAAAATATTCTAAATCTTGCTAAAGTTGCCGATTTTTGTGAAGACAACTATCTGAACTCATCACATCATGATAAATCACGTGTTTACGAAGATACGAAGAACTATGCTATTCAAGCAGTAAAGTTTTGCCATTTTGACATCAATCTTAGTTACATATTCTTTTGTTTCAGTTAGCAAGTGTTGCTTATCAGATCAACACGATCGCCACGTCATTTCTACAATTATTAGATTTACAATCAAATCAGTTCAATGAATTGGAAACGAATATGAGCGATTTGAGCGAAGATACCAATGTGCACAAGGAAAAAGTTGCACGACGAGAAATTGGCACATTGACAACGAATAAAAGTCTAGGAAGGCAACCACTATTCATCAAACCGAGCAACCCAGAAAAACTTGTTCGATATGTTCGCAAACCACTGGATTATTCAATCCTGGATGACATCGGTGAGTGATTGTCGAAGCAAATTATTCGATTCATTCAAACATTGACTATGATTTAGGGCATGGTGTTCGTTTATCACCTCAAGAGAACAAATCTCGTCACATGATCTATGGCAATGGCATTCAACAACAACAACAACCTCCATCAACTCCACCATCGATGAAAACTGCCAATGCTAGTTTGTCGAAAGCAACAGGTGCGAATTCATCGATGATCTACGCCCAACGTTCATCTCTTCAGCCTGCTCCACCAGTAATAGTTCCACCAACTGATTATGCCAGTCGACATGATCTCATCATGAATAACGGCCATCAGTATAATCCATATGGACATCGACAACAAAATGCACACAATCAAATGATGATGATGATGAACAACGAAAATGTTTACGCCACTCGGCACAATGGAATTTTGAACACGAATAACATGACTCGATATACAGGAGCTATGCTCGAAAACGGTGGATCAGTACGATCCAAAGGAACTAGTCAACCACCCGGATCAACACGAATTCCGATACATATGGATAATTATGATCCTAATGGTCAACAACAAAATGGTGGTGAATCACAATACATGTCTCAACAATCTTATCTTCCACAATTTATTCCACAAGCACCGAATCACTTTTTTGAAGCAACGACAACATTACCGAGAAAAAGCACACGAGGATTTCGACGACGATTTGAAAATCTTGACTGGGCACCAGAACAATATCTCGAAATGGCCATTGCTTGTTACGATTATGAAAGTACTCGTGATGACGAATTGACATTTCGCGAAGATACGATCATATTTGTTGTTGCCAAAAATGATGATGGATGGTTTGAAGGTGTGATTGAACCTGGCGTTCGTGGCCTATTTCCAGTAAGTGTTATTTCAATTCGAATTTCTACTATATCACCTTGTATTCTAGGGAAATTATGTTGAACCACTATGTGAATGAACAAATATAATATGATCCTAGTCATATGTGTTTCTTGTCATTTAACCATGTTCATAATGTCGACTGTCTGATTGCAATACTCAAAATATTATTCCAATCGACTCATCTTTTTTTCTCTTTCTCTTCTATGAAAACAACAACAACAACAGTGAAATATTCTGTTCTTTTCTTGTAATTAATGATGCAATCATTCTCTGATATCTTCGCGTACAAATGAGAAAAAGATTCTTTTCCTTTTTTCTCATGTATGAATATGTTCTCTGTCGTCGTGTACAAAATTTATCACAATAAATCAATATGAATGCGCCTTATTTGTATCAACTGATGATCTTGTCCGTACTTTTCTTTGTATCATCTCAATAAACGAATATTTGAAATAAAAATCGACTCATTTTTAGCTAACAAAATGTTTCACTATGTGTGATCGGTTCTTTATCATCTTGTCTAAACAAGTTCATATGATAGAGTTACTTAGAATCAATGCTCTTTATTGTTATCTAAGAACGAAAGCGAATCTCTGTTCATTTCTAGCGATATAGCCATAGGCTTTTCATTTTCAAATTCTTCTCTCCTTTTCTCTCTCAGGTGTGCTACCTCCAAGAGAATAATTTTAAGATACAATCTGTCAAATGGTAAAATTTCACTTTTACGATTCTGCTTTTTTTCCATAACGCTGAAATTACGAACAGATGAGTTCTCCATCAAATTCAGTTGTTCAACAAAAACACATTGAAGTAGTACATTGAAAAAGGGCAAAGCAATCGAAGTAATTCTTTTTTCGTGATGATGCTGATACCAAGATTGAAGAATTCGGCGCGGAACTGCTGGACCTGGAACATTCCACCGATTTCATAGAAACAGGATATCAAGCAGGAATTTTCCCGTCGAAATTCGTTTCCTTCCACCCACAGCTGAATATCTGAAAACCGACAGACCATAGAGTAACTTTCGAATGTTACTCTCGATCGTAGGAATGTGAACAAGTCGTCGTAATACTCTCAACAAAGAAAAGAAAATGCCCATATCCCATATATCGACGTCATGAAAAAGATTCGAGGTGGCTTTATGCCCGTTTATTTTGGAAAAAGAGAAAATCATTCTCTGAATAATTAAAAGTAACGTCAAGAAAAAACCAACAACGAAAGAGTCACTATCATGACGCTAACATCCGAGCATAGCGCTGCTTCCATCCCTTGAAGAATATCTCACTAGTACAACAGAGCTAACATCAAAACTTCTCATCTCTGAAGCATTTGTCCATGCACACAATGACCTGTGCGAGTCATATGTGAAGTGGATTTCACGCAGGATTAAAAACATGATTTTAATTCTCTCAAATATCCTGGTGAATTTTGTGCATGTCGGCGGTATGTTCTAGTACTTAAGTGCTCGTTGTGGGTCTAAATGTGTTTCCTCAGTCATCCTGTTATGTTCGGATCCTCGGAGAACTGTTTCGACGGTTTTACTGAGAACGAACGAGATCTTTGTCCGAGACGTTCTAATTTAAAACACTGTTTCCGTTTTCTTGCATTTTTTCGTTAAGACTTGACCGGAAGTGTATAGAATGAGGTCGAAGAGTGGTACAATTCAGTTAGTTCTATTCAAAGATTGATGACGAAAAATTCCACGTAGCTGTTTATATATTTTTTTTTCTTCATTATTTTCTTCTATAACAATACAATCGTATATGTGCGATATTTACTATGAAACACTTTTCACCGAGAATACTTCCTAACTATCTATATATCCACAGCCATCATCACCAGCTACAGCGGCATCGAATCGCATGATGCATCTATTGACGGCTGCTTGTGTAAGTGCTATCGTTAAAAAATAGGCAACGTAGGCAATGGATGTGTTAGAAGAATAGTTGAATTTGATTTTGATATTTGACACTACTGCATCTGAACGACGAAATGTTGCCTTTTCTCTCTGTCCGATCTTTTTTTGCTATGCTCAAATCAAGTCATATAGAGAGTTTGATAAGTTCTATCAATCCCAATGATAATTTTGTCTTTTATTGTCACTCTCCATGTTTATCTTAGACGTAATCAATCGCGCAATAATTAACAATGCATAAGAGATGGGATGCACGCTTGGATGAGTTATTGACACGAATATTAAACATCCGAGCGGTTGGTTAAGCGTTTGAATATTGTCGATGAAGTAATAAGCAAAAAAAACGTGTCCGAGTGAAAAATCAACGAAGCAATTAGTAGAGAATGTTAAAATCTTTCTAGAATTTATGTAAGCAAAGTTGATTTTAGTAATAAAAATGGCCGATGACAAAAAGATGGAAACGAAGAAAGAAGAGAAACCGAAATTAAGTTTAATGAGCGGTATTGCATTGTTAGTTGGTTCAATCGTTGGATCAGGGATTTTTATTTCGCCGCGTGGTGTTCTGCTAGGCACAGGTAAGTATTTTCTTGTCGTTATTAATTCATTCAGAATCTCTTTTTAGGCTCTTATGGTTTATCTGTTCTTGTGTGGATCATCGGTGGTTTGATTTGTATACCTGGCTGTATGTGCTACGCCGAATTAGGTACAATGATTTATAGTTCAGGCGGAGATTATACATATATCAAAATGGCTTTTGGTGATTGGGCTGGTAAGGAGAAATGTATTCTGACTGAAGTGAAACAAGTGATTTCTTTGCATTGATTTAGGATTCTTGCGTGTATGGAGTGAAATATGCTGCGTACGTCCCGCGACTATCGCTGTTTGTGGTATCACAGCATCAATCTACTTACTTCAACCGCTTTTTAGTCCATGTTCTCCGCCACACTATGCTGTGCTTGCTCTTGCTTGTTTTTTCATTTTGATAATAACGTTACTGAATTTACTATCTACTCGTGGATCCATTTTTTGGCAAAATGGTACATTTTATGCAAAGATAGGAGCATTGATTCTTCTCATCGGTCTGGGTATCTTCCAGCTAATACGAGGCCATTACGAAGTTTTCACCGAACCATTTGCTAATACACAAACAAGTGTTAAAAAACTAGCTATAGCTTTCTATATTGGATTATTTCCTTATACAGGTTGGAATTATTTATCCAATGCTATCGAAGATTTAAAAGATCCCAAAAAGACTTTTCCTATTGCAATTATGTCTTCGATTATTGCCAGTACAATCTTTTATACTCTTGCTTATAGTGCGTACTTTACAGCGTTGACTCCGCTCGATGTTATGTCAACTGATGCCGTTGCTGTCACTTTTGTGGAACAGATCTATAAGCCTTTGAGACTTATCATGCCTTTACTTGTTTCAATCTCTGCTCTTGGCGGCCTTAATGGACGTATGTATGCCTGTTCGTATCTTCATCTCAATTATGCATTCTATCCTTTGATTTTAGAGATCTTTTCCATTGTTCGCATGTTTTCTGTAGCTGGTCGCGATGGTCTCCTGCCAACGATCTCTTCGTTTGTTCATATTCAACGACTCACGCCTGTTATTCCATGCATTGTCGAAGGAATACTTGGTGAATATCATCCTTTTTCTCCTATTGAATCGATTTGACTTTGTCTGGCTTTCTCTAGGAGTTCTTTACGTTCTTGTTGGCAATGCCGATCGTTTGCTTAGTTATTTGAGTTTCAGTACATGGGTGGTTTGTTTATGTAGTGCCGTTAGTGTCCTTATCTTTCGTCGCACAATGCCGAATATTGCCCGTCCATTCAATGCTGGTGTCGTCGCTCCAGTGATATTCATTGTTGCAATAGGCTTTCTCACCCTGGTCAATATGATCTTCAATCCGATAGATATATTAGTTGGAATGTTAATTCTTGTCTCTGGTCTTCCAATCTATTGGCTATTTGTTTTGCAACGACCAAAATCAATTGACAAATCAAGTGAATCAATTAGTATTTATTTACAGAAACTATTTCTTGTTGCACCAGAGAATAACAAACAAGAGCAGTGAACTTGATGAAACAATTACACAGCGTTAGTGGTTTTATTTAAAGAATTTTGAATAAATATTTGAAGTTGATGTAGTGGAAGTAAACTACCCTTTTGCCAATTGCAAGTCAATGCACGCGTTCAAATACATGTATCAATTGAGAGATATAGAAACCAAGATTAATGCAAGTATTGCTAACCATAGATTTTTAGCAAATGGTTTTTCGAACAATCGATCGTCTAATTGAAGAGATTTTGGCTTTGGCGTGACAATGATGATTGAACTGAGTGAAATATCTCTTGAAAAATCAATTTTCCCCTTTTTTTCTGTTGCTTATATGATGTTGTTCATAACAGTATCGAATGAACTATCGACAATCCCATCGAAAAAATTATTATATCTTGTATTTCTATTAGCTAGCATAACCACAAGAGTGAAGTTCATGATATGTTGCACATATAACATCACATCTTTGTAAAAGTCATCGAAATCTGCAAATTAATTCGATAAAATTTGTCTATCACTCCATTGCAAATTGTTTCACTTTTCAGTCTGATAAACGACGGTGATTTGATAATAGCGACACGTAATTCTTCACAGAAGAGTATGAACAAGCGTTACCTTTTGCTTAGAAATCTTACCCTCAACTGGCTTATAATATATGGTGATTTGATTCATTTCATTTTCAAACGATTTCCATTCACTCGAAGTAGTATCTCAGTCCAATATCATTAAATAGTTAATATTAGTTGAGTGCCGCATGGCTTTGCCATATGTTTGCCAACTGGAAAATGTCTTGTTGAAGCATTCAGAGATTGTAAGCACGATAATTCTATTGAGCAAAGTTTTGTTCGCCGATGAATCAATAAAATCTCCTTTGTCAGGTGCAATAGTAAGGACATCGATAGAATTTTACGTTTGATTTTGATTAAAACTATCTAATGACTTGGTTGTTGTTAATATTCAAACAAAATTTGAGCGTAAGAGGTTACCATTAAGAGTGCTGTAGTCATAATTCTTATTGTTAACTCCGTATTGGATTGAATAACAACCGTACGTGATGAACTGTTGACTAATTTGTTTGTAAAATTAATTGCAGGATCTGGGTTTGTTCATGTTGTGTTGAATTATTATATCAGTTTTTATAAACACTGCATTAAACTTTTGACGTAATAATTGCATTTCATTGTAAACAGACTCGTTGTCTTCATAGATGATTATGCTGGTTCTACAAAACCAACAACGTCTGGAGATGAGACCTTCTCATATATATGATGTGCTGTAACCATCACATGTGTTTATCTATGCATAATTCAGAAATTGACACTGCAAAAGTCATATTAGATTGTTGAGAGAGAAGAACAGCGGTTCGAAACATCGAACGACAGTGTGTGATCTACACGTTGCTTTTCGAATCCTCGTCGGTTCGTAGAGGATAATCATTTAACCATTGATGGAATAACTGATCAACTTGAATTTGTTGTTACTTGTGCCTTTAATTAAATCAGCAAAGAAAATAGAACAATGAACAAATGTATCCAGTTTTCCATGTTTGAGTTCAAACGATATATATGCTATAAGTGCTGATGTGATAGTATAGATGTTATATGAATTACTCTGATTTGATAGGATACACCTTAACGTTGGAGCGTCATCGCTTCGTGCTTGTATCAATGAACAAATACAGTCTTGTTGATCGTTATGGTTTTTAGATAATTGTGAATGAAAATCACGGAAGAACATCTACTCTTTATTGGAAACTTCATAATTCATGTTGTAGAAGATTTGCTTGATGTAAATATATGATTTTCTTTTCTGCGTTTCCTTCTAATCATGGAAGCAAAATAATAGAGAAAGTGAAGTAAATTGAACTATTTATGAGAGCGACAAGGAGAAAAGGAAGAAAATCATTCACTGATTTCAGTTATTTGGCATCTTCGTCGGTATACTGAGTTTAAATAATTAAGAGAGAAAAGCCTCGTACGGGCTAAAGATTTGTCTTCTTTCTTTCCTGGAAATGTGTGTGTTTCATGATGAACGGAGAAAATGTTGAAATGAGTAAAAGTAAACTCTCCATAATTAAATAACAACACAAGAAATAATTCTTCTTTGTCATTTTCATCTATTTCTTTACCAACTCTCTCTTTTCATATTACTCTATAACTCATTTTCGGTCGTAACTAAATAAGAAAACACACACACACATCCCGCTCGTTCTTGCTGTTGTCGATCACTGCTGATTGTCATTCCTATTGTATGAAAGCTATTAAAGTTCCCAACACAGCATTACTGGATGTTCTTGGACGTCCAGTAGCTATCAATAGTCACGATCTACATCGAACACCGGCCGCACCACGTCCACCTAAACCAGCACAAATCGATAAAAATCTAACGAATAACTTATTCGACGTTACTGGAAATGGCTTAGTTCCAACGCCGGCACCGCCACCAGTAGATCCCGAAGATTTGACTGTTATAGGTAAGTACATGATTTTTCTCAACAAACTGTCCTTTATCAATATTAATGATCAATTTACTGATCAACCAGTCCAAATAGATCGTTATACAAATGTTTTGAAAGGTGACTGACTCAAGATTTTTCCTTTCAGGTGAAACTCCTCTTCATATAGCTATCGTATACAATGACATTGATTCTGTAAAATTGTTAATCAAACACGGCGTAGATGTGAACAAACGTGTTGTTGGAGATTTTAATTCTTCTGAGCCCAATAGGAATCTAAATGAAACTAAAAAATGGAGACAAAAGAAATTTCGTCGAGCTGATTCACCAGCAAAGCAATTCGATCCACAAAGTGCTACACCTGAAAGTAATTCTGTCACTCTTTTTTGCTACCATTTAATTAAAACTGCATTATCTTCCCAAGGCCACGCATATTATGGCGAATATCCGTTAGCATTCGCTGCGGCGTTCGGTCATATAGAAATCTATGATTATCTCATTGAACATGGTGCTGATCCAAACATGCAGGATACATACGGGAATACAGTCTTACACATGCTGGTCATTCGAGATGAGATGGTAAGAGCTCAACTTGATTAGATACTATTTTCTTTTGATTAATGATTTAGACAATGTTTAAACATGCTATTCGACATTCAACGAAAAAAGCTCGGACGGATGTTCGGAACAATTCAGATTTAACTCCATTAACTTTAGCAGCGAAGCTCGGTCGGAAACAATTATTTCTCGAATGTATTGAATTGTCTCATGTGGTAAAAAGCAGATTTCAAATTTTTGAATATTTCATTCTCATCAGATCATTTAAAATACTCCATCTAGGAAATTTGGCGTTATTCCAATATCAAATGTTGTACATATCCTCTTCGTGGTATTGATACAATCACCGATGGTGGTGAAATAGGTTGGTTTCATCTGTACGAAAACCTTCTGTATCTAAATTTGATATTCAAGATTGGAATTCGTCGTTATTGTCCATTGTAAGCGGTAAAACTGAAAATCATTTGGATATGCTTGATAACATGGTCATCGAACGTTTATTAAATGACAAATGGTCATCATTTGCTCAAGTAAACTCGGTTAGCTTCTTATTTTCATTAAATCTTAATTTCGATTTTAGGCGAGTTTCGTCCGCCAGTTGGTTTTACTTTGTTTGCATTCGATTGCTTTAACTACAGCTGTATGTTTACGCAATCCGAAAGATGACCAGACTTTGCCCAGAAAAATCATTTGCTATATTGCTGAAGCATGTGTTCTCTGTGGTTGTATTATCAGTATATTCGCGTTACTAGCAAAGGAAATATATCTTCAAGGTTTTAATTATTATCTGCAGAATTTAGTAAATTTTCCCAATCGAGATTGAGTTCGTTTTTGAGAAAGTTTTCATTTTAGAAAAGTTATCCGGAAAAGCTGCTATTTCAATGTGCATGTGTACTGATTATTCTCGCCGTTCCATGCCGGATCTTGTATTTAGTGACGGATAATGTTATATTTGGTTATATCGAAGATGGTCTGGTTTCAATTGCTGTTCCTGGAACATTTCTATTCTTTCTGTTTTTTGGAAGAATCTATGCGTTGACCGGAGCGTTTATTGTGATGATATTCGAAATGATTTCAGGAGATATCGCTACTTTTGGTGTGATCTATGTGATTGTTATAACAGCATTTGGACAAGGTAAAAATTCAGTTCAACGTTCAGGGGAAACAGTTGAATTTCATTTAGTTTTCTATCTGCTATTTCGCGATACAATGGAAGGTGGAAATTGTGTTCAAGTTTCACCGGATAATTTATGTGAAGTTGATAAACTATGTTCGTTTCAGAATTTCGAAGCGTGGATGACAATGGTTCACTTTACAATGGGAGAATTTGATGTAATCAGTTATTCTTACTTTGATTCAAGACCTTTGACTCTAAATTTTAGTTTTCGCTCTTCGACGTTACGCCCTATTCGTATTTGGTTAAAAGTTTGTTTATCGTTTTTATGATTTTAACACCTATACTTCTGTTGAACATGTTAATCGCTTCGATGGGCAATACGTATCAACGTGTCATTGCAATTAGTGAAAAAGAACGCATCCGACAGGTTTGTTACGAAAGAATTTTTAATGATTCGATTCTGTTCTTTTTTTTTGCTTTCAGTGGGCACAGCTGGTGTTGACAATCGAAAGATCATTTTCGGCTAAGCAACGCTTTGATTATCAAGGTTTATATGCCATCGGTGCCGATGATAAACGCGATCTAATGGTTATAAAACGAGCAACGAAAAGTAAAGCAGTTCAAAGAAAAGGAGCGATTAGTAATTGGAAGGTAAATATTGAAAGAAAGAAAAAGATAAGAAGATTTTCTTTCAAGGCCAATCAAAGCACAGCAAATCATAAAAAAAAATCGAGTCATGTGCTGTCATAAATAATCTGTTTATCTTTATACTTTTATAATCTTGTCTTTGTAGCGTGTTGGAAAACTAGTTCTTTATTTACTGAAAGAACAAGAAACAACTGCTGAACATGTTCGTCTTCGTCGTGTTTCACATCAATCTGTTGTATTAAAACCCAAAGCACAATTCGATCATATGTTAGAAACTCTGGCATGGGAACGTGATATCGACTTATCCGCTCCGAAAGCGTTGACGTCATCGAATCCGAATATTAACTTAAGTTCAACTCAAATCACTGCAGATTTAAATCCTTCAATGTCACGTCCAGCATCACCGCCACCGCCTCAGTTTGTCACTGGTGAATTTCCAGCCCCATCATCTATACCACAACGGTTAACAGGCGATAGAAAAATCCAACTTCGTTCGGAATTAGCAGAACTTCGTTCTCGCCCATCATTTATTAATTATGAAGATTTAGAAGTCTTCCATCACATGCGACCATTAACTCGAACATCTAACGTCTGGCATCCTCCACCTATTCGACGTGCTTCTATGATGCCTGTTGATGCTGATGGTTATAAAGATCTACTCCTTGACGTGGATTACAATTACCAACAGCGAAATAATCGACAAAAGAAATCAAATGAAGTCATCTCATGCGGAACATCAAATATAAGTATCAAATCGAAATTGAGCGAAACGACTATTTGTTAACCATTTCCATTGAACATAAATCACATCTGCTTTCATTTTTTGAATATTGGTTTTTTAGTAAGAAAAGAAAATCACGTGTAGAAAACATGTCAATACACTCACTCACTCACACACACATACATATATATATATGGAATAAACGAATTTTCTTGATTACATTTTGTTCATTTTTTGCAAATAGAGAAAGAGACTAGACAATTACAAACAGATAGCTTAGATATAATTCATGTTTTTTTTTCAAACGAAATCATTGAGTAAGTAGCAAAACACGAGCACATTGTCTATATTCTTGTTGTGATTAGTGACCACCTTTGAAGCCTTGAACGTAACCTGTCGTATCCACATCATCTGATCGGCCTTCTTTACCTTTCCCATGGCCTTCTTCATCGAAACGTTCCTTATGCGAACCTCTGAAATAGAAAAGATATGTTGTTAATTCATCAATTATTTATACAACAATTATATAATTACGTGTATTGTGATGTATCTGTCATCCGACCTGTTATTTCCTTATTACTTGTTTCGGTTACATTTGTCAAACTCGGACCTTCATTTTGATTAATTTTAGCGAGAACTTCATCAGCGCTGATGCCTTTTGACTCAGCGATACGATCGATTAATAATTTAAAACCTTTTATCTCAAAAGTTTTCCTAAATGATTGTTTTAAAAAAAAAAGAAAATCAATTAATAATTGACATTGTTTACAGGAACTTACGTTCCTTTTGGATAGTGAGGAGCGCCAGGCTCCGATGAACCAGTTGTCAATTTACCAAGCACTCGAGCGATATCGTTATCCAACAATTGTGATGTATATTTAGTGTTGATTAACGAGCAATCTTTCATCATTTTCTGAATTTGAGCCGACGCGATGCGCAGCTCATTGTGATCGGCTAATTGAGCGTGAGTTTTACCAAATTTAGAATACTTATCAAAGGCCTGGCGTAGACCTGAGGGTGCATTTGATTTTGATGCCATGATTAGATTTCGATAGAGGTAGAAGAAATTTAGATCTTTAGAAATGAAGAAAGCAGAGCAAAGAATATGTCAGACTCTGTCGTAGGTCTCTATATAATTGGAGTAGAGCTTTTTCTCGCATTTTCTTCCTCAGCAGAGAGAGAGAGAAAGAAGAAAAAAAATGTCGCGTTTGTCCTTGGCACTGGCTTGTTGATGCCAATGTTCTAGTTCATTTCTCGTTTTTTTTTTCTCCTGTTCTTCGTCGGCTTTATCGTCTGTTCTTATCTGTTACTGTCTTTTTCCTCTCCTATCCTTTTGTCGTCCTTTTTTTGAGTAACAGCCAGAAAAAAAATGAAACACAAGACAACAGAACGAAAAAAAGCGAGAGAAAAAGAAAAATACCGAAGTTTTAGTTCCATGACTAACGCGTAAAGCCCGATTAAATCACTAATGTTTGTCTACACAAGAATAAACAGTGAAATTCTTTTTCTTGATCGGATTATTGTGCATAGTCATGATGATGTAATAGGACTCGACGTACTATAAATTCTTGTCAGAAAATGTTTACTTTTCAAAGGAAAAAAAGAATCGAAAGTCTCTTGACATCAAGGACTAACGTTGATACTAATCAGTTTGTTTCGTGGTATATTGATCCGATTGTGTAGTAATAATAAATCATCATGATTAAACAGGAAAAGAACGAACGTAATCAATAAATCTTTTCCTGAGAGAAAAAAATGTTTCGTAATCATAAAATTTCAATCGAAAACGATGAGAATATACTTAAAATCAAATCACAACTGAATGATCTGATAGCAAACTGAAGTGAACATATCAGCAGTGAAATGGTATTCATAAGAGTTCGTTTAGTATAGCGAGCTGTATACTATGTTTTATTTATAAGCAATGATTAGCATTTTGTACGAGGTCGAACAGAAAAGAAATTAGATCTTTTCTTCCGTTATTGATTATTGGTAAAAATAAAAACGCACTCAAAGATATAATTCCATCGAGAAATTAACCTATTATTTTCTTTTTTCCATAATCAATATTTTATTATTTGTCAAATCCAATCGAACAGCACATCAGTTCATATTTGTCCGCATTTACATTTCGATCACAAATACACGACAGTCACTTTCAAGAATCAAAGCAACACCCAGTCATCTCTCTCTCTCACACACACACTCATTTACTATCCGATCAATGGCTAATTTTTCATTGATATTTCGACTTTTATGCCTCGTTTGTTGTTTTATTGCCTTGGTAAGTCAAAGGTTTCTTATTTTCATCGAAATTGATTTGATTGTTAGACATCATATAAAATCAATCGTCGCCCTTCGCTCGCCAATCGACATAAGCGAGCTGTGACTGAATGGCGTTTTCGTCGTAGTCGATTACAACCTTATTCCTTTTATCTTCGCAATCATGTTCTCGTAAGTTCGTCGGATTCATCCAACAAATTGCTTGTTTTCTTTTCAGGCACATAATTGGGCAAATTATAATGATGACGATGACAGTCAATCCATTGAACAACGAATGGATGCTGTTGAGCCGAATCTGTACGAAAGTAAACCAAGGAAACATTGACTAAGGACCGTTTGAAAAAAGAATTCGAAGCGAGGCGCAAAAATAAACATGAAATAAAGAATAATACACCTCTATCAGTTTTATTTGCTGTTCTCTGTTCTTGAAAATTTATAAAGTGATCAAACTGTAGACATGAGTACAACAATTGCGAAAGGAAAAAAAATGGAACAAAAATATAGTTAATAATGATGATGATGATGATGATGATGAATTGATGGGTGCGTAGAAGGAGAGGAGAGAGAAAAAAAATTGTAAAGTGAAGAGTTTCATGTTGATGCAAGTGTTTACCAACAAGCGTTTCAGCCAGCAGGCGTACAGACAAAGCAATCACATCTATATGTACATTGCGTCGAAGAAAAAAAAAGTTTAGTGCTTTCAGGTGAGTGTTGACGACAAGCAAACGAAATGGAGGCAGAGAGAGAGAGAGAGAGAATGTATATATGTGTGTATGAGAAACTATGCTCAGAACAAAAAGAGAGTGATGATTCTTATACCGAACTAAATTGAAGGAAATATTATGTCAAATCCGGCAAAAGTTTTATCCAGACATCGCAAAACCCCATTGCCACCTGTAAGAGCAGCCCGACAAACGATTATCTCATGGACAACCAGTCATCAGCATGGTAGGTAGAACGATTTCGAAATGTGATCGACTAATCTTGAAAGAAGAAATGCCTTTATTATCGGATATTTATCTAATGATAAGATGAAGAGATAAACAAACCACTATTCACCACTTGTTATTGTTGTTTGATAGTTTTTTTACGTATGATAAACAGAAATACATCAAGTTCGATCTTTGTTTCAACTGGGCGCTTTTGTTTGATTAGAAACGTAATTATTATTGACTAGTTCTTGTCAATAGTGAAATAGATATGTAAACATGTCAGTAAAAAGCAAGATGTTGATCTGTTAGGAAAAGCAGAGACTATAATTGAGCCGTCAAGTTAATTTTATCGCGATTTATTCAGTTCCTTTTCATATCAATACATTTTCTCATATCTCGATCTTCTCATTGGAATATCAATTATTCATCTATTTTGTCGGTGAAATCCTTTTTTTGTGTTTTTCATTATCTCTTCTCATTCACGATCAATAAATCTTAGTGGGAAATCTTAGATAAAATGAAACAAATATATATTCAACGCGTACTTAGCTAAAGGTCAATAACAGCTGAAATGGCATCCTTACTATTGTCATTATCTGTTCGAAAAAAATGGCAATATAACTATGACTATGATGCCATTTTAATATGAAATCTCGAACTCGCTTAGCATATATTAAATAAGAAAACTTTTTTCTTCTTGTCATGCAATTCTTCTTCTTTTTTTCTCTTTTTTTCACTACTGTCGTCTTTTGCCTTTTTTCTTCTTCTTTTTTTCTTTTATCGCATCATTATAATGTATCTATGCGTGCAGGTTTTTCTTCCCCTTTCTTCTTCGTTATACTATTACGTTCAGTATTTCTCATTTCCTCACATATTACTCGTTGTCAAGTTCGAGTTATATACTGCTGGTTCAGATCTGGACGTCTAATAACTAGTATATGTGTGTTCTTTCCATTTAGTTTGTTTTCTTCTTCTGTCTTTTGCGTTACTTTGTCTGGCTCTCCTTTCTCTTTTCTACATTCATCTGCAATGATTACAACAAAAACAAGAGAATGATGACGTCGATGACGAAGAGCGGTAGAACGCGCACACTCTAACATATATATTCTATATAGAAGAGCGCTCTTTTCGTCGGAAGCGACGTGGCGACCATCACACATACTAAATTCGATCAACGATATTATTTACCTCAGTCAAGGCAATTGATTAAAGACAACATCGAAATATCCATCAAATAATATCAATTCGATTCACATATCTCGAAAACGGTGCCCCGTCGTTTTGGAACGAGTTGGTGGCTGGTGGCCGATCGATATGATGATGATGATGATTGGGATCCTATGACCGAAGAAACGAATGATATCAGTCATTGCTCTTCGCCACCGCTCAAGCGTATCAAATTAGGTAAGTCGTTTTCTCAGCTAAGACAAGAATAAATAATTGATAGATCTCAATCAACAGATCTCGTCTTTCATGAAATCAGAGAGCTGATATTTTAACTCAATGTTGAAGATAAGAAAGAGAAACAAGTTTATAATGATGTGGCTCCCTCTGTATAATTCATTAACATGATTGTCACTTAGTTTATTGAAATGAAGGAGACGGATATGCGTGTGTATCATAGCGACCATGTCGCCGATGACGTTCTTATATCCGGATTTGAATCTAGCACGCATGTATACCTACGCATGACTGGTTTGTTTCTCTCGTCATAAATTCTCTCTTTCTTTTTGTTTTCTACTTCTTCTTTTATGTGTATATTTATATAGAAATTTTACTTAAAAACTCTTTTGCCTGAAAGAAAACTTTGAACTAAATTATGAAGAACGAACCCACTCATGATAATTATTCATGGAATTAGACTAAAAACAATCTGTGTTTGTGATTTTTTTTTCTTCCTAAGAAATTCGACTAAGTTCGCGTTTTTTCAAATATCGAGATGAATCACACAACCGTTAGATCAAGGCATCTGTCTATACTTGTCCTCAAATGAAAATTTTCATTCGTTTCGTTTTCATTTCTAATTGTCGTTTTGATTTAGCGCTTCAACGTTGTCTAATCACTTGAGTAATTCAATGAATATAATTTATGACAGTTACCTGTCAGAGATAGTAACTTACCTAGTTTCTTTTTTTTTACGACTATCCCATTAAATCATTTATCATTCTAGTGCTGATTGAGTTTGTGACGTGTTACTGAACGCGATTACATACAAGTGTTGTTTTCCTATTCGAATCGAGTCTATAAAAGCTCGGCAGTGAAGCTTTCGATTATTGGCGCTACGCGAGAAACATACCGATGACTTTTGCTGACTAAAATTGCCATTGATGTTTTACAAGCGTTTGTTTTTTTTCTTCTTCTAAGGTTTCAATTATGAATTACTGCAAAAAAGATTTTCATCCGATAAGATTAATAAAAGATACGTTGCTTGATTATTCAATTCTTCTCATCTTTCTTTACTTTCTTGCTAAACACACGTTAGTTTAACCAAATATTAATAATGAACGAAAATCGGCGATCAACAGTTCAACAATTATTTCGCGACGGATAAATTTAATAGGGCAATTATCTTATTTTTCTCATCATTTCAGATCTTCTGCTTTCCATTTACATTATTCTAGCATGTTTCATCTTTTGTTTTCTAACAAATTACTTTTGCATGTCTTAGATACTTTTTTTCTCTTCATCTATATGTAATGCGCCTATTAAAAAGAGAAAAAAAAACGAGACTTGAGACTAACGATTAGATCGATTTGATTTCTCCTTTGTATATTCTCAATTAGTGACTACGACTTAATCCTGATTTCTTTTTCTCCTCCTCTCGCTTGTATCTTGCCGAATAAGTTCGACTTGTTGTTTTTGTTGACATTCTCTATACTGGTTAAATCTTTTGACCTCGATTGTATATGTTACGATCCAAATGTCTCTCTTTGTTTTGCCTTATAACACCTTGTTATAATCGAAGACATCGATTCTCTTTCTTTTGCATAAATCGATTGTATATGAAATAGATAGAAGATAATAATAAGAGATAAGGGCATAGAAAGAACATTTTCACTCATTATTCATTGTCGGTAATCGACATTCTCTTTTATAAAAAAAAAAGTTTAACCGGCGTCATTGTTGCATTATTATTGTGTTCATCCTTAATCATAATTTGTTAAGCTTCTTCTGCTCCGTTGCATCGAGCAATAGCATGGAGTAACAGCACGAGGCGAGTTCTTCTTCTTCTCTCTTTTTCTTTTACAAGCGGGCTGAATCAACGAGGAGAGAAAAAAAAAGAAGGACGGAAACAAGAGGGTTGTTGTACTGCTAGTGTTACTTCTTCTCTCTTTCCTTTCTCTGCTTTGGTTATTCGTCTTCAGGCTAGCTACCCTAAGAGTATGTCAGCGACTAGTGCTATAACTCTTAGTAGTAGTATTGG